ACCATTTTAACAAGAATATATCATAGCATAGATTCATTTCACAGAATGTATATTTACACATTGAGAAGATTATAGCATTACTACTCCAAAGACAAGTCACAAAACCTATATCAGACGAGCCTTGGGTGCCCACCTCCAAATATCCAATGGAACTTAATATCTTTTCGTTGCTGAGTAAAACTACTCGACTATTTGACCTCTTGAGAGTGACTGAAGAGGTAGTGTGTTGTGTGCAAACAGTTATAGATATATATGTTAATATGTTTGTGTTCGTGCGACGTACACCTTCAGTTGAAACCTCCATTTGCAAAGCAAAGCACACCGATCAGTGCACGAAAACCAACTTGACAACAGCCAAAGCACTGACCCCCCCCCCCCCCCCCCCCCCCCCCCCCTGCCTTTTGTTTGATTATATAATTATTACACGGTTGATACTGATACTAAACATAACATATGTCACTGCAACACTACATATGGTTATCATTTATGCATTTGGGAATCATTTTTCTGTAGTAAATCATACTTATTAATCTCCATAGCGCCTTCATTGTTGTAGTTGGTAATTCTGTGTGCAATAAATGTGACACCTGGAATCAATCATATGTATTAATTTAAAAAGCGACTGTGCTTGTCGTAAGTGGCGACTAACGGGATCGGGTGGTTGGGTTCGCTGACTTGGTTGATGCATGTCCTCGTATCCCAATTGCGTAGATAGATGCTCATGATGTCAATCACTGGATTGTCTGGTCCAGACCCGATTATATACAGACCGCCGTCACATAGCTGGAATATTGCTGAGTGCGACATTTAACAACAAACAAAATTACATTGCTGCAGTTGAACAAAATTTGTGCAATCCATGACACGCGGAGGGAACAAACTTTTGACCAAAAGGCAGGCCCGTGTTGAGCGGACATTGGAGTTGTTTGTTTGTTTGTTTGTTTGTTTCACGCCGCACTCAGCAATATTCCAACAACGTAACGGCAGTCAATAAATAATCGAGTCTGACCAGACAATCCAGTGATTGGCATCCTGAGCAAATTCATTTAAAATAAACTGAACTAAAATATATAGTTGGGCACCCATAACTCCAGTCTATAGCATACCATTCTGTACGTACAGTAAACAGTGATATAAGCATACTGTCAATTTAACACGACATAGGACACAGCTGTACATGGTATAGCACACAGCTTGCAGTTGTCCATAATATAGCAGACTGCACATAGCCAATTACACAAAATATAGCTTACTGCACACATAGCCAGTTATACACAATATCGCATAGTGCACCCTAGCCAATTTTCCACATAACAGCATACTTCACACATAGCCAATTATAGACAATATAACATACTGAGTACGTAGCAAAGTATTCACAATATAGAATACTGCTCAATCAGCCCCCCTATATACAATGTAGCACACTATACGCACAAAGCTCCATCATAGTCATTGAAATGATAACATATATACAGTAGATGACAGATATACTAACAGGAAAACTTGACTTTATGATCTGTTCTACATCAATTGAAATAGGTGGGTTTTTAACGGGTTTAAACACCTTTTCGATTAAAGACAGTGACAACAACATTAAAACTGGACCAGTGCGACACGAAAGTTAGACGAACTATTTCATAACTGAGTACAGATAAGAGACTTAAACTGGGAACAAATAATTCCAATCACTGGGTTTTCTTATTTAATTTCGACTTCATCTATAGTCCTTTAAGAAAACAGCTTTTCCGTGGATCGTCATAACAAATAACAATGCGTGTTTTTTTAGTTTGTTGCTTGACATCGGTCGAAGTGCGGATCTATGATATCTCTAAGCCAGTGTGTTTAAAGCATGTGTCGAGTGGTGTATTTCCCTGCGAGTTTTTACTAGGGGAAGGAAATAGCGGATATTGTAACCTGTCTGCTTATCTACCCAGCTTATCTACAAATTTCTAGGGGAAGATTATGATTGGATGTCTTTCTTTCCGTATATGGCTGCAACTGCCATGCCGATAGAACAGATTGAACACCCTTGACTTTTACACATTGCCACTGATTGTCTGATAGTGCCAGTATGTGGCTGTAGAATATCAATTTACACGTTCGTAATAAGTTGAAAATTGCACTTCAACTGGCCTGTAAATTATTTGTAAGGTTTGACAATACCGACTAAATGTGCTAATTAGTGAAGACACATTACTAATGATTGAAGTAGCTACATTCCTTGGATCACACATCAAGTATTCATGGCCAGTGGTGTCTTTGTTGTCGCGCACTGAACCGGGAACACCGCTAATTGTCGCTACTCGTATATAACTCGAACAGCATTGGGAGCCGAGAGCCAATCTTCGCACTGCTGTGGTATACGATCACTTATCAGGTATGTATTTTACCACCATCTCTTCATCCACCTGTTCTATACCCCATATTTTATTTTACCGGTACATGTCTACACTATGCGTTATACCCCGCTCTTTATCTACATGTGATATACCCCCTGTCTTAACTACCCTGTACATGTCTACACCATGTGTTATACCCCGCTCTTTATCTACATGTTATATACCTCCTGTCTTAACTACCCTGTACATGTCTACACTATGTGTTTTACCCCGCTCTTTATCTACATGTGATATACCCCCTGTCTTAACTACCCTGTACATGTCTACACTATGCGTTATATCCCGCTCTTTATCTACATGTGTTATACCCCCTGTCTTAACTACCCTGAACATGTCTACACCATGTGTTTTACCCCGCTCTTTATCTACTTGTGATATACCCCCTGTCTTAACTACCCTGTACATGTCTACACTATGTGTTATACCCCGCTCTTTATCCCACATGTGATATACCTCCTGTCTTAACTACCCTGTACATGTCTACACTATGTGTTATACCCCGCTCTTTATCTACATGCGATATACCCCCTGTCTTAACTACCCTGTACATGTCTACACTATGTGTTATACCCCGCTCTTTATCTACATGTGATATACCCCCTGTCTTAACTACCCTGTACATGTCTACACTATGTTTTATGTCCCTTGCTCTTCGTCTCTATATGTTAAACCCCGTATGTGCATCTACATGTACATATATATACGATTATTTGTTAAACCCCGTATGTGCATCTATATGTACATAGATCTACGAGTACTCGTTAAACCCCGTATGTGCATCTACATGTACATATATATACGAGTATTTGTTAAACCCCGTATGTGCATCTATATGTACATAGATCTACGAGTACTCGTTAAACCCCGTATGTGCATCTACATGTACATATATATACGAGTATTTGTTAAACCCCGTATGTGCATCTATATGTACATAGATCTACGAGTACTCGTTAAACCCCGTATGTGCATCTACATGTACATATATATACGAGTATTCGTTAAACCCCGTATGTGCACTACGTACATATATATACGAGTATTTGTTACACCCCGTATGTGCATCTACATGTACAAAGATCTACGGGTACTTGTTAAACCCCGTATGTGCACTACATGTACACAGATCTACGGGTACTTGTTAAACCCCGTATGTGCATCTACATGTACACAGATCTACGGGTACTTGTTAAACCCCGTATGTGCACTACATGTACACAGATCTACGGGTACTTGTTAAACCCCGTATGTGCATCTGCATGTACACAGATCTACGGGTACCTGTTAAACCCCGTATGTGCATCTACATGTACATTTATATACGAGTACTTGTTAAACCCCGTATGTGCATCTACATGTACACAGATCTACGAGTACTCGTTAAACCCCGTATGTGCATCTACATGTACACAGATCTACGGGTACTTGTTAAACCCCGTATGTGCATCTACATGTACACAGATCTACGGGTACTTGTTAAACCCCGTATGTGCATCTACATGTACATTTATATACGAGTATTTGTTAAACCCCGTATGTGCATCTACATGTACCCAGATCTACGAGTACTCGTTACACCCCGTATGTGCATCTTCATGTACACAGATCTACGAGTACTCGTTACACCCCGTATGTGCATCTACATGTACCCAGATCTACGAGTACTCGTTAAACCCCGTATGTGCATCTACATGTACACAGATCTACGAGTACTCGTTAAACCCCGTATGTGCATCTACATGTACACAGATCTACGAGTACTCGTTACACCCCGTATGTGCACAACATGTACACAGATCTACGAGTACTCGTTACACCCCGTATGTGCACAACATGTACACAGATCTACGAGTACTCGTTACACCCCGTATGTGCACAACATGTACACAGATCTACGAGTACTCGTTACACCCCGTATGTGCACTACATGTACACAGATCTACGAGTACTCGTTACACCCCGTATGTGCACAATATGTACACAGATCTACGAGTACTCGTTACACCCCGTATGTGCACAACATGTACACAGATCTACGAGTACTCGTTACACCCCGTATGTGCACAACATGTACACAGATCTACGAGTACTCGTTACACCCCGTATGTGCACAACATGTACACAGATCTACGAGTACTCGTTACACCCCGTATGTGCATCTACATGTACACAGATCTACGAGTATTTGGTAATACCTTATGCCTATCCCTTAACCGATCATGTGTAGTCGTACAATGCCATGTTAAAAAAAATTGCAGTTGACCCCAGACCTGAGACTATCCACTTGGATTACGGCTTAATATCGTCTCCATTGGGATATTTCTCCCGTCCTGTATTCGACGTAACAACGAGGAAAGTGGAGGCAGATAGTGCAGTGACATGTGACCAATATAACGTTCGTGTACACTTTCCTGGTTCGGCTAACTCCATTTTTACTATATAATAACAATGAAATAGCCCGGACGTCGCCGAAGCAGTATATGATACGGTAGTCTAAAGGTTAATCTGAACTCTGTATAACATGTATGCATGCACACGACATGTACACCAAGTCAGTGCTTGGTTAATGATGTGTTCAACAGAATCTTGATTTAACCGTGCGACGTGAAACTTGCAGTAATTACTGCGTTCATTTGCCGTGTCCCCAAGGGCATGTTATCGAGACGCGAGATTAAAGCGACTAACAAACCATCACAATCGTCATCAGTGGAATCTGTTGCAGTGGTTGCGTCTCTGGCTGATTAGGAATACTGTCTTGAATGTTAATCAGCCAATATTGGAATTTAAGGTTCGCGCCAGCTGCAAGAATCCACAGTGCACCACGTGACTGCTGCAACCAATAGGCGTCTAGCATGTCGATCAGCGTCTGACAGAGGACGAGCGACTCATACAGTGAAGCTGTTATTCACTTCAAGGATTTTTCTCTGAACTTTGTTTTGTGTGGAGTTTTCGGATAAATTATACTTTAGGTGAGTACATCCACTCTTTTTATGATAGTTTTAGATTTGTTACGCGTGAAAGGGCTTCAAACAGCCTTGATCTGAGATTTTTTTCCTGGGTGAAAACGCTGACTGACATTTCTGAATATTATTTCCCAGTCCACAGCAGGGTCGAATTGTGTTAGCTAAATCCGCTACAGACGGATGTTTATCAGCAACCAGAATAGGAAAATCATGACAGGAAACTGTTTATGCAACGAAATATATATGTAAAAGCCGTTTCATGGCATTTTATGCCATCCTCTTTAAGGGGTTTATATTGAAACATGGCTGCCGACAATTGGGTCCCAGGGCGTTTCCAGCCACATATTCACGTGACATTTATTTACCTATACCTATCACTATTTAGAGAGACACAAAGGAACCTTTGACATACGTTCTCGGGTTTAAAACGCGACTCTGGTTGAACATGAAGGGGATGGGGCATTTGGCAAGCTTTCGGTTTTAAAGGGATATCCACGTAAAATAACAAATTGGGTGTCATGATTTGATAGAATTCCAATTTTATTGCCTCACTTGATAAATTCTTGCAAATCCCGGGAGAGATTGCTTTGTCATGTGTTACACTCACATGGCGTAATGGAAATTCATTCATGAGTTATAGTTGGAGCGCATCTGTCTCTATCTTTGCGATATAAGGAAGGAAACGAGATTTGATCTCTCCGTTCTAAATTCAGAATCAACGTCGAGGGCTAACAGCTGGGCACTTTCCATCAGATAAAATAAAGAAATCCGATGATTTCAGCTGTAAGCAATCCCTACTCGAAGCATCCTCCAACCTTTGCTATCTTGTCACTGAAGCCGCCATGATGACTTGCGCACACGTTTGGCAGAGCTCAGACCTCAGCGAAAGTATGCGTGTGGGGGGAGGGCGGCCTAAGTTTTATAGGTCTGACTTTCATAAATTCCGGCCATGAAATTATCATAAACATAGTTATTCATATACCGTTAAAATTATTTATCGATTATTCATTGCTAACGTGTATGAAAAATACATTCATTATTTCAGTGTTCATACAACAGCTGTAATGCAAGGTCGCATGTATAATATATTGTATACCTAATGTTTTGCAAAGACGCATGCATTATACAGTGGGTAGCTCTTTTCAAAGCCATTTCAGAAAGTAGCTATTTATCGTCAGAACTAACCGGCTTATCTCCTAATTCGGGACTTTCTCTAGAAAACTGTGTTTTAAGTATCGGCAGTAAATCGTATGTAAGTATGTTGGGACAGCGTTAGTCGCTGTCCGAGGCCTGACGTGTGTCCCACGCCGGGCGTTATCGCTGTCAGCAGGATTATTTATCACAACGCCGGGTTTCCTTCCTCCACCTCCTGTGCAAATCGCCACTCTGGTTTAATATCCCGCAAAATCCTACACACTTATGCATGTTGTTGTCAGGACTACACGCATCGACCCACTTCTATTGTCTCAACATATAACATGTAACAGGAACTAAATTTGAAGTATTATTTCGTCAGTTTTGTGTTGGCAGGTATTTTACACTGGTATAACATTTATCAGTTACTCTGCTCAAGACGTGTGTCAGCCCAGCACCGGTTCAACAACACTTAAACTGAGCACTGCTCGCGGAGTTATCGCTTCACGCTAGGCTGCGTAGATGATGTCTCCATTATCTTCGATTAACCTCCAAGAATTTGTCGCTTCGGTTCGCGTTCGAGTAAAATCTAAAATTGCGATGAAAAGATTATGGATGAAATCCTACTTTAACGTGAGAGTGGCATGGTCGTACAACCACGCTTCCACTCGAGAACCGGTCCGGCTTTATAAGCCCATGGATGACTAATAATGAAACATTGATGCGCTGCAGATACCGACAGATCTGTATCACTCCGTGTCCCGCCACAACTGTCCAGCACAACACAACCCTCACCATGTCGAGGTTCATTAGCGCTAACCGTCAGGGGGACAGTGGGAGTATCGAACTCTCATGTACAGCTGTAACAAGGTCTCAAGGTACTTAAACTCGGTACAGTCAAATATGAGACTGCCATTGCTTTTAACAAAGGTAAAGATTATGTAACGACATGAGGAAATACTAGTCGTATAGTTTAATGTACACCATTAAATGGCGAACACAAATACATACAATATACGTACGCCATGTGAAACTGATTCGCCATTGAGGACATTGCTACAATATCCCACCCGTGACAATTATACGAAAAGGAAATGGATACATCTATGAGAATACCTAAATTTCATATTTCCTGTTCAATTGTTACTGAGGTGTATAAGTTCCCACGTTCTGAATGAGCCTTTATACGTGTCTACCTAACCTCCGGTTACATATCCTCATTCCGGGCCAGTAAGTGACAGTGAACGGACCCGCAGTCAGAACATTCCGTAACATTCCGGTGGAGGTGTAGCAATATACTCCGCTTCAATGCACTGTTATCACTTGCACCGACATCAGTTGACAGTAGGCAAAATTAGATTTATAGTTGTAGTTTGTAGACCTGCTCGCCCCAGCCGAGTGTGTGTACTGATATGAAATGAAACACGGACAATGGTAGTTCCAATGTCTCTGTGTGTCATATATCACCCTACCACATGGGGCGTGTCGACATTGATACAGTGATACACGGGTTTCATTAGCTCAATAACACGTACGTCGAGTGATGGTTCAGGTACATACGTAATTTCACCCCGTTCAAAGGTGATTTGACAGAGTTAAGCGATATCTACATGTGCTGAATAAAACTTAGGTTAATGCAGTTGAATACCTGCAATGTATGCTGATACTCTGGGTGAACAACGATTAAGCACCTTATCTGAGTTGCAGGTTGCAAGTTTAAGAAAGACATCGGAGCATGTCCAAGATCAACAGACAAAGCAGAGCTCCTTGTCGACACCGGAATCGGCATATACTGACTGGAAACAGCTTTTAGATTCCGACGTACCTCTACCTATATGAATAGTACATCGCTGTATTTAAACAGTATAGTGTCAGAAATGAAGAGTTTTGTTATCAAAAATAGCACTGGCCAATTGAAAACATTTTTATTTTTCACTATCTCATATAAGTATCACCTATACCCTAAATGTGGCGACACCACCTCGCCCGCACGTTCATCTCCATGACGTATCTTCCCAGTACATGTAATTGATTTCGCAAGTCATTTTAAGCCATAATTAATAACATTTCTTAGTTTTATATTCATGTTATGACATAAACGTCCACCTTCTGATGAAGTGAGAAGTATGTAGAATCCCCTGAGGGTTAATTGTACCTTACTACAGTTCATAACATTCCGATCATTTTCAGGACTTACTCGGAAATACTTTAACAGGGGTCTTTGCGAAGGTATACATAAAATAGATGATGATATACTACACGCAAGGAATGTATGGCATCAGGCGCATTAGTGCTCGATAAAGACGTAGCTGTAGTTGTGGTAGTGGTCGTGGTAGTAGTACTTTTACTAGTGGTATGGGGGTAGTTGTTGTGGTCGTGGTATTTGTAGTAGTAGTGTTAGTGTTAGTGTTAGTGTTAGTAATAGTAGTAGTAGTAGTAGTAGTAGTAGTGGTAGTAGTAGTAGTAGTCGTAGTGGTGGTGGTGGTGGTAGTACATACTACTTCTTATCCTGAAATACCTAAACATGCTAAAACCCCAAACAATCCCCGAAACAACATTGTCACTAACAGAAAAAACAGACCAGATCAATACGCATTGAATTGAAAATATGATTTATGTAGCATTACAGCGTTGGTTCGTTTCCCATGACGGTATTCCAATTTATCCTCCGGTAACGCATTACATCTCATTAATAAATGAGATGTCCAATATTCTGAAGCATGTGCGCGAAGGGGACGAGGAGTTGAAATAACCAATCCATTGAGGATGATTGTAATTAGTTCGCCACTGGCAGAACTTCATAGATTAATGAGAAACAGCCGCACACGTGTCGGGGCAATATGGACAAATGTCTCGTCAAAATCAGGCGACTCAACGCACTCGGCCACCGCCAGCCTGTCGCGTGGCAAGCCATGTCGGTCGCAGCAATCAGAGAGGGATAGCAATTTATTTGAGTTCAATATGCATTACATAATTTAAGCAAATTGACACATGCAAGAGTGGTATGCATTAATAGCCTGTGTCATGAGAAAGCAGCCTTCAGCGTACTTGTATGTTTGTTTACTTTGCACCGACATGACACGTGATGCTTCACAACTTCAATGTTTGAGTTGCATTAAAGAGTTGCATGTTTTTTTTTACATGTTTTGTTAATAGACAAGCATTCACTATGTGCAAACGCCACTATATAACATCATGTGTAGTTATGAAGCTATAATCAACACCGAAGAAAGCTCACACGTCTTTTAAATTGTATATGGGCCTCTCCATAAAGTATCTGCAGAAAATGAATAAATATTTGTGCAGGGGTGCGCGCCCATCCTTTGATCAGCATATCAAACACGTAACCGTATAAATATTATATAACTAACTCAAGAAACATTACACGACAAACAAACGCAATTTGTTCGCGAATTAATTGTAGTCGCCCAGCACGTTGTATGTCAAGTGCACCCAACCGTTTTATATGGTTCCTATACACCTGAATAGATTAATAGAAGCCTGAAGGATTATTACTGCGGTCAATGTGGAATTGGAACCCATGTTCAGTGGATCCTTGCATGATTAAGGGAGACAATTCTGCATAGTGAGATGCCTCTTACATGTTCACATAAGTTCTTCTACGCTGCCAATCCTTTCTAACAGTCAACAAAACAAATTTATTGAATCCAACGAGCAGACGACAAAGACCATTGTCAGTTCAAACACTAAATGAGTCGTTCTGGTCTCAGGGGCGAGATGATATATATATGTGGTATATACACATGCAAGTAAGTTATGTTGTATTGAAAGACAGATATAAAAAATAACGATATTACTTACATGGATTAGATTACCTGTGCTCTGAACAGACGAAAAACGCGCTCGCGAAGCTTCGGGTGACCAACTAGTTTTCGATTGGTTCAGTGTCTCACGTGACACTGTGCCTGACCCAGTTCGCACTTGGTTAGAACAGTTAGACCATACCTTGTGTTTACATGACACTATTTCGCTATCATGCTATTTCTAATTTGACGCAAAGTGTTAATATTTTCGATGATTAATAATAGTGCAAAATGTTTGGCAGAATTCTCAACTTTATCAATATACACGAGTCTTACCTAACAGAGAGAGTTATTTAAAAAGTTGTTGATGTCACGTGTCAATCAAGAGGTAGCAGTGGTGGAGTCTTACACATCGTCATGACAACTAGTTAAACGAAGCCAATGCACGAGGACCCTCATTTGAGAACCCAACTTTCAACACTTGCAAACTGATTGTATTATGGAATATAGATATGTATAATGACAGTGTCTTATAACTTGTCAACTTTTGTCACGGGTTTTAGCGTAGTTTTTCTGCAGATTAAGTTATTTCTGTCGTTGTTTAACGCCGCACTCAGCAACATTCCAGCTATATGACGGCGGTCTGTAAATAATTGAATCTGAGCCACCAGACAATCCAGTAATTGACATCATGAGCATCAATCCACGCGACTGGGATAAGATGACATACATCAAACAAGTCAGCGCGTCTGCCCAACCGATCCCGTTAGTTGCCTCTTACAAGCACAGTCGCATCTTACGTCAAGCATAGGTTGCTGAAGACCTATGCTAACCCTGATCTTCCTGATTAAGCATTATTATTACATTGTTTGATGTGCTGTTACGTCATCTTGTGAAGTACCTTCTTACTAAAACTGTTCCTTGGTTTTAACATTGGACCGACTTTCGAGTCCACCGTCCCAATGTGTGTCACTGACTGATGTGCTATAAATAACACAGTGGTGTAACTGCAATGCGTTATATTAGTGGTGGCATGTATAACTGTGTTATATTAGTGCTGACACGAATAACTGCGTTATATTAGTGCTGGCATGTATAACTGTGTTATAGTAATGCTGGCCCGTATAACTGTGTAATATTAGCGCTGCCATGTATAACTGTGTTATATTAGTGCTGCCATGTATAACTGTGTTATATTAGTGCTGGCATGTATAACTGTGTTATATTAGTGCTGGCATGTATAACTGTGTTATATTAGTTCTGGCCTGTATAACTGTGTTATATTAGTGCTGACACGAATAACTGTGTTATATTAGTGCTGGCACGAATAACTGTGTTATATTAGTTCTGGCATGTATATCTGTGTTATATTAGTGCTAGCATGTATAACTATGTTATAGTAATGCTGGCATGTATAACTATGTTATATAAGTGCTGGCATGTATAACTGTGTTATATTAGTGCTGGCATGTATAACTGTGTTATATTAGTGCTGGCATGTATAACTGCGTAATATTAGTGCTGGCATGTATAACTGCATAATATTAGTGCTGGCACGTATAACTGTGTTATATTAGTGCTGGCACGTATAACTGTGTTATATTAGCGCTGCCATGTATAACTGTGTTATATTAGTGCTGGCATGTATAACTGTGTTATATTAGTGCTGGCATGTATAACTATGTTATATTAGTGCTGGCATGTATAACTGTGTTATTTTAGTGCAAGCATGTATAACTGTGTTATATTAGTGCTGGCATGTATAACTGTGTTATATTAGTGCTGACACGAATAACTGTGTTATATTAGTGCTGGCATGTATAACTGTGTTATATTAGTGGTGGCATGTATAACTGTGTTATATTAGTGGTGGCATGTATAACTGTGTTATATTAGTGCTGCCATGTATAACTGTGTTATATTAGTGGTGGCATGTATAACTGTGTTATATTAGTGCTGACACGAATAACTGTGTTATATTAGTGCTGGCATGTATAACTGTGTTATATTAGTGCTGACACGAATAACTGTTATATTAGTGCTGGCATGTATAACTGTGTTATATTAGTGGTGGCATGTATAACTGTGTTATATTAGTGCTGGCATGTATAACTGTGTTATATTAGTGCTGCCATGTATAACTGTGTTATATTAGTGCTGGCATGTATAACTGTGTTATATTAGAGCTGGCACGAATAACTGTGTTATATTAGTGCTGCCATGTATAACTGTGTTATATTAGTGCTGGCATGTATAACTGTGTTATATTAGTGCTGACACGAATAACTGTGTTATATCAGTGCTGGCATGTATAACTGTGTTATATTAGAGCTGGCACGAATAACTGTGTTATATTAGTGCTGGCCTGTATAACTGTGTTATATTAGTGCTGACACGAATAACTGTGTTATATCAGTGCTGGCATGTATAACTGTGTTATATTAGAGCTGGCACGAATAACTGTGTTATATTAGTGCTGGCCTGTATAACTATGTTATATTAATGCTGGCATGTATAACTGTGTTATATTAGTTCTGGCCTGTATAACTGTGTTATATTAGTGCTGGCATGTATAACTGCGTAATATTAGTGCTGGCATGTATAACTGCATAATATTAGTGCTGGCACGTATAACTGTGTTATATTAGTGCTGGCACGTATAACTGTGTTATATTAGCGCTGCCATGTATAACTGTGTTATATTAGTGCTGGCATGTATAACTGTGTTATATTAGTGCTGGCATGTATAACTGCATAATATTAGTGCTGGCACGTATAACTGTGTTATATTAGTGCTGGCCCGTATAACTTTGTTATATTAGCGCTGCCATGTATCACTGTGTTATATTAGTGCTGCCATGTATAACTGTGTTATATTAGTGCTGACACGAATAACTGTGTTATATTAGTGCTGGCCCGTATAACTGTGTTATATTAGTGCTGGCATGTATAACTGCATAATATTAGCGCTGCCATGTATATCTGTGTTATATTAGTGTTGGCATGTATAACTATGTTATATTAGTGCTGGCACGAATAACTGTGTAATATTAGTGCTGGCACGAATAACTGTGTTATATTAGTGCTGGCACGTATAACTGTGTTATATTAGCGCTGCCATGTATAACTGTGTTATATTAGTGCTGGCATGTATAACTGTGTTATATAAGTGCTGGCATGTATAACTGCATAATATTAGTGCTGGCACGTATAACTGTGTTATATTAGTGCTGGCCCGTATAACTTTGTTATATTAGCGCTGCCATGTATCACTGTGTTATATTAGTGCTGCCATGTATAACTGTGTTATATTAGTGCTGACACGAATAACTGTGTTATATTAGTGCTGGCCCGTATAACTGTGTTATATTAGTGCTGGCATGTATAACTGCATAATATTAGCGCTGCCATGTATATCTGTGTTATATTAGTGCTGGCATGTATAACTATGTTATATTAGTGCTGGCACGAATAACTGTGTAATATTAGTGCTGGCACGAATAACTGTGTTATATTAGTGCTGGCATGTATAACTGTGTTATATTAGTGCTGGCATGTATAACTGTGTTATATTAGAGCTGGCACGAATAACTGTGTTATATTAGTGCTGGCCTGTATAACTGTGTTATATTAATGCTGGCATGTATCACTGTGTTATATAAGAGCTGGCAAGAAACAACTGTGTTATATTAGTTCTGGCCTGTATAACTGTGTTATATTAGTGCTGGCATGTATAACTGTGTTTTATTAGTTCTGGCCTGTATAACTGTGTTATATTAGTGCTGACACGAATAACTGTGTTATATTAGTGCTGGCACGAATAACTTTGTTATATTAGTTCTGGCATGTATATCTGTGTTATATTAGTGCTGGCATGTATAACTATGTTATAGTAATGCTGGCATGTATAACTGTGTTATATTAGTGCTGGTATGTATAACTGTGTTATATTAGTGCTGGCATGTATAACTGTGTTATTTTAGTGCAAGCATGTATAACTCATATCAATAAAGGCGTCTTCCTCGTAGTTCCAGGATGCCGTCCGACATGATCGATATCGAGGAGAAGGTGAAGATCTGGGGCTGGGAGACCTTCATGAAGACCCGGTCTAAGGACCACGCCAAGCTGAAGTACGAGGACGTGCAGGTGGAGGTCAACTGGAACCGAGTGAGGTTCGTGTCGTCCACGCCGGAGTTCACCGACAGGGTGTCGCTGGAAAAGCCCAACAGTCAGATCGTCTTCAGGTAGGTCAGCACAAACTCATCCTGCCCCAATCTGGGCCCTGTTCCACAAACCAACATAACAGTGATAAGTGCTAAGGTGATCGTAAGTCGTAAGTTTAACCTCAAACTTTTGTTAAAGCTGACGTCCTCTTGCACGAAACAACTTACCTAAGGTTAACCTTAAGCTACGATCAAAACGTAAAGTTGGTCCGGCCCAACCTTAACTCACTACCGTTGATATAATGTATGTATTTATTCAACGTATTTTGTTTTAAAGGGGAAACACTTTATATGTTAAATACTTAAATTTTCCCTTTCTGCTCACGTGTATTCATACAGTTTGCACATCGGTTTTTCGATTCACACCTCAATGAATCGAAAAATATAAACAGTCAATCCTTAAATATATATTTTCGTGAAACGCGTATTTCCAATCCTATTTTATAGAAATGTTTCAATCTATCAATTAAAGTTAATACAAAAATACACGGCCACATTGTGAAGGAATGCCAATAAATGGAACTTCACTCTTCGTGTAAGTCTGTTGTGATGTAAGCACCTAAATCATATTTAAACTTCATTCTATTTTTAAAACTCCCTTTGAAGCGACTTGTCTTTCTTGTGTTGAAAGAAACATATCCAGTAATTCATAAACGAAGGCTGTAGCTTAAACATGTGTAATGCCTGTGAATGTACTGCTGGTACCGGATTAGAATTAACAACTGAAGTATAAAGTATGGGTGTAAAGAAGTATAGGTAAGAGAGGTAGGGTTGAGTCGATATTTGTAGTAAATTGTAAATTTATTTTAGTGACGTCCATTGTACCTGAATGACTAGAACCGGCATTACTGTCCATGTTTGAGAATTATCACACCTGTTCTGTTATATACAAGGACAACTGACACTTTTAGAAATGTATGATGATCATTCATATAAACTGTCGAGTCATGTATCTTATTTGACTTGAGATACTTTCCACGAATGGATTCATATGTTAGTAGTTGAGGTGGATCTGGTTTACGTCTTCTTTGTTTGTTTGTTTGTTGTTTAACGCCGCACTCAGCAATATTCCAGCTATATGACGGTGTAAATGACGGTGTGTAAATAATCGAATCTGGACCATACAATCCAGTGATTGATGTCATGAGCATCGATCCACGCAATTTGGATACGATGTCACGCATTAACCAAGTGAGCGAGCCTGACCACCCGATCCCGTTAGTCGCTTCTTACGACAAACATGGGTTGCTGAAGACCTACTCTACCCCTGAGCTTCAGGGGTATCGTCTCCTTTATACAGAAATTGTTGTGCTATATGTATTTACCTAGGATTAAGTAAATACACATCTTAATTATATGTTCAAATGAATATGAAACAATTTCTAGGTATGCACTGATTTGATATTATATGTTAAGTGCCACCTTATCATTTCTATAGTTCAATCAATGAGCTCCACCCATCTGACTAGTTTTCAGTTTGTTATTCATGCTGTGTACTTCCAGACTTGTGTGCACAAGATGTTTGGTCGACAACTTCTTCAGTTTCAAACGTCATTTCGGGGCTTATTCTTTACTCTTAAGGGGGCACGGGTGCCCCAGTCGTCTAAGACGCCGCGATTCGCTGTGCAGAGTTGCGTCCCTTGGGCACGCCAGAAACCTATGATTGTTGGTTCGAATCCCGGTTCGACCCGATTATGTTTCTAGGTTTGTCAGCACCATACCCGTGCTCGTGGGTTTCATCGAAGTGGTAAACGTCTGAGACCTGCATCACTTCGGGCTTTCCTCCCACATTAAGCTGACACGCCGCGATATAACTGGAATACTGTTAAAAGCGGCGTTAAAACCAACTCACTCACTCACTTTACTCTTAACCGGGTGGACAAGAACTAGCCGTAAAACGTCACGAGAGATTGTTACCCATGAAATTGTCTTGTCTTCGTGTTCTACCAACTTCTAATTTCCATAGAAGGCAACTTCTGTATTTACTGTAAAGGCCCTGCTTGACTACGGTATAAGGATCTGTAGATAAACGTCGCCTTTACATTAGTTAAAGAAGTTGTTTACTTTGTCAGCCGTCAACTTCTAAGTAATATTTATCAAACAATTCTAATTTCCAATCAAAGATTTTACAGAAAAGTGAGTCACTCCAACATTTTAATCCCTAAATACCCCCTCTATCGCAACATGTACACAACCTCCCTAACGTTCCAGGTCCAAGTACGAGAACTGGACAGCACATGAACAGGAACATTCCTTCCACACCGAGCGCACCACCGTGTCCTGCTGCACCACCGAGGTCTCTAAAGGATTCACCAAAGGATTTCACCTCGAGGTCAAACTGGGCTTGCCGGAAGAGGTCGCTTCTGCCACGGCGGGATTTGGTCGCGAGGTGAACATGGAGACGACCGAGGAGAACACCAAGGAGGAGGCCATGACATGGTCCATCAACAGCAGTATCAAAGTGCCGCCTAAACACAGGACCATTGCCGAGCTGGTGGTCAAGGAACAAGAGTTCAATGCGTCCTTCAAGATGCAGGTCAAGATCAAAGGTCGTGTTTTGGTCGTTGTGACAAATCTGAGAGAAAATAACTGTTTTGTTCAATCGATTGAAGGAGACTTTGCGGACATAATGAAGCGAGAAAACGAGAGAAAAGGGTTTGTGATAGAGAAAAGATTAGTCACCTTTGACCTCTCTGGTAACTGCAAGTTTCGGTTTGGAGTTGAACAGCACGTGCAGCTTCACGAAGAAGAGCTGAAGGAGGAAGAAAGTTGATTCTTTTTTCATATTTGTGTGATGAAGAGTGGTGTATTTGTGTGATCATGACCACAACATGTTTGGGGGACAACAACATCAACTTGTGTGCTTGTGGATTAAACATCTCCATGACTACGACACGCATGTGAAGGTTTGAGGTAATATTTGATAAATGTATTGAATGCGTCCTGTCCACTGTGTTGTGGTCGAATTCCGTGTTCGCGTCCCAGACCACTTAAAGATATCAGTGTAGATTGAGACGTGATCATTTGTACACGTATAATTCAGTAGGACTTTCGCAAACACTCAAATGACTTCTGTGGTTTTATATCCCTAAAGAATGGTTTTGGGTAATGGATGACTAGTTACTTTCATAAAATGTCACAAAAGCCTATCTGTGATTATTTCAGTTTTATCCATGGATCCGACTATACATCTATTCTACTACGGTATATAAACCCAGGACACATTCCCACATTCACGTGCGTGTACGTCGCTAGATAAGTGCTATAATTTGGACGCGACGTTAAACCACATTTCAACTCACTTCACCTGAAATTGCTTTATTTTGAGTCAGATCGGAGTCAAATCCAGTCAAATTACACTTACGTGCAAACACAACTTTGGCAGCAAGTGTGTCCCGGGTATGTATCCTAATAGAATTGTGAAATAGTGCATTGACTTATCCAATATAAAACTTTAAACCTGGAATGCTTAGTTCGTAGATATACAAACTGCTGAGTGAAAGTGATTCATTAAACCATATACAGAGAATACAATCTCTGATTACATCTACATTTAGTTAGAGTAGCTGTTTCTCCGAGCGTCTTACATTTAGCATTTGTTCATTTAGCGGACTATATTTTGTAGTAGTTTCAACGCCAGCTTGTAAACATTTTTGTTCATAATCAAACATACATATATTCATGTAATGCTTTTACATATATCTGCATTATTAATAAAGTACATGTTGCATTCCATCCTGGCATTTTTAATATTTGGCCACTGTCCCTGATCCATAGGTTTCAAGATAACTGATTCTTCAGGATCGAAATCACTTGTGTCAGTTACATCCATAGAACTCGGAAGTCTGCATGATCTTCCATGTACGATTCTGAGAGCGGAGCTGGGATTTTAGTCAGAGGACATTCAACATGTCCAACGAACAATTTATTTGTTTGGAAAAAAACGGACAAATTATTTGTTTTCAATTTTAGAAAATTAAATCAGAATAGCAAATCAAATGGTCAGGCCCCTAGAAAAAACACAAAGCATTGGTATTTTAGTTTGACCATGATCATGTCGGTGTGAAGGCACCAGATAGGTCGTCCAGAGTTGTCATCAGTTTCTTATTAAGGTGTTGGGGAAATAGTATACATGTATCTCTATGACAATGAGCCTCTGTTTAAATCTGACTTTGTCTTAATCACTTACTTACCCTAGCCTGTAGGTAGCCGTTTCAACAACCCTTTTCACTTCTGTTTAAGCTCAGAACCTTCTCTGGCTCCTAGTCCAGTCCCTACCGTATCCTGTCCCCAAACATAGTCCCTAAACCTTGACCAAAACCTATTTTGCATTTTATCATAGCCCCATACTCTGACCCCATCAGTCCCTACCACAGCCCTTACCCTAGGTTCTGTGTGCCCTTGACTAAAACCTAGTTCCCACCTTACCTTGGCCCCTACTATGACCCCATCAGTCCCTACCATAGACGTTACCCTAGGTTCTGTGTGCCCTTGACCCAAACCTAGTTCCCACCTTACCTTGGCCCCTACTATGACCCCATCAGTCCCTAGCACAGCCCTTACCCTAGGTTCTATGTACCCTTGACCCACCTTACCTTGACCCCATCTCAGCTCCCAATAGCAGTCCCTACCAGTGCCCTTGCCCTTGGTTCTATGTGACCTTGACCAAAACCCAGTTCCCACCTTACCTTGGCCCCTACTCTAGTCCCTATTGCCCTTGCCTAGACCCTACACCTTATCCCAACCCTTACCCCTACCAGACCCTACCCAATCCTAGCATGAATCCAAGTCCCTAACCCATCCACTACCCCAACCCAGCTCCTACACTGACCCCTACTGCAGCCCCTCCTCTTCAGATTCAGGAGCAGAATAGGTCACAAGTACCAGATGCTTATCAAATGCATACTAAGGAGAATCAGGTTGTTACTATGTTTGACCTGGCTGTATGTGTCATAGGGCCTGGGATAGTTGCTCCGACTTTCAAATAACGATTTCAATAATACAGAGGTTTGATTATTTACAGGCCGCAGTGATATGGCTAGAACAAAACCGACTGTGATGTAACACATCATTCATTACTACATACCTTACCAGGCCGCCCCCACCACAAACTGTAGCAGGGCCCACCTACACACATCTATCTTTGCCCTAAGATGATCGTAAAACTCATACCTTAACATAGGCTTACTATAGTCTTAGCGCTGAGATCGATTTGTGCCTAAATCCAGCTCCTACCCTAGATCCATCTTAGCCTAGGCCTTACTACAGTCCAAACCTGAGAACATAACATTGCCCCTACCCACTTGTTTCTACTTTAGTTGGTCACCGGTGTTGTTTTATATAACTTAAACCCTACCCCTTCCCTATGCCTCTCCCCAATAATATAGCAAATATTGTTTTGCGAAAACAATTTCACAAATAATAATAACAAGAAAATGAACAAAAACTACAAAAAGGTAAATTTTACTCACTGTTGAAAATACATCAAATACTAGGTGATACAAGTCATATTGCATATAAGACAAAGTATGTTCACAATTCAATATGTTCAACACAGCTCATTCTCCCACCAGCAACCTTAAAATGAATACAATTATAACTTGAAAAATAGCATCATTCAAGTCATGTAAAGTTGTCATTTTTTTATGAAGAACTCTACCAGTCCATGAAAAAAGGGTCCAATATCGCTCCATCCACATAAATGTCAATGTAATTCAACGTAAGAACCAATCTAAAGCTCTACCCTGTCTTTAACATGCCATTTATTCTTATGCTATGATCAATGTCACTGTTTAATATTCAATCCTGTTGAACAACAGCTGTTTACCTATGGCTATGTAGTCTGGCTCAGTATGTTGTTTGCATTGTTTGTAAATAGCTGCATTCAAGGCCACAACATAATGTCATTCATATGTTGTCAAATCATAATTTACTTTTTATAATAGACTATGTGTTAACACATTCTTTGATGGTTTTATTGTTTTCATTTTGTGGCTGGATAGGGAGAATTTTGATAAAAACAGACTTTATGTTTGGCTAAAAATTAACTTAAAACAACTGCTCTACAAAGGTGCTTCTAAGATAAAAATGAGACTCCAGAGCTCCAGAGACTCCATTTATCACCCCATCATAAAAAAAAAATATGTGATTTATCTAGACTGTGTCATTGTCTCTGTGTCATTAGTTTTGCAAAATTTGCAAAATTAGTTTTTCAAAATGGTATAGCTAATCTGATGACTATTTACTGATTACATATGACAACAGTTAGAACAGTTAGTCGTTGAGCAAATACTATCAAAATGGCAGTGCCTGTGTAATTCAACAAGTGAAACTCAACAATCATCAACAAAACTGACATGCAACGTTCATCAAATATGCTGGTCAACCTGAAAAATATTATTGAACATTATTTAGGACCAGTAATTCTAAAATCAAAATGCTTCTAGCGTGACTAAGGACTCATGGCAAATATCAAACTCTGATCTTATTTTGTTAACTTTTTATAGATTCCCAAATAGATTAACAAACAATAATTGCCATATCAAGATGTGATGTCTTATTTTGTTTACTTTATAATTGCCATGAATAGATGAATGAACAGTATTTGTGATATCAAGATGTGAAAATATGTGATATCGCTTAAAACAGATGATTTGTGGCTGACTAGCTGTTCCAAAATTTGTGTGACCACCTTATGTTTTGATTGCACTGGTCCTGTTGGCAATCTGAGAAAATTTCAGTTGTTGAACCCTGCAGGTGGAGATTCCACATGTCAGAGAGTATTGCATCATGGGGTATTGAAATTAAAAATAGTTGTTGTCATCTCCTCATTATGCTGTTTGTGAGAACCAATAGTTAAATCATGAATGTATGGTCACCATCTTCCTGAGGCAAGGAAGTTAACAAACCATAAAAGTCCAGTTTCCACCCTGGCTGAACTACGCTAGAATTTCATGGCCTGATTGTTGCGCCACCAGTGGCTATTACGAGTAATGTCCCTTCTAGGACCCCCTATTGTCATCACTTGCATTTGCTTCAAACAAAATCACAACACCAAGTCAATACAATCTGATCAATAATCAAGACCTATATTGTAATAAAACAGGCCTTCTCGCAAAGTGCATCAAATCATTTGAGCACCTTCATTAAAGATATGAAAAGATCTTTAAAATATCTGTCGATGCCCAGTTGGTAGTACACATGCTTTGCAAATCCTGCAGTCAATCGAAAAATGCACATTGAAATCCATGTTGTTTACGAACCAGATGTCTAGTTCATTGCACATTTATTATTGGACTATACATAGACTCATTAGTCCAGCCAATATGTAAATCCAGAATTCCAGCCTAATTCGGCAAGGGGGGAAACAAGACTGTTACAGTCAGTTAACTCCCTTGCCTCGTGAAGATAATACATCACAAGAAATGCTAAAGGATGTCAATAAGAAAGGGCGCAAAATGCTACAGTAAACAAAACATGTACATGATGTATGATGTAAGAAATTAGTTAACACACAAACATATGAAACATATGAAACATATGACCCCACGTGTCTCCAATCTCTGCTTATTAATTTAATATATAAAAAAGAAAAGGCTTCTTTCTAAAATAATGTTCAGAAACACTTTACCATAATTTATGTTTCTTATAATTTCTTTATATTTCTTAACAAAATGGACCAAACAAAATAGCAACAAAGAAAACATATAACTTTATAGATAACAACTTATCGTTTATTGCATATAGCAACTTTTTGACATAGATTCTTACACCATTATTGATCAATAAAGTTAAATGTTTTCCTATTTATTCGCCAACTTCTAGAATGCCAATCATACAGTTAAAATAGCAACTGTTAACTTATTTAATAGCAACAGTTCAAACCTTACAAAGAGGACAAAGCAATATCTAACAGAAGTAAACACATCTGCCAATTACAGTAAAAAAATCATAAACATTTGCACTTTAAACGTGTTAAACAGAATTGGGATTTAAACAAACAATGCTGAGTCTCATAAAATAATAAATTTCAACTTTGCAGATGTATCATTATGTATTTTTTTACCTTCTCCAGGACAGCAATACATCCATAAACCAAACACATTTAAGATATGTCTTTATAACATCAACATGCATAATTGTGAGTTATTGATTGAAAGAGTTTTTTTCATATTGAACTTTGTGAATCATAGCCAAATATATCTGATGCAGAGTCCAGAGCATCTATTCCTAAACTTCTATATCTTCTATATCAATTAAATTCATCACAATAAAGTTCAAGCTATGGTTCCTATCAATGAAGTAAACACTACCTATTGGAATGCATACATAGGTCTCCATCTACCACCAGTTCTAACTGATCTTTAATTCTTTGTTCGACCCTGAACTAATCAGATTAACTCCAGACAATAAGTATAAGAGCCATCAACTGTCAGCATCACATCAGAAGATAAATTCATTGTCCTTTCATGAAAACAAATATGCATTACTTTTACCTTTAACACATGTTGAAGTTTTGTTTTGTTCTTCATAAATTAATACAGGTACAACTGGTAAACTAGACAAAGATATAGTCCATGAACCTTTTTATTAAACAATACATTTCTCTCCTCTAAAATTAAGCAAAAATAATTTTCCTGATGAATAGTGAGTGAGTGAGTAACATTGGTTTTACGCCGCTTTTAGCAATATTCCAGCAATATCACGGCAGGGGACACCAGAAATGGGCTTCGCACATTGAACCCATGTTGGGATTCGAACCTGGGTCTTCAGCGTGACGAGCAAACGCTTTAACCACTAGGCCACCTGACCGCCCCCCCTGATGAATAAAGCTGACTAGACTGGCTTTTACATAAATCTAGATTGGTTTTGATTTCATAAAATACACATATTCCATTAATGGTGCAGGACTACTGGTAAACCTCAAACAGATGGAAACTAACCAAGATTGATTTGTCAAAACAAGATTAACAAACAAGGAACTGTACCTTAAAACCATGACATGCTAGGAAACCTGCAATATCCCAGGAAAACTTAAATGAGCTGTTTCAGCCTTAATGCTCTTAGCTTGTATCACTAAAACTTTGGGTCATACTCTCACAATACAAACAGAACATTACCCTCTGTAACCAGCATGGACAAATATTACAATAAATTCAAAGTGATGGTGAAAACAGTAATAGAACAAGATTGACAGCAGAGGCCACATACAGGCTGACCAAACACATCTGGCAGTGGGACCCAGACATAATACAGACTAGTCACTTTCATCGGAGGAGGCTTGTTCCAGCCCTGATGAAGAGAGCTGCACCGCCCAGGAAGACTCCTCCTTCTTCTTAAGGTCAAGGATGATCTGGTCCTTCTTGAACTGAAAAAAGGTAAGTTTGTATCAGCGTCACATTCGATGAGAAAACGTGGACAGACTGACAGTGGACAAGATGGACAGACACATAACGGTTGTTCCATGTCATAACATCACTATGATCTTCTATTTAGGTGATCTAAGAAGATAGCATTATTCTACCTCCTCGATTATACTGTGTATCATATTACCATTCTAGTGTATCATATTACCATTCTATTTTAAGAAAACAACTGGACCCATTTGACAGTATAGCATTAATTTGAGCCTGATTTGGGTAGCAGACTAAAAATAGTCATCCATTCAAATCACTCTCTTAAAACAAGAGTCTCACTGTACACTTAGAGACAGGAGCGATAGTGACATCACTTCCATGATGATGCAGCTAGGGTCCAAAGAACTTTCAAAATAGAATGGAGACATAATACACTGGATTATCCTTAATATCCATTTTCCGTGTTATTAAATACAATCTTGGGCAATCTTTACATCAAAATCAAACATTACAACTTCTAATCATGTTTATATTTTCATATGAAATTTGTTGTCTTTTGAACATGTTGAAAACAGAAAAGAATTTGTCTTTTATCTTGACTGAAAACTTTGATAAACAAAAAAAAATAATTGAAAACCATCTTGCTACATTACCTTGTAGGTACATTTGTCAGGGTCTACTTCTCCTGGAAGCTTCTTGATAACCTGTTTGTATTTCACAATACCCTTCTTTCTGCGTACTTCTGCTTGCACACAAAATGATCTGGAAGATAAACATTTTCACCCAAGTAAGTATTTACCTCTGCATTCTCAGAGGCTGACATTCAGCCCTGGGCCCACTTGCACCAAACGATCTTTAAACTATTGTAAGCCTAGGTTAAAGTATGAGAGTTAGGTTATCTTAGTGCTAAGATAGCTTTGTGCAAGTGGGCTCAGGTCTATGAAGAAAGGCAGCGCAAAAAGGAATTAATGAATTTCCTAATTCAGTATATAATGCACCTTCCCGAGTCAAGGGTGTTAACTGAATATAAAAGTCCAGTTTTACCCTTGACGAACTAGGCTGGGATTCCGGAGTTACTGTTTGGCTGGACTTACAAGTCTTAGCATAGTCCAATCAAATCGAGTAACAAACAAGATATCCTTTTCGTAAACAACATGGATTTTAATGTGCAGATCTCGGTCGACTGCAGGATTTGCAAACCATGTGAACTGTCAACTGGCCGATGACAGATACTATCCAAATCTTTTCATGTTTTCAATCAAGGTGCTCAAGTGATTTGATACACTTCGTGAGGTAAGGCGTTTTATTACAATATAGATCTTGATTATCGATCAGATTGTATTGACTGGGTGCAACCAATTTGTTTGAAGCAAATGCAAGTGATATGAGAGGTCGAAGTTGATCAGTAGGTGGGACATAGAAGTGACATAACTCTTAATAGCCACTGGTGGCGCTACAATCGAGCCACGAAAGTCCAGCGTAATTTGGCAAGGGTGGAAACTGTTTTTTTTATAGTAAGTTAACGCCCTTGCCTTGTGAAGATGTATCTAATGATACATGTAATGTTTAAGTTTTGCAAAGATGAATTATACTTCTCTGACAACAGGACCAATTAACATGATTAAGACAAACAACCTAATGCTAATTTTCAATTACTGCACTCAAAGAATTCCCATGTCTGGACAAAAACAATATTTTCTGCTAATATATTTGCCTGTCATATGTACTTAGTTGCAAATCTTTGATAAATACCTCTTCACCAGATAAAAAATGTTTTCAGACAAAACATTTAATATGCATGTTTGAACATGTTGAATGTAAGTCACGACAATATCAGTGAACCATATTCACAGAAGGTGGCGATGAATGACATAAACATACATGAACTTCACTGCAAGAAATCATGCCTATGATCACTGTAAAAGCTGTCAAACTGTGCTATCAAACTCACGTTTCCTTAAAGTCTACGATGACATCTGCATTCTTCTTGCCACCAAGGGGTCCCACCTCTAGGCCCTCAACCACCAGCACGACTCTCACAGTCTTCAAGTCCAACTCCTCAGAGGTCACTGAGAAAGCACATCGTGTTACATACTGTTACTAACAAGTGTTGCAACTGGATGTACCTAATTTATCAGAAACTTCTATTGTTATATGTAAATCAGGGTCCCATTCAACAAAGCAATTTTAGTGCCAAGACAATCAAATCATATTTCCAATAATTTGACGTACAAGTCATAACACAAAGATCACTTTGTTGAAACGGGCCCTGGTCCACATGACAACTGTGCAAAGAAATTATGATTCAACGTCTTGAATCATTGAATAATAATGCATACCATCAGTATCCCTGTAACTCACATGGTTTACTTGATGCATTTTAATCTACAAATTATTCAGAATAGTCACTGTCGCAGGGTTCAAAATCAATATCTATAACAGTTATAATCTGCAGAGGAATATTATCTGTCATGACTAATTTCCTTGACTGGATACAAAAACGGTAAAATAATTAAGACCATGGGTGATATTTACTGGTAATCAAGCCATTTGCTATGTCAATAGACAGTGCACCAATAGTCCTACCTATGTTCTGGGCCATATTAAATAAATAGTACTGTATCTCTGTCTTCTCAGCAACTAATCACTACAGATATTTCTGATAATATACGATGAGTTGTGCCTATATTTAGTACAGTATCCCAAAGCACTGTGGGATGCAATATAAGGGAACTAACTCCCTGCTTACCCGTGTGCGAAATACGCTCCAGTCGGAAAGCGCACGTAAAATCTCCTAATATAAGTAAGTAAGTAAAATGCTTACCCGTTGCTAACAAGAGTTGGTGTCAAGTTATACGCATTTAATTTGCTTAGAGTACTTTACAACTAATGTTACTGGAGCTTGTACTATATTTCCAATGAAAGTAAGACCCGGAGGGTTGATGCCACTCATCCCCCAGTCTAGGCCTAAGTTGTAACCTAACTTCCTTGTTTCGCTTCTACCTTACCTGGCAGTAACAAACTATAGGCTTCTTCGGGTAATGTTTTCGTGTCTATCATACCAGATTTGGCATTTAATGCAACACTATATCATTTAATCAGTAATTACTACGGCATATGTATTATTGCTACGTTAATATGTAAAATCAGTTGATGCAAATGCCACTGATTGTAGAATTATCTTCACCTGCGTTTGGTAAACGAGCTTCCGCCATTTTCTCGATACATTAGAGTTACCCGCCCTTGCATCAAAGGCATTCGGAACCTTCCAATGTGTTTGTACATTGCTCGTAACTTTAAATGACTTCCGAAATTACTTTGATAATAAATACTTTTGTATACTTTGTTACAAATTGTATATCCAGACCCAACCAATAAGCTAGCGGTCGAATATATATGTCGGACTATTTTTCTTTTAAAACAAATAGACAAACAAATAGATCTAGATGATTCTTGAGTTCATCAGCAACAGCTATACGTCGTTCCCGTTCTTCTTGAAAAGACGAAGCGTTACCGCCATTGTCGTTATTCGTTACCCGTTAAACTAAATTGTAAGAATTTTTTATGTAATTCTGATCAGGGCTATTGGACCAAGTGTGAGCACGCAAGCATGCGTGAAAACTTTGCTCCACTCTGGTTTTACAAAAACAGAAAACAAATGGTCGGCCCCAAGGATTTTTGTTATATTCATCCGCCAGCATCTCTCTTGTGATGAAATATGCAACAAAGTTAAGCCTTGTAGTCCCCGCCCCTTGAAATAGAATCACGAAATATTGCTTTTAGCAATATTCCAGCAAAATCACGGCGGGGGACACCAGAAATGGGCTTCACACATTGTACCTATGTGGAGAATCGAACCCGGGTTTTCGGCGTGACGAGCGAACGCTTTAACCACATGGCTACCCCACCGCCCCCACTTGATCAGAACTCGATGATGGCGTGTATCGCTATCAAAATGGTTATTTCATGATAAGCGCATTTTACAAAAAAATTCAAAACTGTAAGTAATATTCCTTATCGGCGGAATGACTTGTTTTCACTCTTTCAGTATTACCACACATGCAGCTATCTTCGTTAAATAATAATTGCGATATTTCGTCATTCTATTTCAAGTGGCTATGTTAGATTCTTTCTAGAATTTATTTGCAAGTTTCCTTTTGAAACCAATGATGAGGCTGTTTCAAATTCCTTATTTGTCCTAATATTAAATGGGAATATTGTATCTCAGTTCCATAAGGACACCACCTGACCGGTGTGTGACTGGGAATGCAGTTTAATTTCAAATGCAAATGTTACACGCCTCTGCATATTTCGTCCGTCGAATTTCGCAATGAATGATGTTTTTCTCTTTTTCCATATATATCAAAGAAATGTGGTAATGTTTCTTTGTGTGACGCTACTGAAAAACTATGCACGTCAGCTTAGAGACGGCATAACGTCGTCCCCACTCTTTCCACGGGTACTAACAATGGTACCCGGCAGTCACACACGAGGTCATCCTCCATTATCCAGTGTGTAATATCTCCATTCTATAAATCCTAACGGAATAGAGATATAACACACTGGATATTCGAGGATGACTTGAAGAAGGTAAATACCCAATCACACCGGAGACAATGAACTCACGTCAAGCCAATATCAGTTTTCAGAAATCAGGCTGCAATGCTGAACCCAAGGTCAGTGTTTATCACAGGATGCTCCAGCGGTATAGGCCTAGAACTAGTCCGGCAGCTCGTGCACCTGCCCCACCCCCCGCGGCATCTTCTAGCTTCGTGTTTAGACCCCACCAACGACGAGGCGCGTCAGCTTCGGGACGTAGCTGCTGCCCACCCTGAAGTTGTTGTGGTCAAGTTGGACATCAGGAGTGACCAGGATATCAAGCAGGCGGTGGTCACTGCCGAGCAGGTGCTGGGAGAGGATGGGCTGAATTTGCTCATCAACAACGCCGCCATATTGTCCAAAATGTCTGGTGTGAGGGACGTGACGAGGGTGGATCTCGTGGATCACTTCGACTGCAACACGGCTGGTACGCACTAATATTAAAATAATTCGCATTGAAAGAATGTCTGCCAGAATTCTTTCAAATTATTTTGCGAAAATACTCCACTGTCAATGCAAACTTAATACCCTCAGCATCATAATATACTTACTTTTCAGTGTGACTGGTAAAAGCAAGTTTAACTAAATATATAAAAAATGAGTCAGTTGTGTCTAACGCCAATTAAATATTTTTTCAATTATATGACGGCGTGTCGGCACAACGCGGGAGGAAAGCCTGAAGCATGACGGGTGATGTTGATGATAGACCAAGGATTATTATCAGGGAGAATCAAGGAATACAACCACTCGTCATAGGTTCCTGGCACGCCTAAGGGACATAACTTTAGACAGCGAACTGCGCCGCAGCAGACCCATTTGGCAGAACTAGTCTGTCCTTAAGATGTTTAACGTCTTCCCAAGGCAAGGGAAACTGGACTTTTATTGTCAGTTAACTCCCTTGCCTCTGGAAGATGAATGTCTAACAGATAACAAATGAACTTACCCAAAACCTTAGGCAAGACATTAAAACAATTTGGTTTACGAATCCGCCGAATCCCCAAAAATGATATGTGAAAAAAATAATGTTTTTATTCCGCCGCCCAGAAATAGGTACAAAGTTAAAAACAACTCATTTATTGTCGCTATCAATATAGATATATTATACTTTTATAAAATACTATAATTAACACTTGTTGAACATTCATCTTAAACACTTCAAAAACACTACGAATTATGACGAATCCCAAGAGGATATACAAAATAATATTGGAAACTGGATCTTTGGTATATTTACTTTTTTCGACCAACGGACCTCAATTGTTTGGGCCTAACAGTTGTAAACCAAAAACGCCAGGACATAATATAAAGCTCTCTGATATTATTGCAGTCTTTGAACTAACCTTATGTATGGTTCTTAGAAAATTGGTCTGGAGCAAACATAAAATCTTGAAGTTGTCTGATTTAAGGTACCTAAAGTACTCTGTTTATCATGAGCGTTTTCTCGCAGGACCTATGATGGTGTCCAAGAACTTCCTCCCACTGCTTCTGAAGGCTGCCAACAACAGCTTGTCCTACCTCAGTTGTAACCGGGCGGCCATCATCAATGTGTCGACAGGACTCAGTTCCGTGTCATTCTGTGTCAAGAACATGAAGCATCCCTGGTATGGCTACATCTGCTCCAAGGCTGCCCTCACCATGGCAACGAACATCATGGGGAGAGAACTCTGTAATGATGGTATATTAGTGACAGCCGTGAACCCTGGTCATGTTAGGACGAATATGGGGGGTTCTGATGCACCAATCTCGGTTGAGGATTGCATAAGAAAGCTTTTGCAGACGCTTGCATCATTCAATGAAAACTCAGTTGGTCTACTTCACTCGACCAACGGAGATGTAATACCATTGTGAAAATGGAAGGAAAATTCAATTTGCATTTGTTCACAAATGCTGTTCCCACTAATGAAAATAAAAGACTCCAATCTATTGTGTCATTACATGTGAACCATTTGAAGAAATGATATTACTTTGTGTGTTAAGAGATGAGTGAATTGGATGTTAATTACTATTAATAATATTAATAATATCATAGCGGAGACACCAGAAACTGCCTTTCCCAATTGTCACATTGGGAATCAAACCGAGCCTTCAGCATGATAAGCGAGCACTTTACCCACTATGCTACAACTGCACCCCTAGCAGATGAGTAAGTTGTGTTTAACTGTAGCTGTGGGCAGTTTGTATCTATTATCTAACTGTCTGTCTGTAAAATATGCAAGGAAAGTTAGAAATGATGCACAAGTAAGTCACATGTGATGCAAGGTAAGTTTTGCTTTGTTAGTTTGTTGTTTAACGCCGCACTCAGCAATATTCCAGCTATATGAGGGCGGTCTGTGCAAATAATTGAGTCTGAACCAGACAATCCAGTGATTGACATCATGAACATCAATCCACACAATTGGGATCGATGACATGCATGAACCAAGTCAGCAAGCCTGAGCCTGACTACCCGATCCTGTTAGTCGCCTCTTATGACAAGAATAGTCGCCTTTACGGCAAGCATGGGTTGCTGAGGACCTATTCCATCCCGGATAAGGTAAGTCATATGTGATGCAAGGTAAGTCATATGTGATGCAAGGTAAGTCAGATGTGATGCAAGGTAAGTCGTATGTGATACAAGGAAAGTCGGATGTGATACAAGGAAAGTCAGATGTGATGCAAGGAAAGTCAGATGTGATGCAAGGAAAGTCAGATGTGATGCAAGGTAAGTCAGATGTGATGCAAGGAAAGTCAGATGTGATGCAAGGAAAGTCAGATGTGATACAAGGTAAGTCAGATGTGATGCAAGGTACGTCAGATGTGATGCAAGGTACGTCAGATGTGATACAAGGAAAGTCAGATGTGATGCAAGGTACGTCAGATGTGATGCAAGTCTTTGGTGAGTGCAGTGAGCAGGAGTATGATGTTTACAAAACAAGGATCAAGGATTTTGAGAGTTCAAACCAACCATCAAAGAGACTTGCCACACTTCAGGTACACAACTCTGTAGGTTACACCGTAGGTTATGGAGACTTGAGGCAGGCCCCCCAGTGTCAGAGAGCATGAGCAACACTCTCACTGGTTGTGCACAATGTCACACATGTTTGTAACCACCCACATTACACACTTCAGCAGTCGGGGTGCTGAGGACCTACTCTGTCCCCATAGGTATAACACCCGACAAACCAAGCCAAATAACACAACATATTTATACATTTTATTCCTTCATGTATGGAACAAAGAGAATCACAGCCTGCTGTCATCAAATGGCATAGATATGATCAAAGAAGAACAATTGTAAACAGAGCACTTGGAATGGTACAAGCTTCGCAACATGATATTATGGCAAACAATAAATACAAATACACAAAGCTCAGCTCCCTAATGTAGCATTACTATCCCAGTAAAGAGAAACCAGCTACAACGTCTTACTAGTATTTACTGGAAAAGATAAATCATAATATTGAAGTCAGATACCAACTGAAAAAAACCCAGTGCCACGGCACTGTAGCTCACCTGGATATGTAGTCAACAGCCTTAAATGTCAACAAAGATTGCCACTAAACAAAACTTGCTGTCAGCATCGATATTCAATTTTCAGCAGAAATATTGAAATTAACATCAACATCTAATGATTTGGCCAAAATATCATAAGAATATGCCACAAGTTCATCTCCTTGAATCTGGAAATTTCAGTGAAAGACTTTTACAGAGACAAATATGAGTTTTGAGAGAATACAAGAGCATGGTCATTGTAAAATGTTGAAAACAAACCCAAACATATGTGGTGAATCCCACAAATAACTAAACAAATACCAGATTTAATTAATTTTGTACAAAACTGGTCCATTAATGACTATAAAAAGGATTTTCAACAGTGGTGGACATATTGAATATCAGATTCAAACCTCTTGAACAAATAGGTGGGTTTTTTCTGAAGTTTAAACTTCATTGGTCCAGTGGTTTCTGAAAAGGTGTTTACGACACACAATGCCAGACAAACAGAATATGACACAAGCTCACTTGACTTTCAGTCAGGTGAGCTAAGAAAGAAACATGATGCACAGACCCTTCAGTCATTGGTTAATGTCAAAAAATGAATTCTTCCAATCACAGACTGATATGTTTGTAGAATGTAAATAAATGTCTTATTATTTCTGACAAAAAGATACTCTTTGTATGGACACAAGCATGAGAATATTTTCATAATATGAAGGAATACTTGCCCAAAAAATAATATTATATACCAGATACAAATTATAAAGAAAAGTAACTACCCCAAAGAATGCGTTAATCATTGGTTAATTGCTTTAAGCAAGCGAGTGAATGCCTAACAATTTCCCAGTAATATAGATGACATAAATGTAACGTCTGTTTGTATGTTTGTTAGTTGTTTAACATGGCACTCGGCAATATTCCCGCAATATCACTGCAGCCAGCAATATTCTGGGCCATACAAACCAGTGATTGATATAATCAGCAATGTCCACAACACCAGAGTTAATGAAATACAACCAAGTCGCTGTGCCTGATCACCCAATCCATTTAGTCGCCTCTTACCGCAAGGTTACTTCGGACCTGTTCCAACCAGGAATCCCAGAGAAGTAAATGTTGTGTAACATGGTGCCTTTTCAATAACAACAAATGTATTTCCGTTAAAGCCATAACAACAGAGAATGTTATATAGGCATGTTGACTTCACAGCAATCCGAAGGTCTGATTAAGTGAGTGAGTGAGTTTGATTTTACGCCACTTTTAGCAATATTCCAGCAATATCACGGTGGGGGACACCAGAAATGGGCTTCACACATTGTACCCATGTCGGGAATTGAACCCGGGTCTTCAGCGTGACGAGCGAACGCTTTACCCACCAGGCTACCCGACCGCCCCTGGACTCATTAAAATAATGTACTTTTATGTATACATGTCTTTTTACAGTAACACCTTTCTCTGTACATACAGCATGTGGAGGTGTGTTTGATAGTTAAAAATAAGAATTTTAATCAGACTTCAGATTTTAGTCATTAAAAAAATAGTCTTGACTCTATGGCTCCAACTGCATCAGAGCATAAATAGTCTCTTGAATCTATGGCTCTAACTGCACCAGAGCATAAATAGTCTCTTGAATCTATGGCTCTAACTGCACCAGAGCATAAATAGTCTCTTGACTATGGCTCTAACTGCACCAGAGCATAAATAGTCTCTTGACTCTATGGCTCTAACTGCACCAGAGCATAAATAGTCTCTTGAATCTATGGCTCTAACTGCACCAGAGCATAAATAGTCTCTTGACTCTATGGCTCTAACTGCACCAGAGGAACAAATGTATAAAAAAGCATCTTACATCTGCTTAATAACAACAAATACAACAACATATGTTTAAAGAGATAATGTCTTCAAACTAGTGAGTGAGTGAGTTGGGTTTAACGCCGCTTTTAACAGTATTCCAGTTATATCACGGCGTGTCAGCTTAATGTGGGAGGAAAGCCCGAAGTAATGCAGGTCTCAGACGTTTACCACTTCGGTGAAACCCGCGAGCACAGGTATGGTGCTGACAAACCTAGAAACATAATCGGGGCGAACCGGGATTCGAACCCACAACCATAGGTTTCTGGCGTGCCCAAGGGACGCAACTCTGCACAGCGAATCGCAGAGCCTTAGACGACTGGGCCACCTGTGCCCCCTGTCTTCAAACTAAATGCCATAAGTGGCACTGCTTGTTTAGTTTGTATGTATCATAATAATAACCCTCACAAATCTCTTAAATCAGAACAAATGTATACCTTGATGGATGAATGGTCTCAAGAATAGTCGTCTAATTGAATAATCTGATACTCTGTGGGGTGATATATGTACTGAAACCCAAATCAAACACATCACAGATATTACTGATAGGATACAGTAACTAATATATGACATATTACATTAAATAAGTCCATACAAATATTAACAAGGGACCCCACAGTCAGGCACACATTTCTAGTTAAGGTCTGTAAATAATGCCTTGAGATGATGTTTCTGTCATCATAAACATTGTTTGAAATTAACGAAGTCCATTTGTCCATAATAAAATTCAGAAAGGATAAGTTCTTGTGGACTACCACTTTCACCATTATTCAATCTTGTGACATGAAATGACATGCTTTGTACCTGTTCCATGGTAAAAGTTGTGTCTACCCTTTCAACTGCTTCCTCTGCGCTTTTGCATCCTATGATGTGACCCTGTACTTGAACATCCTCTACACCTCCAGGGCTCACATGTCGGTAAACCTACATTAACCTCTGTATCTATTCCCGGGGTTCCGCCAAGTTTTCATCAGCCAGTTGACATGCTACGCTACTCAGTCTAACAGTCCACTCAGAATGCAAGTCACAAACCAGCCTCAATGTTGGGTTGGCAATATCAAAAACATAAGAAATTCAACATAAAAATACTGACTGACATGTAAAAGAAAGCCCTAAAAAATCTTTTTGATGGAAATGAGGCGTTTTGGTTTCTAGGCAACACAAGTTACCTCCCTTACCCATTTCGTTTTTTCTTACATCAACATTTGGTTGATAAAATGTTCATGAAAATCAAGGGCAGGTAATTTGAGATCGCGATAATCACAGCAATGGATCCAGAGGTTAGTGGAGGTTTACCAAAATGCCAAGCCTGGAGATACAGAGGATGGTGCTTGAGGCCACATGCTCCTTTCATCAGTGGCATCTCAGACTTGTAACACAGTGAGATCAATGTCATGTGTACATAGTTCAAACAGACACACTCAAGTTTGGAAAATAAAGATAGGGAGGCGCTGAACCTTTTTCCAGGAGGATATTTCTACTTTACAGCAGCAGAACTCCAGGTATTCGGAATAGCTTAGTATGCATCTTTTAGAGAACAGTGTCCCATTTAATCCAAGATGGATCACTAGGACAACTTAAGGCCATACAGTGTTATCTACAGCACTGCTGCAGGGCCAGTGGGACTGAATGACAGTCAGTTGATGCTATCGGCAATATTCCTGCCATATCAGGGCAAACTGTAATCATGATAACTGGCATGTACTACAAGCATGAAGCACTGGGGCCTCTGCTCACCCAGAATCCACAAGACTTCAATACGTCATACATACAAACAGGAAGCTTCTATGACAATTCAGTTTGGAAGATTACTGTCCTGAGTAGGCAGAAGGATGTTTGATTGATGGATATACTCAGATCATAAAACTGTGGTACCTCCACTCAATCAGTAATGTAAGTACAAACATGAGCATTTTCCCAAACATATTGCACAAATAATCAGGCTAATACATGACCTCAACTATATTAACATAACATTATTGATGACTTGATGACTAGTGTCATTGCTGTGTCTTGAAGAGCATTTGCTACACATTCCCATATTGCTGCATCTTCAACAGTTTCACCCAACAACAACACATTAAGTACTCAGCTTGTCGGACAAGATTTACTTCAAGGGACATGTCTTGAGCAGGAGATAAAAACGATGTTCATAATTTGACTTTTTCACTTGTCCGACTGTAACACAATGTTTCAAAACCAACTGAAACACAGCTCCTTTTGTAGAGTCCTTTTGTTTGTTATGAGAATAAACCATGGTAACCATGGTAACATTTAAAAATGATAACATAAACAATTCAGCCGAAAATATCAGCTAAGTCATTCCCACTGGGTTTCACTTGACTGGATGTTTGGGGAGTCAGCATATTGGAATTTGACGTGGGCATGGATCCGGTACTCCCCACACCTCCAAAGTTCATCTGGTTCCCCATCTGTCCAAAACCTCCATTCATGTTCTGCTGGTATCCCATCATGCCTGGGTTTCCCATCATGCCCTGGTTCCCCATCACGCCCACATTACCCACCATCCCCATCCTCTGCCCACCCATCATGCCTTGCTGACCCGGCATCCCCACAGTTCTAGGTTGTGCCATTTCATTCATAGACTTCTTTGGTTGATTTGAACTGGGCAACAAGGAATCAAAAGCAGACATGTCCATTTTTTGTTTGTTCTGGCCACCAGTGTTCATGGAGCCCATTCCTCCAAACCCAGAACTATTGTTTGATCCAAAACTGGAACTGTTGTTCATTCCTCCGAAACTGCCCCCACTGTTCATCCCAGTGTAGCCCCCACTGCCTGTTGATGAAGAGCTGGACATTCCGTATGAGCGACTGGACATACCGCCTCCCATCACTGGACCTGACTGGCCTCCCATGGAGGACATGGGCTGAGATTTGGGCGTTGTACTGGACATGTTTCTGAGGTTCGTGTCCATCAAGGTAGAAGTCAGGTCTTTCACTTTGTCATTGGTCTTTGGTTTATTCTGTGTGTTGTGAGCAGAGAGCGGTCGCTGTCCTTTCAGCTTCTGCTCCTGTTCTTGTTGTCGAGCTAGCCTCTGTTTCTCCTCCAAGGACAATGACACCTGCAACATTGAGTGAGTGGGTGAGTGAATGTTGTCTAAGGCCACATTCCAGCTTTCACATCAGCCTGTGTATATAACCAAGCTTGGGTCAGACAAACTGGTGGTTGAAAGAATATGGAATAATCCACCCTGTCAGGATATGAGTGGGTTTGGTTTAACACTACTTTGAACAGTATTTCAGTACTATAATGGTATATCACTTGATGTGGGAGGAAAGCCTGAAGTGATGCAGGTCTTCGACGATTACCATTTTGGTGAAACCCACAAGCATGGGTATGGTGCTGACAAATGTAGAAACATAATAAGGGTAATCCAGGATCTTAACCCTTGATCGCAGGTTCCTGGCAAGACCAAGGGATGCAACTCTGCAACCTCTGATGACTGGGGCCCTCACGCCCCACATCAGGATATGACGACATGCCTTACAGTCAGTACATTTTGACACAAGAGGCTGTGACAAGAGTGGATGTTGTTTTACTTTGGAGTTGGCAATATTCCAGCAGCCTGAAAGTAAGTATGGGTAAGGCAACCTTTGGTTGACATCATGAGCAACAATGCCCACTGTCGGGGCACAGTGACACACCATCAACCACATTGTGAATACAAGACAACCAGTGGTTGACATCATGAGCAACAATGCCCACTGTCGTGGAACAGTGACACACCATCAACCACATTGTGAATACAAGACAACCAGTGGTTGACATCATGAGCAACAATGCCCACTGTCGGGGAACAGTGACACACCATCAACCACATTGTGAATACAAGACAACCAGTGGTTGACATCATGAGCAACAATGCCCACTGTCGGGGAACAGTGACACACCATCAACCACATTGTGAATACAAGACAACCAGTGGTTGACATCATGAGCAACAATGCCCACTGTCGGGGAACAGTGACACACCATCAACCACATTGTGAATACAAGACAACCAGTGGTTGACATCATGAGCAACAATGCCCACTGTCGGGGCACAGTGACACACCATCAACCACATTGTGAATACAAGACAACCAGTGGTTGACATCATGAGCAACAATGCCCACTGTTGGGGCACAGTGACACACCATCAACCACATTGTGAATACAAGACAACCAGTGGTTGACATCATGAGCAACAATGCCCACTGTTGGGGCACAGTGACACACCATCAACCACATTGTGAATACAAGACAACCAGTGGTTGACATCATGAGCAACAATGCCCACTGTCGGGGCACAGTGACACACCATCAACCACATTGTGAATACAAGACAACCAGTGGTTGACATCATGAGCAACAATGCCCACTGTTGGGGCACAGTGACACACCATCACCCACATTGTGAACACAAGACAACCAGTGGTTGACATCATGAGCAACAATGCCCACTGTCGGGGAACAGTGACACACCATCAACCACATTGTGAACACAAGACAACCAGTGGTTGACATCATGAGCAACAATGCCCACTGTTGGGGCACAGTGACACACCATCAACCACATTGTGAACACAAGACAACCAGTGGTTGACATCATGAGCAACAATGCCCACTGTCGGGGAACAGTGACACACCATCAACCACATTGTGAACACAAGACAACCAGTGGTTGACATCATGAGCAACATTGCTCACTGTTGGGGCACATTGACACACCATCAACCACATTGTGAACACAAGACAACCAGTGGTTGACATCATGAGCAACAATGCCCACTGTTGGGGCACATTGACACACCATCAACCACATTGTGAACACAAGACAACCAAACATTCATTACAGAACACAGCCATGTGGGTCTTGGGTCAAAGGTGTCACTTAGTATCAACAGACAAGGGCATTCTCATGCCTGTTTAAGGTTCACAGTGGATGAATCAGGTATGCTCCATATGTCTTTAAAACTGAAGATCTGTGATAATATTGTAATAGGATGTGTTACCTTAGCAGTGCCTGGTGGCTGGACAGAGGGCCTGGGTGTAGAGGGGGCGGCCACCGGCACAGGGCCCCCATTTGGCTCGGTCTGCTGGGAGGCACCCATCAAACCAGCAATCCCAAACCCTGACAGGAACTTGTCCATCTGTCGAACAGGCACACAACACAATCACTTGATGCTTTATACATTCTGATTTTACATAACATACCCGTATACATCTCCATGCAATTATTTAAAATAATAACATAAATGATTTTCAGGTTACTTGCAATACTAGATCAATCAAAGTTTAAAAAAGAATATAATCAAATTAGACCCCAAGTCTCTATAAAAGAGCTACAGCTGTATATATGTAACAGGGAGAAAAGACTTATAATAATATGTTTAATGTCTGCTAAATAAATATCAGAATGAGCTTCAATGTCTTAATGTTGGTAGGATTATTTGTTTGTTTACATAATCTTGTTTAAAATGATCAAGCATAAATCCAATTCTTATTTCATGCAGCAGAGACCCAGTACTGATTATCTGACTGAAGAGTTCAATCCATGAGGATATATTACATTCTTAAAAGACAAATCACCATGAACACTGTGTGTGCCTGTAAGCTCTGATAGACACACACAGTTCCCCTCGGTGACAAGAGATCTCACCATCGTCTGGTTCTTCTGCTGCCCAACATCAGGGATCAGGTTCTTGTCTGCCTGACTTGAGATCTTCGAGATCTCCAGAGTCCTGCAGTGAACAAAACACAACATAAACCATATAATAAAAAAACTTCACATATGGGCAGGTGCTGACGCAACAGTCCATTCCGTCTGATCACAATAACACGCAATCACACAATTCATAGAGCCTGACTACCCGTTCTTGTCAACTGTTACGACACGGTGAGATTACTGGGACAAGTTCCACACTGGGAAAGCCACAGGACTGTGACAAGTGATGAGGGGTGGTGGCAGTATCTGACCCACTTACTTCTGTTCCTGCTTCATCTGGTCCAGCTGCTCCAGCTTGGTGCGCTGCTCACTCTCGACCTTGCCGAACATTTCACGTACTGTGGCTACAAACGCATTGAACTGCAATCAGACAGAAGGTTGAAGAGGATAATCAGCATGACAGTGACATGATGACAAGATGGGAGTAGTGCTTTACAAAGTATAGATCCCTTTTGTACATTCTACATGAAAGTGCAAAGCCTTGTTTGTTGTTGAACGCTGCACTCAGCAAATTCCCCCTATATGACGGTGGCCTGTAAATAAATAAGTCTGGACCAGGGTACGATGACACGCACAGTCAAACAAGCAACCGAGATTGACCTTTTCGTCCAAAAAGGAGCCATTTATGACAAGCACCGGTTGCTGAGAACCAATTCTTACCCGGAATCCCCACAGATGATATCATATGCATAGCGATACGTCCCTGCTCATCAGATACGTCCCTGCTCATCAGATACCTCCCTGCTCATCAGATACGTCCCTGCTCATCAGATACCTCCCTGCTCATCAGATACCTCCCTGGTCACCGGATACCTCCCTGCTCATTGGATACCCCCCTGTTCATTGGATATCTCCTTGTTTATTGGATACCTCCCTGTTCATTAGATACCTCCCTGTTCATTGGATACCTCCCTGTTCATTGGATACCTCCCTGGTCATTGGATACCTCCCTGGTCATCGGATACCTCCCTGCTCAATGGATACCTCCCTGCTCATTGGATACCTCCCTGTTCATTGGATACCTCCCTGTTCATTGGATACCCCCCTGTTCATTGGATATCTCCTTGTTCATTGGATACCTCCCTGTTCATTGGATACCTCCCTGTTCATTGGATACCTCCCTGTTCATTGGATACCTCCCTGGTCATCGGATACCTCCCTGCTCAATGGATACCTCCCTTCTCATTGGATATCTCCCTGTTCATTGGATACCTCCCTGTTCATTGGATACCTCCCTGTTCATCAGATACCTCCCTGGTCATTGGATACCTCCCTGCTCATTGGATATCTCCTTGTTCATTGGATACTTCCCTGTTCATTGGATACTTTCCTGCTCATTGGATACCTCCCTGTTCATTTGATACCTCCTGTGTTCATTGGATACCTTCCTGCTCATTGGATACCTCCCTGTTCATTGGATATCTCCCCGTTCATTGGATACCCCCCTGTTCATTGGATACCTCCCTGTTCATTGGATGCCTCCCTGTTCATCAGATACCTCCCTTTTCATCGGATACCTTCCTGCTGCTTTGGATACCTCTATGTTCATTGTATACCTCCCTGTTCATTGGATACCTTCCTGCTCATTGGATACCTCCCTGTTCATTTGATACCTCCCTGTTCATTCAATACCTCCCTGTTCATTGGATCTTTGGATACCTCCCTGTTCATGAGATACCTCTCTGTTCATTCAATACCTCCCTGTTCATTGGATCTTTGGATACCTCCCTGTTCATTCAATACCTCCCTGTTCATTCAATACCTCCCTGTTCATTGGTTTTTTGGATACCTCCCTGTTCATTCAATACCTCCCTGTTCATTGGATCTTTGGATACCTCCCTGTTCATGGGATACCTCTCTGTTCATTCAATACCTCCCTGTTCATTGGATCTTTGGATACCTCCCTGTTCATTCAATACCTCCCTGTTCATTGGTTCTTTGGATACCTCCCTGTTCATTGGATACCTCCCTGTTCATTGGATCTTTGGATACCTCCCTGTTCATTGGATACCTCTCTGTTCATTCAATACCTCCCTGTTCATTGGATCTTTAGATACCTCCCTGTTCATTCAATACCTCCCTGTTTATTCAATACCTCCCTGTTCATTGGATCTTTGGATACCTCTCTGTTCATTCAATACCTTCCTGTTCATTGGATCTTTGGATACCTCCCTGTTCATTCAATACCTCCCTGTTCATTCAATACCTCCCTGTTCATTGGATCTTTGGATACCTCCCTGTTCATTCAATACCTCCCTGTTCATTGAATCGTTGGATACCTCCCTGTTCATTCAATACCTCCGTGTTCATTCAATACCCCCCTGTTCATTGGATCTTTGGATACCTCCCTGTTCATTGGATACCTCCCTGTTCATTCAATACCTCCCTGTTCATTGAATCTTTGGTTATCTCCCTGTTCATTGGATACCTCCTTGTTCATTCAATACCTGCCTGTTCATTCAATACCTCTCTGTTCATTCAATACCTCCCTGTTCATTGGATCTTTGGATACCTCCCTGTTCATTGGATACCTCTCTGTTCATTCAATACCTCCCTGTTCATTGGATCTTTGGATACCTCCCTGTTCATTCAATACCTCCCTGGTCATTGGATCTTTGGATATCTCCCTGTTCATTGGATACCTCTCTCTTCATTCAATACCTCCCTGTTCATTGGATACCTCCCTGTTCATTGGATACCTCCCTGTTCATTGGATACCTCCTGTGTTCATTCAATACCTCCCTGTTCATTGGATACCTCTCTGTTCATTCAATACCTCCCTGTTCATTGGATACCTCCCTGTTCATTGGATACCTCCCTGTTTATTGGATACCTCTCTGTTCATTCAATACCTCCCTGTTCATTGGATCTTTAGATATCTCCCTGATTATTGGATACCTCTCTGTTAATTGAATACCTCCTTGTTCATTGGATACCTCCCTGTTAATCATCCAAGCTGTAACAAAGCCTGCCTTGTAGGGACACCTATTCTCCTGCTGTGTTCCACTAACCTGGCTGAGGTTGAGGTTGTTATCAATACACAGGGGCACCAGGAAAGGGATCACTTTGTTGGCAAGCATGTCCTTGGTCATTCCCAGCTTGGCATGGCCCATGGTCACCTTGTATATACCTGCACCACCACACAGAATGGTAAATAAACAAGAATGTATTACCTTCTGTAACATCAAGATACTTGTTTCTGATTGGGTACAGAATGGGTCATTTGCTCTAATGTCCCCCACTGGCAGATAAGGTATAAACTTCATGTATCCATGATAAGATACAATGATATGATTATGCTATCACAAACCTGAAACCTATCAAATGCAGTTAAGTGAACTTTACCTAGAATATCTCATTGTGATACCAAGGTAAGTAATCTTGATGTGCTAAATGCATCTGCTAGCTGTCAAAACGTCCATGACATATTCACTATCACTGACAACATATACTGAACAAAAAAAGTTAGGGATCATGAAATATTTTTAGGATATTTTGTTGTAGTGAAGATTATGTTTCTTTAAATGGGTATGGTATACAAAAATATTTCATGATCCCTAATTTTCTTTGTTCAGTATATAATAAACCTTTGTGCTCTTCAGACACAGCAACTTATTTTAACCATGCTATTGGAACTCCAATACAAGAACATTCGAACTGTGTATGCCCAGTGGCAGTAGAAGGGTTTCAATCCTGTTAACAAATCTATAAAATAATGACCCCTCAAATTACCAGAGCAATTATTAGAGTATAATTTGATTGCACCCGGAGTACTACTGATGTCATATCAAGCCAACATGGCAGTGACCTCTCACCTAGTATGCTCATGAGGACCGCAGGTTCTCTGGAGGGTATCTGTGGGAGGAAAGGGAGGATCTCGTCCAGGACGTACCACCGGTCCATGTACTCCAGCAGCTTGCCCAGACACAGCAGGCAGTTCACACGGATCTGTACACACCAACCACACAGTCTCAGGGCCTTCAGTAGCATCACATACATTGACATAATATCACAGATGTTGACACTTTAACACTCCTGAGAACTCGGACTGTTGTACCACCATTCATTATCATATAAATAGATTGCAAGTGATTAGTATACCTCCATAACAAAGCAAATTGAAGTCAATTCTTAAATAAATGTTTCATATCCAGCAAGTGAGTTGGCTTAATGCTGCTCTGAACACAATTGCTATGTGTCAGCTTAGGGGCTGACCATTTAACATTCTAGGGGGTACCTGGGATTTTGTATCGTGGTTGGATATTTTTTCAGCTACAGCTGGAAAACCAGATATCTTTTTTATGAAAAACTATGAGTCTGAAATTTTTGTTGAGGAAAAACACCTTGCAACAATGTAATTTTTGGCGCAGGCAATTTCTTTTTTTCCATCAGTCCGAAGCATAATTATATTTTTCAAAATCCCCTCTCCCTTCCCCCCAAGAATATCAAATGGTTGGTCCCTTACAGAGAGGAAAATTCTCAAAACCGATATTTATTGTCACCCTTAATTATGGGTATTGTGCTGACAATCCAAGGATCATAATCAGGGTGAATCTGGGATTCCAATCCTCAAACAACAAAGGCACACAAGTGACTGTGCCCATGGTTTCATCCACACTCACTGTTAAGGTGCTGGTTGCCTGACAGAGTTTCTTTATCCTGGGGACTATTGCATTCTTCAGGGAGGAATATTCGATCATCTCAGCAAATGTAGGCACAATGTTCAGGCACAGCTCCTGCAAGCAACCAGAAACACTTGAAATACTTCTCAGCTGGTACACCCTGGCAGCGCTATACTGTCATTCTATCCTGGCACATTTTTCAGCAATTTATTCCATGTTGTCAGCAAAATAAATCTAAACCTGTTGGAGACAGTGGAATGAAACTACACTGATCCAAATGAGTTTAATAGAATAATACTTCAAACACGTCAAAAACTGACACATACCGTATTCAGAATTAGAATTATTAGAATATTATTTTGGTGAAAAAAGTGAAAGGATAAATTTCGTGGTTTATGCCATGTTATGCTGACAGCCTGAAATGTTTATATACGACAGATATATTTTTCCAGAATTTAATTTAGGGTGCATATAACACACGAGTGGGTATTATACGCGAATAATAAGTCTTGTGTACATTGATAAATCGGAAGGGGTGCTAATTGGGATTGTTCACTAGCCAATATATTAGCAAATATCGCCGTGGGCGCTTATTAGAGCGGGGCGCTTATTACGTTGAATACGGCATGTATATAATACCATACAAAGGCCTATACCTTCAGAATTCAGGGGTCTGTTCCATAAAGCTGTCATAGCGCTTAGGTTATCATAACTCCCATACTTTAACATAGACTTACGACTGTCATTGAGCTATGATCACCATGTGGAACAATAACGTCACAATACCCTATGGCATAATTTGTGGAATTTTGTTGCAAGATACACCGGTGAAACAATGCTATGTGACGTCAGCCTAGCAACAGGGTTGCTGGGGTCATCGAGCGTGCATAAGCTCCTCTCTGTGTTCTGTCATCTCTACATGCAATAAGCCGAGGGATGTTGGGAGTTCTCACCACTTGTTAGTGTTTGTTTGCTTGTTTGTTGTTTAATGTCGCACTCAGCAATATTCCAGCTATATGACGGCGGTCTGTAAACAATCGAGTCTGGACTAGGCAATCCAGTGATTGACCTCATGAACATCGATCCACGCAAATTAGGATCGATGACATGCATCAACCATTAGTCGCCTCTTATGACAAGCATAGTTGTCTTTTATGGCAAGCATGGGTTGCTGAAGACCTATTCTTCCCTGGATCTTCACAGGTCAATACTTGTCAGTGAAACTTGTTCCCTCAGTACATAAGCACACGCTTTGGTATTACACAATGTGCAATACGTTACAATATGTAATTCAGCTGTATGTTTATTAAATGAGTGATCTCTTCACAGGCAAGTAATTAATCAAGTTTCAAAGATTTGACGAATTATCAGAACATAATGTACTAAAGTAGCAGACTCTTAATGAGGGGAATACGGTGTGATGTTGACTGTGTGTGGCTGTGTGCCTAGAGCCAACTGGTGACCATATTCATGGACAAGCAACAACATCTTACCGCCATGTTTATCATTTACAATTTGACAACATTTACATCAAACTGAGATTTTGTCATATTTAATTTATATATATTTATATACCGCAGGTTACCAGGTACAGTATCTGCTTAAATGCGGTTTTATGTGTTCCCCGACTAGTGGATTTGTTTGCATTCCAGTATTACCATTATCAACTCCCTGGGGAGTATACAACCCAAGCTGACTAGGGGTGCTAGGTTTTACATCCACCTCACATATCGGGTACCCATTCCCTGCTGGGGAAAGAGGGGCACATTAGAACTAAGACACCACAAGTACACTAAGTATGTACTGTACACTAGGGGTAGTGACAACACTGTTAACACCTGTAAACATTGTTGGTCTCAAGGCTGAATAACACCCCAGTCACTAGCCGGATACGACCTCAGTACACTAGGGGTAGTGACAACACTGTAAAGACCTGTAAACATTGTTGGTCTCAAGGCTGAATAACACCCCGGTCACTCGCGGGATTTGACCAGTCACTAGCGGGATACGACCTAAGCACACTAGGGATAGTGACAACACTGTAAACACCTGTAAACATTGTTGGTCTCAAGGCTGAATAACACCCCGGTCACTAGCGGGATACGACCTCAGCACCTGGCACTTGCTAGCCAGGTGCTTTTGACCGCTTGCCCACTCCACCCCATATGCCAAGGTTTTATTTGTTGGTATGTTGCCGGGTGAGCTCCACACAATGATCTGATTACGTTTTGTCTTATGAATTTAGGGGGCCTGTCTGCTGGTCACCTGTATCTGTGGGTTGTCCACCTCTAGCGCCCGGTATATCATGGGCAGGATGTGAGTCTTGATGTCTTGTTGGGGTGTCTTGCCAAGGAGCAGGTTCATGTTTTGAAGAAATATCAGCGAGACCTACAACAAGGAAAACACACGTCACACAACCACACTCAGCACACATGGATCCCAACATGGATCCTCGGATCAACACATTTCATTCCCCTCACTAACAGATCAGGACCAAGCCAGTACAAATATTGAGAAACTTGCTGGCTCTAAGAATTCAAATGCCATGTAAGGCCACACTATTTAAACTTTGCTTCATGGATTTATTCCAGTTTTTCCACACAAGGTTGGTCGAAAAAAAAATACACAGCTATGTCAATTATTTATTTAATTGTGTTTGTTTGTTTGTTTGTTTGTTTGTTTACTTACTTACTTATATATTTGAAAATCATTCTAACGTGGAGTTAAAACTGCAGCTGACTTTTGGAATCACCTATGGTAATGTAGACATGGAATTTATATATAACATTTTTTATTAAGGGTCAACATTACTAGCAGGATACTTATATGTCTAACTATGTCTTTTTTTAATGCTTTTCAGTAGGGGCAGCGGGCCTGTGAATCGAAAAATAAAAAATGTGTGCCTAAGCTGCAAATGAATATCACTCACAATCTGATATTTACCAACAAGACATGATGAGGCCATAATAAATAGATGGATTTTCATCCCTGAACATCATTCTATTGTCCATAATTAACATTTTGGGAAATAGGGGAGATTTGTTTAGGGCTGTATCATATGATCTGAATAATTTATGTTACATTTTCATGCCTTCCCCCAAATACATCTACAGGTAACAGTTTTCCATGACCCCACCCTCCCTATAATATATGATCAGTCCCTAATTAATGTTCAGTGTTCAAGTATAGTTGTGATATGCTTTGGCGAGCCCCCCTCTTTCGCTATCATTTTTTCATACCCATAAAATGTTGAAGTAAAATGCCGGCAGTGGGCATAGCAGCAACAGCCTAAAAGCTAAACAGTCAATACATACAAAACTAGCTGAGGGAAAATAAACTCATTCAAATCAAACTATTTAAATCAAAACATACCAGAGAACAGCACAACGTGATTGGTAACAAAAGCAGTCTTCTAAATATGCTAAACACTGTGGTGTATTTGTGTATGTATGTTGTTATGACTCAATGCTTGTGGACAACATGTTAATCCTTGCACAGAAGAGACATCAGTACTGTAGGGGTCTGAAAGGGGTGATCACAGGGCGCAATTTACAGAAACTGATCAAATGGCTTTCCAATCTGAAGATCCTCGAGCATTGCCGTCCCTGAGAAATACTAGCTTTGAATGTTAATTTGTTTTTATCGAAGCCTCAATATCCTACATAAAGGTCCAGATCTTGTAACTACACAAAATAATTAAATCTGAGCGGTTTGATTCTATAAATGAAAAATTTAAAGTTATCCTTTGGCATTTAAATCAAACCATTAATTAAAACCAAACTGGCTTTAAGAAATCTCTAAAATGCTAAACTGGACGTTGCTCCAGTAATCACAATGACAAACCAGGGCAATGTTAGTACAACAAAACACAAGGCCTGTTATCAGTGCTTGATAAGTGAGCAAACATGGCTCTGTAAGTGTGTGAGTGTGTGAGTGTAAACGGTGTGGTCAGCCCTATTCCAGCATGTCACGGCTGGAAACAGCTGACCAGGGACCGTATTGGGGCAGAACCTGGGTCTCCACACTGCACTGTAGCACCACTGGGCCAGCCATGTCCCAGGGGACAGCAGAACTCGGCACAAAGTCCATTACAGTTAACATGGTTAATATCAGAAATATAGAGACAATTATTAATACATTTAGGACAAGGACACACACTTCTGACATGATCAAATTCAGCACACGTTATTTGAGTGGGAAGCAACTACATCTACATGTCTAGCTGGACACAAGGTTAGTTGAACATGTTAAGCAGTGAAGATGTGAAAGCAAGTTCACCGTGTATGTTGACTGTGGTCTCTATAAAACAAAAGTAATAAGAAAAGCTAATTATCCAAACTCATCAAACAGACCATGCTCAGAACAGAAAGAAAATCATGGAACATAATATGCCAAGGAATAACTACCAAATAATATTCAGCTTTAAAGAGTACAGTCATGAAATGAAATGCTGTTAGGACTGTCATTGATTGAATTCTGTGAAGTTAATATCCTAAAATATCTATATCATGTATATCTTGATTAATGATATGACTAGGGACACATTTCAAAGTACATTTGTGTACAACAGATTTTAGTCTTTGGAGATGCTAAGGACTTATTTATACCATATATAGACTACATCATCATCCATGCTCATCATGCGCCTAAAACATATGTTAGAACTTCCATCAATATCACCATTGAAAATATTCAAAATATTATTCCATGACAGCCCCATCATATGCAATGATAAGAACAACACAGCTTCAAAATGAGTTGCTGTAAATGCTATGCACATAATTATCGATACTGTGTGACACAGATGCATGATACTCATCATAGTCATACTGTAATACTGTAATGCTGTAATACTGTAATACTGTAATGTGAGGCTCTACCTGAACTGGGTCGTGTATCTTGAAGAGCGGGATGAGTTCTGGAAGAATGAGGTTGACGTATTCCCGGTCGGTGGACTGTTCAGCAACAAGGAGGATTGTGGGGAGGACGAAGGGGACCATGTCTGGGTTAACACACTCCTTGTACAACGCCGGCAGGATCCGCTGCTGATTCACACGCTGAAACACACACAGATAACTCCTGTACGTTCAATCATGGTAGGAGGCGAGAGGTTAACTTTGTTATCAGCCAATCAGCCCCAGGCTTCCAAACACGAGGTACTAGCGAGCAAAACATTCAGAGCAGCCTATCTGACTTCAGCATCTCTAAAATGAACACAAATTGTCAGTTCCAAGTGGAAATGATAAAGGACACACTATCATAGTGTTGTGCATATTTTAGACGTTCTGTGTATTTTTTTCTTTTGCAAAGATCAACATTACCAAACCATCAAAGAAATGAAGCTGGATCCTATTAGAAAGGTATTTTCTGATTGGTTCAAGAACACACATCCTTCATCTAGATTTGGCCAAAGTTTACTCAGAGTTCACCCAACATGACCTTCAATGGAGGTTACTGTATCGTAGTAAAAATCTGATTGTAATGAGACTTGTGTGAACCACTCCCTTCGTCAAGAGCACGGTGTAACTATCCTATAATAATATGTTGGCTCTTAAGACAAGCATGGGATACTATGCCACTATTGAGCCCTGGAATCTCACAGGGGTATCACTCAGGAAAGGTTGTTTGCTGTTTAATACCACCCTAAGCAATATTGGGGTTATGTAACAGTTACCTGCAAATAACAAAGTACGGACCAGAGAATACAGTAAGAGGTATTCTGACCACACCATCCATTATGTTACCTTATACATCACACCACGGTCTGACCTTGAAAGGGTCGAACCACACGGGGAAGAAGCTAAGTGACATGTAAACAGTGAAGAATATTGAAGTAACTCAAACAGTAATAACATGTCCCACCTTTGGCAGTTTGCCAGCTATTTTGGGGAGCCCCTTGAAGAACTGGGACTTTTGTAGATTGTCTCTCTGGAACAACGTGTCCATGTACTGGAGGGTCATTGTCCCCACATCCTCAAAGAAGGACACCTGAATGAATGAAGATTTATAACTTCACATCAGCAAGTTAAAGGACACCTGAATGAATGAAGATTTATAACTTCACATCAGCAAGTTAAAGGACACCTGAAGCAACACCCAAAACACACATCACAATTCCATGACAACTACAAAACACTGAAGAACTTTACTTATTATTTACAGAAGGAGAAGATGTGTTGCTGTAGATAGTAATAACATGGCCATCATTCCATTGGCCTTTATTGTTTGTTTGCTGAATGCCACACTCAGCAATATTCCAACCATATGATGGCAACCTGCAATAATTGAGTCTAGACCAGAGTGAGTGAGTGAGTGAGTATGGTTTTACGCCACTTTTAGCAATATTCCAGCAATATCACGGCGGGGGACACCAGAAATGGGCTTCACACATTGTACCCATGTCGGGAATCGAACCCGGGTCTTTGGCGTGACGAGCGAACGCTTTAACCACTAGGCTACCCGATCGCCCCCAGTCTAGACCAGAGAATCCAGAGACTGATATCGTGAGCAACGATCTAGGCGAGCTGAGTACGATGACACGTAATCAACCAAGTGACTGAGCCTGACGACCCGATCTATAAGTCGCCTCTTATGACAAGAATAGATTGCTGCGGACAGTTCTAACCAAGGATCTCCATGGAATTGCCATTCATTAAGTAAGGTTTTGACATTGTGTCTGAGAGGAATTAAAATTTGTACAAACTAGATTGCGTAGATTATGATGACTGTGATTTGGTCTCACAAAATGCCATTTATCCATTGACAGGTTAGTGAATTGTGTTATATCATAGTACGACTTAGACACAGCAGCTAGTCTGTCAGCCCAAGACATGTGACAATCCAGGAACTAGCTGTTTTCCCCAAAATCTAATTGTTTGACCACTAACCCCAAATGAGGCTGTGGACCAGCTGGTGTCTATTCCTGACATTGTGTCATCCTAATGAGAGAAATCTTGGAGACACATGTTGTAAAGTCTAACGGTTGTTGATGAAACCATGAGATATTGTGCTGACAGACCAAGGACCATTATCAGGTCAAACACAATAATAAAAAAAATAATTTTAAAATAATAATAATCAGGTCAAACCCACCATCCAAGGTCTAGGACAAAGGCTCTGTTTAGAGCAGCCATCCACCTATATTTCAGGTCAAACTTGGGTCAACCAGTTTGACTGTCACCCAGAAAGATGCTCAGTAGTGAGCCAATATGTACGTAACATCATGTATGGAAAATATCAATGTTGAAACTGAATGATGTTCTGACTTTTGACAACTGTGCAGGGTCCGGTCTGACGGTGGGCTCAATATTCAGCAACAGTTTGACGTAGTCCCTCAGTTCATCAGGGATGCTGCCCAGTAGGGTGGAGCGGAAGTGTCGCAGCTGGAAGACAGGAGCAGCATCAGTAACAACATCAGACTAGGGACTTCTACACTGGCAGATATCCTACATCCATCACCACGCAGTGTTTGGAATTGAGATTTTGATCCTGCAGTATTTGAAACAAGGGAGCCCCTAAACTTTAAGCCTATGGTGAGGACTCCTTGACTGTCAAGCTTAATTTCAGGCACTGATCATGCTTGTTACAATGTAAACATTCAACATAAAAACAGACTTAATCCAACTGAAAGTTCACTCTAACCTATGTGAACAAGATGTATCATGATATGCCTATCTCAAGTATCGATCACTCACGATACCTGAATCACAATGTGGTATGTATCAAAATACTGAATTTGTGCTTTTGGGGATTAAAATGTCCATGTTCCACATGGTCCAGCTGATATATGGTTGTGCTTTCAATCAGTTTCTGTTTAACTTGCATGACTATTAAATCTAGTCTCCTTCTAACAGCATGATTCAATCTGTTTCACTAGTTTTTGTTCATGACAGGTAGTAAGGTAACAACAGCCTGAATAGCTAGCAATTATGTTCTGAAAATCAGTTTAGAATTCAATAAAGAGATGCAGTGACATCCCTCTATATACTACTGAGAGCAGTACAACCATGAAATAACACTATGCCCAACAGTGTTTCGCCCCATTGTGTCTATATTATTAGTGTCATCATTAACTGTTACATAGCAGCACTGTTATAACAGACAAGTGAGTGAAAGTTGTTTAATGTCAGCAATATTCCAGGAATATCTCATCATCCTGTGTATAATTGAGTCTGGGTCAGGAAAACGACTGGTTGACAGCTTAAGCACACTATCATGTATCATGTATCATGGTACAGTGGCACACACTGTCACCTCCTGACCATCACTTAATGATGTCTCACAGAGCAGGCACTGGGTGCAGGGAGCTACTCTGATCCAGAATTCAGCACATATGCTTATGACATAAACATGATAAAAGATGTACCAACCTCTTCTGCATTCTTCTTGAATGTGGACAGTTGAGTCCTGCACTCAAACAGGGGTTTGCCATTGTTGAAGAGGGCAAATATGAGCACCCCTATAGAGTACATGTCGCTGGCGAGACTGCACATCATTGTGAGGGCGTACTCTGGGGCAAGGTAGTCCAGGTGAGGCTGGCAGCATGGGGGGATGTCCGAGTCCCACTCCTTGAACGCAAACATCGGCTACAACACAGGAACAGGTTCAGTAAGTTTGTTTGTTTGTTGTTTTACGCCGCACTTGGTCAAATCTTGGATTTAAAAAAACCCACAACCTTTGGATCTTGGTACGGCTTATCGATGCAACTCTGTACAGTAAATTTTGAAAGTCAAGAATAAAAAATCTGCTATTAAATCATGATATAATTATGTTGTTTTATTGTTTCCATACTTTGTTTTGTTTGTTGTTGTTTACCCCTTCACTCTGCAATATTTCAGTAAATGATGGCAGCCTGTAAATAATCAAATTTGGACCTGACAAACAAGAGATTGATATTATGAGCATCAATTCACTAGTCTGACCCACCAATCCATGTAGTTCCCTCTGCGACAAGCATGGGTTGCAAGGGACTAATTCCATCCAAGACTCCCCACAGGGGTATCATAAAAATACAACTTCCCTATTTTCAACTTCCCTATTTTCAACTTCCCTATTTCAACATAGAGAGCATGCAGTCTGGAAATAACCTAGTCTGAGACACAGGCAAACTAGTGGTTGATAGCATCAACAACACTTCATGTTGTCAGGGCATGATGATACACAATTAGTAAGGCCACACATTCGGTCCGCGACATTAGGCACTTGCCTGTACCTGAAGTCTAGTAAGCTTCATTGTGTCTAGTATTTTCTAGGGTTGGGAATTGGACCAAAAAGTGTATTGCGATATATTGCAATATTTCAAAAACATAATCAAGGGAAGTAACTCTAGTTCCAAGTTGTCAGCAACGTTCGTTCCCGTTGATTTCCGATTGTAAAATACGTATTTTTATCAGGTGGTGTTTGAATAATGAGGGAAAAACCCGATACGCCAAAAACATATCGCGATACGTATCATGATGAATTTGTATTGCAATATATCGGTATACCGATAAAACCGCACATCCCTAGTATTTTCCCTTAATATATATATGAACACAACGCCGAGTTTGGGCCAGTAGACTCATTAAAATCAGATCTTAGTTCTCCCTACAGCTAAACAAAGATCTGAGGACATCCCAATATGTCACATCAGACCAGACTTTTGCAAATTTCGACCGACATGTGGAATGACTGACAAGAAGTTAACATCAGCCAATCAGAAGGCAGTTGTCTTGTGCTTTACTGTTTACACTAGTTTCCAACTTGGTGATGGCGCTTCAAATCATAATTTGACAAATTCTTGATTAAAAATTGGGAGAACATTCTGCAATGGCTAATAGATGTAGTATCTTGTACTGATTCAGTCGTAAAGCTTGTGACTGTTGTTAAATGTTTCGAGGTTGAATGATTAGAAAACACATTCCCACTGTAATTTCCTGATCTGGTAAGCAACGCTCTGACTGGTTGGATGAAAGATTCCTATGTGACCCATAATGGGGTGTCCTCAAGATCCTTGTTTAGTGGTAGCAAGAATCTGATTCTAATGAGATTGGTTTGGGACAGACGGCACATCGTCCACTCAATCCCCACTTCACCCATCCTCATGGATTAATTGATTGATTGATTATGGCTTTAAGCTGCTTTTAGCAATATTCCAGCAATATCACGGCGGGGTACGCTAGGAATAGCAATCCTAATGGAGAAATGCATGCATCCCAACCATCACCAGTCTTCTCAGCCCAATAGAAGTAAATGTTTTTCATCAGCCAGATCATAAAGACACGAAATGAAAAGAAGATATCAAATGCATATGCAGTAAACACAGACTGGAAACATAAATGTTTCTTTTGGTGATTTTCAGCAACATTACACACTTTCACTATTAACGGCCTAGCTACATATATAACTCCTAGTTGTTTAACATGTCCACTTTAGCTGCACTGAAGGTGAATACACGGTACACATGTACTCCAGATCATTCAAACTTAGCGCCCTAGTTTCAAACCCTGGGTCAATGTAATGTGTGAGTTCATTAGAGTATGAACCTTCATAGAATGATGGCCAAACTGTATGAATGTCGTTTTGTTCACTAGGATAAGTCAAAGCAAGTATATTCGTGGACAGCCATGCAGTCAAACTTTTCCCAATGAATGCAAAAGAGTTTAAGAGTAAAGGAGTAAAGGATCAAAATCAAAATAGCCAGAAAGAATGCTTCTGTATCTATTTGTGCTGGGGAATTAGCAGGGGATGAAATATGGACAACCATCAAACTTTGTTATTCATGAGCTAATTTGAACGTCAGTTTTGCGGTCATGTGACATCCATTGGAAAAGTTGTATATTGTGTACACTTTAGACTACAAAAACATAAATATTTGATGAATATGAAGACACCTTGACCAAAAATAGAATTCAATAAATTTATGAAACATCATGCACTAAATAGCCCTGAAGTCAGACAAAACAACTGCCTCAAAACATATTGATATTCCTTACCACAAAGGAACCAGCTTTAATGAGCTGAAAGAGGCAAGGAGTAAGTGTAACAACAACACGACAAGGCAAGCAGTTGCTCAGTTCACATTCATTCTAATTCCTTCATTCTAATGCATAGTTATGAAGTTAGTAACAGTAGGTTGTTACATTTTATTTTACTTGGGTTACAGATCTGCCGACCATAAAATAGAAAATTGGGAAGGGGGGAATAGAATCAGTATTGCCATTAAGAAATGGTGCTGTCAGCAGTAAAAATCGTTCCTAGAAATAAACAGATTCTCAAAATACTTTGCATCTGCCAAATTTTGTAAAAGCAAAACAATACAGAAATTCAAAACTCATGGCCTCATTCTGCAAACAACTATCAAAAATGTGTACTTCCTCTAGTATCAAGTATTACTGAAATAACAGATTACCCAGTATCCATTATAATGCAGAAAGAAAATAAAACTGTTCATATTTATTATTTTTTTCATAATTTGTGTAACTTGGGCTTGGCAGATCCATAAATAAAGGAAGCCTGACTGTTACATATGTCTTGGACCAACTACCAACTTCAGTACTAAATCAAACAGCGGTGACAGAGATGACTAGATGTTCGTACCAACTATTACATATGTCTTGGACCAGCTACCAACTTCAGTACAGAATCAAACAGCGGTGACAGAGTTGACCAGATGTTCGTACCGACTGTTACGTTTGTCTTGGACCAACTACCAACTTCAGTACTAAATCAAACAGCGGTGACAGAGATGACTAGATGTTCGTACAGACTGTTACGTATGTCTTGGATCTACAACCAACTTCAGTACTGAATCAAACAGCGGTGACAGAGTTGACCAGATGTTCGTACCGACTGTTACATATGTCTTGGACCAGCTACCAACTTCAGTACTGAATCAAACAGCGGTGACAGAGATGACTAGATGTTCGTACCGACTGTTACGTATGTCTTGGACTAACTACCAACTTCAGTACTGAATCAAACAGCGGTGACAGAGATGACTAGATGTTCGTACCGACTGTTACGTATGTCTTGGACTAACTACCAACTTCAGTACTGAATCAAACAGCGGTGACAGAGATGACTAGATGTTCGTACCGACTGTTACGTATGTCTTGGACTAACTACCAACTTCAGTACTGAATCAAACAGCGGTGACAGAGATGACTAGATGTTCGTACCGACTGTTACGTATGTCTTGGACTAACTACCAACTTCAGTACTGAATCAAACAGCGGTGACAGAGTTGACCAGATGTTCATACCGACTGATCTGTTGTGTTGGTGTTGAGAACACAGAAGTCGAAGCCCGCCAGCTTCCATGTCCCATTCTTGTTGAGGATGATGGACTCAGGGCAGATGTTGTGGTGCAGGATCTTTGCATCATTGTGCAGGAACGTTAAGCCTTCAATCATCTGGAACCAGAGTCACAACAATCACAACAACGTAAAGCAGGGACAAGTCCAAACTTACAACCCAGGTACTCAATCTCCTATTACCTGACCCTACTCTAGTTGGATACATAATGTCCAACTGGGAATTGTTTTACCAGAGACATGGCAAATGCTTTTCACTTACACATATAAAATGATTAGATCATGCTTACACTGAAGTGGACTGAAGCTTTATCTTTACTCAAACGTATAAAAGTCAGAAACAATGTATCAGGACCCATCCGACCCAAGTACCCGAGTTACCCATCCCAGCCCTACAACAATGGCTGTCTATCTTATTCTGTAAGTCCCATTATCAGTATAACAGCAACATCACAGCCAGGTAGATTCATTTTGTGTTCTAGTGGTATGTGACTGTGCAGAAGGCTTGATGATTTAACAATTCATCTGTGCATGCTACACGTCACCATGGCCCTTTACAACAATTGTCAATAATCATCATTAATATGGTAAGAATTTAACACTGGCCCACTAGCCCGGGGCTAGTACAAATTCCTGTGGGCTAGTACAAATTGCCCCATTGTCTTAACATTACAAGAGCATTTTATCTTTACCTGGGCTAGTGAAGCTTTTGAGTTTAGTTCTAACCCTGATTTACATGATAAAAATTCTTAGATTTCCCTTTAGTTGGGCTAAACCATTTCAAAATGTTTTCATTATGGCAAAATCATCAATAATTTTACAAACAGAATGTTTTATAACACACACAAGAGAAAAAGCAGTTTTTTTAGCAATGCTATTTAAAAAGTGATAAGGTTATTCTATTACCGTGATTACAGGAGGGTAGGTAATATTACAACAGAACATGAATGAGATGATCAACATAATGCCACTTTTAAACCTTAATGCCTTTACCACTGCAGTCCACAGTTCAAATGAAATGGATGCTTTTGTTGCCTGTGGAATGCCTACTGTCCCAAAATATGGCGTTCACAACAAGTTTGCTTAACAGTAGACTGTTATTAGTCCTAGATGCCCTCACCTGCAGCAAGCCATGTCTGACCTCCACATCATACAGCTCATACTCCTGGAGCTCCTTAGGAACTGTTGTCATGTTGTCATGGTTACCCAATACATTAGCCAAACTGCCGAACACTGGCTCTGTGGCGAACGCAAGTGTTTCCCTGTGAATATGTTGGTACATAAATTAGTCATACATCAAACAAAAGGTTATCAGCTGGTAATAAATAATGTGGGTTAATGAGATATTGAAGATGTTATAATATGCTTAAGCCATATTGTAGCGAAATTACGGTGGCCTACAAATAATCAAACCAAGGACAGTGATTGGCTTCATGAGCTATGAATGATTCATCTCGTAGTAAAAGATCTACTTGTATTATTCAGATGAAGTTCCTGTATCTACCTGGACTCTTCAAGTGGTTCCATTACAGACAAGACTTTGGGGTGACGGAGTTTAGTTAGCTGCTGCACCCCCTTCCTCAATGAGTCCAGTATCATCTCTCGGTCGCGTCGGGAATACCGCTCCAGGCAACGCTTCTCAAACACGAAGATGGAGGATTCCTGGCACAGAGAACACAATATACTCAAATAAGACTCAAACAACGGAACAGAATCATGTCAGTCTGAAAACTGTTTGTTCTTTCTCAACACTTTCTGTCCAGTTGTAAACGATATTCAGTAAATAATATTTAAACTTATAAAGTATTTCCAGGACTACTTCTTGCCCTTTATCAGGTGAACTCAGATAACCTTCTGTTTGATTAAGTCAATGTCAGACTTGAATGTGTATTTTCTGATTCCAATAATATATTGCGATACTTGAGTGATGATACGATAGGCATCAGGATACTTAATCTGTGATGTGTTCGCATGAAATTCTTCGTATATATTGCCACATGAGGAAGACATATCATGCCCTTACCAGGTAGTGCAGAGCATACCATCACCATGATAACTGACAAATGTTTACAATGCCCTGTAATACTAAGTTTTGTCGCAATATGCAGAAGCAAACATATGCATCAATTTCACTAAAGTGAGGCTGAAGGGGTCGTTGTCGGCACAGGTACTACAGAAACGTACCTAAGGTAATTTCTGTATACAGAAATGTACCCTAGCCAAAATCAAAACACAGAAACGTACCCTAGGATGAGTCTATTCCGCCGAAGGGCGCAATGTGCATAACTGGTGTTCTTTTGGTTTTTGTCACTTCCTGTATGCCAAACCGCAGTTAAATTCAACATGGCAGTACTTATGAGATGCATTCCAGCATATCATATAGGAAACGATCATACACAGTGACGTGCGTACATTTATCTTATATTCAGCGTTGCGCGTATGCACTCGTAATCAGGCAACCGGAACTACAACATGAACCGTTAGGGTACCAGGTATGCTTCTGTATTCTAATTTTGGTTAGGGTACATTTTCTGTATATTCGGTTAAAGTGAGTGATTGAGTTTGCATAATTGCTGATTTGAACAGAATGTCAGTTATATTGCAGCGTCTCTCCATCTTCCCGTGGCAAGGGAGTTCATTGACTTTATACCGGTAAGTTCAGTTTCCACCCTTGCCATACAGTGTTATTGTATGATAAACAACTCCCACTCATCATTTATTTCTTAGATACAATGCTCAGTTGATCAGCATGATCAGTAGAGCCAATCCAAATGATCCATAATATTCCAAACATACAGACAATACAATCTGGAATCTCATTATTATTGGCAAATATCTTATTACCCTGACAAAAAAAAAAAAACATTTCTGGAACAAAGGGTTTCTGCAACACAGAGTAATTCTGCATTACCTGTTTGGTAGTTTTCTTCATTCCTCCATGTATTTTCCACAACATCCCTGGGCCTCCACTGGCTATTTGGTTGTACAAGTCAAAATCTCGGGATAGTGGGTTGCCAGGCAAAGCATTGCTCACGGCACTCTTCAATCTGTTAAACATGTCCATCACGTCCTTCTTCTCCTAGTCAGTTAGTGTCTTGAAAACAAAATAAAATGGCTTCATCATCAAAGACATTTGATCACAATCATGATAGTTATATTTCTCAACAGAAAACAAATAGAGAATATTTCTCATGGAAAATCTTATATGGGTTGGGGCATCAGGCAGCTAGTCTTTAATAGCTAAATTAGATTACCATGTTCACCCTTTCTCCTGTCGGTAAAACTACTGAATTCCCTAAAGCCAAATATATCCAAACATCCATAATTGGCTGGGAAAATAGCTGAAGATCCTTAAATATATAATGTATCCCTGATACACATAGTAGGCCCATATGAGCACTGGGAATGGTTATGTATCAAATTAATAGTACTGAATTGTTTTCTTTAGGTTATACTGGCAACTGTTATGAAAGACAATATGATTAAAGAGCAGAGTCATTGATAATATTCACAGTACCTGGTCATACGTTTTTTCCCAAATTAGTTTCAGTTATATGAGATAATATAATCCAATAGTGGTCATGGGGATGAATGATACAGACGTAAGCTGCCTTGTCTACATACGATACTTGAGCACTGTTTACCTGCAGATCTATTCAATCCCTGTTCAAACTCAAAGAAATCAATAACAGAATAGATGTCACGTCTGCTGTTTTCAAATAACAACACTGGTATCAAGATCGACTTTGCCAAAGACATGTCACGTTAAACGACAGCTGTCACTGTGGAAAAGACGCAAATTACATCTTCTACTTAGAGAACTAAAGCCAGTCTAGTATCGGGGTAGTTTCTGGGTAATCGTGTTTTCGCCACTGCCCACAGACTATGAAACAGGCAATCAGCACAACATCAACAAATGGTATTTCTGCTAATATAGGAAATAATAAATCTATGTTTACCACAAATAAACCAAATACAACCGGTAATCGGCTGTCAAAACGCCCTGCCGACTTCGTGTAAGGAGCTGAGAGCCATATCTGTGACGTCATAAAATATATGATGATGCACCGATCTCTTTTCTAAAACAAGCATTCCTTCATAGACACTTTTGAAATTTAATGGACAGTGAAATTGAGAACTTTAATAATTATTTATATTCTCTTTATCTAGTGTCTTGCCTTATTTTTATATGGTGACTAAAAACGTAAAATACTACATATATTATTCATGTTGAACATCACGTCCAAGGAACACAACTCTAACACGCACATGTCGGCTCTTTTCTGCTAATAAATCTTTGAGCAAAAGTTTCGAGGATCGATCCTCTCATCATCAACTGAACATTCATTTTGGATAGAACTCTAAAATGTTAATTTCAGATATCTATTCCTAGTATTGTTACAAAAAAAAGAATCGCTTCTTACGATAACTACCGGCTATCACTACAAAAATGGCCCTGTGACTAGCAATGTCATGTACAGTCCCAAACAGGAGTAAGTATGGTTTCAGGCCCCTGTTAGCAATATTCCAACAATATCATGGTGGGGAACACAAGAACTGTTCTTCAGACATTGTAGCTAAATGCGGAATTGAACCCAGTTTTCGGCGTGATGAGCAAACGCTTTAATCCGCCATCAATTTGTTTGACACATATAGCTACATACATCTACACCTTCATACACCTCCATATCTCCATACAGCTATATAGGTACATACACCTACAGCTACATGCACCAATAGCTACATACATCTACAGCTACATACACCTACAGTAAGATACACCTACAGCTACATGCACCAATAGCTACATACACCTACAGCTACATACACCTACAGTTACATACACCTACAGCTACATACACCTACAGCTACATGCACCAATAGCTACATACATCTACAGCTACATACACCTACAGTAAGATACACCTACAGCTACATGCACCAATAGCTACATACACCTACAGCTACATACACCTACAGCTACATACACCTACAGTTACATACACCTACAGCTACATACACCTACAGCTACATGCACCTACAGCTACATACACCTACAGCTACATACACCTACAGCTACATACGCCTACAGCTACAGACATCTATAGCTACATACATCTACAGCTACATACATCTACAGCTACATACACCTACAGCTACATACACCTACAGCTACATACACATACATACATCTACATGTACATACATCAATAGCTACATGCACCTACAGCTACATACACCTACAGCTACATACACCTACATGTACATACATCAATAGCTACATGCACCTACAGCTACATACACCTACAGCTACATACATGGTATTGTTATGGTATGGATAAATAACACACTTATATTTATCACCAGTTACTGTTCGGTATATGAATTCTAATGTGCACGCTTGTTTTATGCATATTCCTTTTTTAGTGACATTAAAACCAACTTACGACGCCTTCCATAAACACAGCGGACAACATTGTAATAAATAAACTGCGTATAAAGTGCAAAAGCTTTTAATTTATAAAAATACATAGAATACAAGTGATATATGAAAAAGAGAACATTTAGTTTTAGACACAGTAAAATGATATGCTTTCATGGGTTCCCAGCCGCGTCTACCAAATACACATGGGAAACAATGCACACAAACACATCTCAACATTTGATTCTGACGTGTTGAAAATGTAGGCTCGTATTTCAAAGGTACTGACAGGAAAGCTTATTGCCCTTTATATTTTCATTGTTCCCTCATTCGTTTCCATCAGTATATATAAGCTGATTTCTATGAAAATGGTTGTGTAAATATTTCAAAACAAGTCTCTCCAATAATTCTCTCGTTTGGATAATAAGCTTTATGGTCTATAATTTTGAGGGAAAGGAAGAATCTCTCCATTGGCGCCATGTGATCACATTTCGCACAACCCTACCTAATACCCACACGAATCTGCAGCAAACTGCTCACGAAAGTACTGAATGAAAAAGGGTGGGTGTAGAGCGGGGGAGAGGGAGGGGGTGGGGTGTGTGTGTGTGTGTGTGTGTGTGGGGGGGGGGGGGGGGGGGGGGGGGGTAATTAAGTATGCCTAAATATGTACAAACGTGTAAATATAATTTGATGTTAAATGAATATCTCCTCAGTTGGCGACCGCCTCCGTGGTCTAGTGTTGGAGCGTCTGCCCAGAGAGCGGAAGGTCCGGGGTTCGATCCCCGGCCGCGTCATGCCAAAAGACGTTAAAAGATGGTTCTTGTTGTTACCCAGTCCGGCGCTCGGCATTAAGGGGTTACACGGACTGCATGGTCGGCTCGGAGTCAGTATACTGTGTCTGAGTGGGGTATTCATGTTAAACTGCGGCATGGGATCTCAGTGGGCTAGCACTATAAATCGGCATCAGTCCGGCTTATTTCAAGCAGACACACACACATACATACGTTTATTACTTGCCCGTGAAGAGATCACCCGTTTAATAAACATACATATAGAATACTAAACAAGCTCCCGTGTAATACCAATTTTATGAAACGAGTGAATAGTTCTGGTATCTGACGAGCGAAAGCGAGTCAGATACCATAACTATTCACGAGTTTCATAAAATTGGTTTTACATGGTAGCGAGTTTAGTATTTTATTTCTTACTGGCCATTTATAATGTTTTTAGAACTATACTGTTGAGTGTGAATATGCTGACACCTACACGATCCACGGCATAATCCAACTGAGTTTAACACAATAATACTTCAGTAATACTTCAAATACGTCAAAAGTTGAAACGTATGAATTTAATACCATCCAGCGGTCCACCTTTAGAATTCAGGCGTCCGTTCCCCAAAATTATCGTAGCGTTAAGGTTATCGCAACTCATTCTTCCCCGCCCTTAAGGCGGGGAAGTATACGGGAAACGTTAATTTTGAAGTATGTATGTCGACATGTTGGTTTATTTGAAATTTCAAGCCACGCATTTACGGAAACAAAACATACAAATCATGTGCGTGGAATGTTGATGCTATTCTTTTCCAGCAATAAGAGATACTTCAAAATCGTCTTTATGTAGTTAATTGATGCATCTGGCCGTTTCTGGTCATTAGCTGACATTATTAAACCATTCATGTGTAATCCGATGTCCTTTCTTCCTCAAGGACTAATTTTCTGATTTTCATGGTGTATACAAAAGAAGAACTGTGCTCCGGAGATCGTAAATAACAGCATAATAAAAAATATGTTCTGAATATGCTTATTCATGAACAACGACGACATCTCAATTTAAATGTAATATGGCTGAATTCCACATTCTACATACCACACTTTTGATTGTTTGGATGCTCATGTTCCCTGGAGATATTTGGAATAGTTACTATTCCGTATTTTGAGTTAACCCAGTGCACCGCACATAGCCACATGTGAAACGTTTGGTAGCAAAGTCAAAGCAAAATCGGAGTAGTGAGTCGCCGAATTTGCATCAATGCTGTAGTATTTTTTAACCGTTTAATGGAATTCAATGTACAGCCGTAGCTCTGGTCACTCATATATTTTGTGTCCCATGGCTCAAATCTATTTGCGTCTGTACCGTGTTCCACTGACCTCGATAATCTGTTGGATGAAGGCACAGCTCTCTACAGGCTATGAGTGGTATTTAGGTCATAATCAGCTCCCAGCAGCCACTGCCTCAAGCGATATTGTCTACATAACAGATCAGTTTTATGGCTCCGTCACAGGTGCTCCAAACATTGAAGCAGGGAAAACAAATTTCATAGAATCATTTCAACAAGCAATATTGATATCCCCGTCACTTTTGGTAACTTTTAATGATGTCTCCATTGAAATTTTTACGGATTTTGATTCGTATGCATTATTTGACTCTCATCAGCGGAATGGTTTGGGTCAGATTGATCCGAATGGACAAGCGGTTTTACTTCTGTGTAGTACGGATGGATATTTATGTTACATCTTAACAGTATATCAGGCCACTATATATGCTTGTCGTAAGAGGCGACAAACGGGATCGGATGGTCAGGCTTTAGATGATGCATGGCATCGATCCCAATTGCGTGGATCGATGCTCATGATATTAGGCACTGGATTGTCTGGTCCAGACTCGATTATTTACAAAACGCCGTCATATAGCTGGGATATTGCTTAATGCGGCGTTAAACGACAAACCAATCAATCATCATCATATGAACTCAAACCAGTCATTGTTACAAGTAAACCACATTCCACAACAGTTATATACTGACACTGGATTAAAAAAACAGTACATAGAAAGAAAAAAAAGTAACTCAACTAATCATGATCACAATTGCTATTCTTTGAAAGAAAGAAATACAAAAAAGAAACTGACCAAAAAACGTAAAACAAGAGACGAGGAATCTCCTTTAATGATTAGCCCCGGTATTGAAATGTTCTCCAACTACGTGATAATATTTTGAGTATGTGCATCTGTTGTTGTGACAAAAAGACCTTATCTAGTATAACGTTTTTGCCATATGGAGCCCTTAGTATTTTCATTTACATTATTATAACCAAATGCCAAGTGTAAAAAGAATGTGATCTATTATTTGAGTATGTGCATCTGCCAATGTTGTTGGCAGTTTTGATACTATTTCCACATGTTTACATTTGTGCCAGAAATTGCTTCCATTTCCTTCGATCTACTTTTTAAATAAAGACCCAGCTAGGTTAGAATAGGTCTTCAGCAACCTATGCTTGCCGTAATTTAAGAGGCGACGAACAGGATTGGGTAGTCAGGCTCGCCGATTTGGTCATATTCCAATTGCGTAGTTCGATGCTCTTGGTGTCAATCACTGGATGATCTGGTACAGACTGGATTATTTACAGACCGCCGTCATATGACTGGAATACTGCTGAGTGCGGCGTTAAACAAGAAACTATTTTTAAATAGACCTACCCTATGCAAATGTATCCACTGTATTGCCCAATACTCAAAATAAATAATATTTTTTTCCACAACAGCGTTGTGTTATTTGTGGTTAATATAATTATGCTCCATCATGCCTTTCAGTAACATCATAATTATGCGTTTGTGAGGCATCAAATATGGCGGGGAACTTTGATGCTCTGCATCAATGTTTTCTTGTATACTTTAACTTTGACCAACGACTGTCGTCGCGCTACCCTGCGATCGCCTTGTGGAACGGGGCCTTGCACCTCAAAGTTTACAATCACGTCACAATACCCGATGACGTAATTTGTGGAATTTTGTTGCAAGATCCTTCGGCGAAACAATGCCATGTGACGTCAACCTAGCAACAAGGTTGCTGGGGTCATCCAGTGTGCATAAGCTCCTCTGAGTGATCTATCATCTCCATGCGCAATGTCGTTGAATAAGCCAAGGGATGTTGAGAGCTTTCAATATTTGATCGTGAAACGTGTTCCGAGAGTACATAAGCACGCGTTTTGGTATTACACAATGTGTAATTCAGCTGTATGTTTATTAAACGGGTGATCTCTTCACGGGCAAGTAATAAAGATGTATTACACATTTTGTAATACCAAAACGCGTGCTTATGTTCTCTCGGAACACGTTTCACGAACAAATATTGAAAGCTCTCCACATCCCTTCGCTTATTCAACGACATTGCGTGTGGAGTTGCAAGCTCCTCACAGCGATAGTACGTTCCCGGAGCTCTCTATACTATCGCTGCCACCAGTCAAAACTCCCAACTGTGAATAGGTGGCCACAACCATGCTTGGAGTTGAACTCGCAACCGAATGACCGTTATGTTTACAAACAAGTGTCGACTGTCGTGCGCCGAATACACTTATCGCTGCTAAATTACTTTCTTCGTTTGTCAATTTGAATTTCTGTTTCATTAAAACTATCGTGTTATTGATATAGTAAGAATGTAAGGGAGAAGTTGGTTGATTTTCCGTTGGTCTGCAATCTCGAACCAATCTGATTATCAAAACAACAAAGTAAATTCGTCTGGAAAACATGGTCAGTCGTAAACCTTTTCAAATTGAAATATGATGGCATTCCCAAAGACATAAACAAAAGTATAAACGTTAATACACATGGGGTTTGAGGGCAAATTTCAAGATTCTTGTAATGGCTGCGCCCACACTGGTGGCAGCGATGTTACCGAGAGTGTAACGAAGGTGTCACGCGCTGGGAAGGAGCTTGGTGGAGTTGATAGATCACTGAGAGGAGCTTATGCACACTCGATGACCCCAGCAACCTTGTTGCTAGGCTGACGTCACATGGCATTGTTTCGCTGATCGATCTTGCAACAAAATTCCACAAATTACGTCATCGGGTATTGTGACGTGATTGTAAACTTTGAGGTGCAAGGCCCGTTCCACAATGCGATCGTATTGTAGCGCAACGACAGTCGTTAGTCTGTTAAAGTATGTGAGTTGCAATAGTCTTAGCCAAACGATAATTTTGTGAATTCTAAAGGTTGACCGTTGTATGGTATTAAATTCATACGTTTCAACTTTTGACGTGTTTGAAGTATTATTCTGTTAAACTCAAGTGGACTATGCCGTGGATCGTGTAGGTGTCAGCCTATTCATACTCAACAGTATAATTCTAAAAACGTTATAAATGGCAAGTAATAAATAAAATACTAAACTCGCTCCCGTGTAAAACCGATTTTACGAAACTCGTGAATAGTTGTGGTATCTGACTCGCCTTCGCTCGTCAGATACCACAACTATTTACTCGTTTCATAAAATTGGTATTACACGGGAGCGAGTTTAGTATTCTATATACATGCACGTCGCTATATAAGTGCAATAATCTTGGACGCGACGTTAAACCCCATTTCACCTCACCTCTAAAGTTGGCGTGTTTGTGTTCCACATTGAGCCCAATGTTACGCTTTGCATGTAATGGACATGAAACACATACCTTTTAATGCACTGACAGCATAATATTATTTTATCGGGATGAAATATACCCCACGTGGTCTAATGGCGATCTCTCATTGGACAAGAGTGGCTCTGCCTCTGACCGTGTTAGCATATTTGACTTGCATTATCTGTCAGTGTCGACACGTGGCTGTGCTTCAATAGTAAATGCAGCGTATTATTTTTAGTCCATACTACAGAGAAAAAAACAACACAACACGATTTCATCATTGCAACCTGTATCTTATATTTTGAATCAGTATGCTAGATAACATAATATTTGGATAGATAAGCATTATGTAAATATAGCTGAACTTGAACGACTAAAGACAATTTATCCTAAGGGTTGGTGAAAAAGTATCTCTTCCCTCGTGTTTCGACGTATATCTCTTTTACTAACATGAATGATCAACGTTTATTAGATATTAATAACTAACATGAAAGATCAAAGTTAATTAGATATTAATTCCTCCCAGACAAAAATGTAATTCAGCATTCAGTCAATCGACCGTGGAGGAAACTTATCAGAAAGCTTTTCCTGGTGTAGACACTTAGGTGAAAATGTCCATGTATCCAGACCGTCATCCCAGAAGTAAGGATGGCTAATCACGTGACTGCACAGCTTGTGTCAAGGTTGTTTAATGCATTGCTGAGAAGATTCTCAACGATGATCCCGCGAACATGCAATACTAAGGGGAATCGTACTGTATACCAAACTGTCGGAGAATCTCGTCCGATATGGCAGCGATTGTTCTGCTCTCTGCGTGGGTGATCACTGGGTTCTCGGTCAGCCCTGAAACATACAGGTACGCGTAACTCAAACAGACATGCGTGTTCATTTCAAACATACAGGTACGCACAACTCAAACATAAATTTACGCACAACTCAAACACACAGGTACGCACAACTCAAACATACAGTTACGCACAACTCAAACATACAGGTGTGCTCATCTCAAACAGACAGGTACGCACAACATACAGTTACGCACAGTTCAAACAGACATGCAGGCGTGTTCATTTCAAACATACAGTTACTCACAACTCAAACAAACAGGTACGCACAACATACAGTTACGCGTAACTCAAACAGACATGCGTGTTCATTTCAAACATACAGTTACTCACAACTCAAACACACAGGTACGCACAACTCAAACATACAGTTACGCACAACTCAAACATACAGTGTGCTCATCTCAAACAGACAGGTACGCACAACATACAGTTACGCACAGTTCAAACAGACAGGCGTGTTCATTTCAAACATACAGTTACTCACAACTCAAACAAACAGGTACGCACAACATACAGTTACGCGTAACTCAAACAGACATGCGTGTTCATTTCAAACATACAGTTACTCACAACTCAAACAAACAGGTACGCACTGCTCAAACAAACAGGTACGCACAACATACAGTTACGCACAACTCAAACAGACAGGCGTGCTCATTTCAAACATACAGTTACTCACAACTCAAACAAACAGGTACGCACAACATACAGTTACGCGTAACTCAAACAGACATGCGTGCTCATTTCAAACATACAGTTACTCACAACTCAAACGAACAGGTACGCACAACATACAGTTTCGCACAGTTCAAACAGACAGGCGTGCTCGTTTCAAACATACAAGTGCATGTCTCTAACACACATCCTTCACATAGGATAACGGACTTGCTTAAAGTGAGGCAGGTCGTAGACGTGTACAACTGCAGTGAAGCATAGGAACATAGCATATTTTACAACGTTTAAATATATACCTACGTACCACCATGAAAATCGCAACATTAGACATATTTACAAATGACTTTGAAGCCAATAGGATCACAAACCATAATCTTGTATACATGTATTTCATGGACTACATTCATTTATTCTATATTCAAACTCATACTTATTTGCACATAGTCAATATGAACGTGCTAGGACAAAACGGCATGAGGCTCTCTGTTATCCCTAAAATGATAAGATTAATAACCAGGCATTAAAGAGACCAGGGACCACTTGCACAAAACGATCTCAGCGCTAAGACTATCCTTAGCCTATGTTAATGTATAGGGGTTGATATCATCTCAGCGCTAAGACTATCCTTAGCCTATGTTAATGTATAGGGGTTAATATCATCTCAGCGCTAAGACTATCCTTAGCCTATGTTAATGTATAGGGGTTAATATCATCTCAGCGCTAAGACTATCCTTAGCCTATGTTAATGTATAGGGGTTAATATCATCTCAGCGCTAAGACTATCCTTAGCCTATGTTAATGTATAGGGGTTAATATCATCTCAGCGCTAAGACTATCCTTAGCCTATGTTAATGTATAGGGGTTAGTATCATCTCAGCGCTAAGACTATCCTTAGCCTATGTTAATGTATAGGGGTTAATATCATCTCAGCGCTAAGACTATCCTTAGCCTATGTTAATGTATAGGGGTTAATATCATCTCAGCGTTAAGACTATCCTTAGCCTATGTTAATGTATAGGGGTTAATATCATCTCAGCGTTAAGACTATCCTTAGCCTATGTTAATGTATAGGGGTTAGTATCATCTCAGCGTTAAGACTATCCTTAGCCTATGTTAATGTATAGGGGTTAATATCATCTCAGCGCTAAGACTATCCTTAGCCTATGTTAATGTATAGGGGTTAATATCATCTCAGCGCTAAGACTATCCTTAGCCTATGTTAATGTATAGGGGTTAATATCATCTCAGCGCTAAGACTATCCTTAGCCTATGTTAATGTATAGGGGTTAATATCATCTCAGCGCCAAGACTATCCTTAGCCTATGTTAATGTATAGGGGTTAGTATCATCTCAGCGCTAAGACTATCCTTAGCCTATGTTAATGTATAGGGGTTAATATCATCTCAGCGCTAAGACTATCCTTAGCCTATGTTAATGTATAGGGGTTAGTATCATCTCAGCGCTAAGACTATCCTTAGCCTATGTTAATGTATAGGGGTTAGTATCATCTCAGCGTTAAGACTATCCTTAGCCTATGTTAATGTATAGGGGTTAATATCATCTCAGCGCTAAGACTATCCTTAGCCTATGTTAATGTATAGGGGTTAATATCATCTCAGCGCTAAGACTATCCTTAGCCTATGTTAATGTATAGGGGTTAATATCATCTCAGCGCTAAGACTATCCTTAGCCTATGTTAATGTATAGGGGTTAATATCATCTCAGCGCTAAGACTATCCTTAGCCTATGTTAATGTATAGGGGTTAATATCATCTCAGCGCTAAGACTATCCTTAGCCTATGTTAATGTATAAGGGTTAATATCATCTCAGCGCTAAGACTATCCTTAGCCTATGTTAATGTATAGGGGTTAATATCATCTCAGCGCTAAGACTATCCTTAGCCTATGTTAATGTATAGGGGTTAATATCATCTCAGCGCTAAGACTATCCTTAGCCTATGTTAATGTATAGGGGTTAATATCATCTCAGCGCTAAGACTATCCTTAGCCTATGTTAATGTATAGGGGTTAATATCATCTCAGCGCTAAGACTATCCTTAGCCTATGTTAATGTATAGGGGTTAGTATCATCTCAGCGTTAAGACTATCCTTAGCCTATGTTAATGTATAGGGGTTAGTATCATCTCAGCGTTAAGACTATCCTTAGCCTATGTTAATGTATAGGGGTTAATATCATCTCAGCGTTAAGACTATCCTTAGCCTATGATAATGTATAGGGGTTAATATCATCTCAGCGCTAAGACTATCCTTAGCCTATGTTAATGTATAGGGGTTAATATCATCTCAGCGCTAAGACTATCCTTAGCCTATGTTAATGTATAGGGGTTAATATCATCTCAGCGCTAAGACTATCCTTAGCCTATGTTAATGTATAGGGGTTAATATCATCTCAGCGTTAAGACTATCCTTAGCCTATGTTAATGTATAGGGGTTAATATCATCTCAGCGTTAAGACTATCCTTAGCCTATGTTAATGTATAGGGGTTAGTATCATCTCAGCGTTAAGTTCGCAGGTCAGTGTGCGCCCAGTTATGATTATTGAAGTGTTATACAAAATTTATTTGAAACGTTTTTCCCCCTTTCCGCTTTAGAGAACAATGTCCCGGAGAAACCTTTTTTTTATGCAGCCTTTAACTGCATGCCATGCTTTTCGTAAGAGGAGACTACATTGGACCGGGTGGTCAGTCTCAGCGACTTGGTTGCATTTCATGAAGTCTGGTGCTGTGGACATTGCTGATTATATCAATCACTGGTTTGTATGGCCCAGAATATTGCTGGCTGCAGTGATATTGCGGGAATATTGCTGAGTGCCATGTTAAACAACTAACAAACATGTTACATTAAAGTCATGTCTTTATATTACTGGAACAATATTAGGCAATCGCTCGCTTGCCCATTTACAAATGGAATGAGGTTTTATACATGTGTAACTAGGAGTGGTGCTCAATGTTGACCTTCATTTGACCCTTGACCAGGCTCCTAAAGTGTACGCCATCGTTCCAAGCGGTGATGATCGTAACTGACAATATCAATCACTACATTGTCTGGCTTAGATTCAATTATTTCCAGCAACTCTCGATATAGTTGTACTATACTTGACTGCGGCGCAAAACAACAAACAACCTCACCATCTGCTGACTCACCTTTCTTCAGACAGTCTCTGACGGCATTCTGTTCGTACACAAATCCCGAGGAATACTCATAGTTGTAGTTATAGCCACTGTCAGGAAGAGGGAACTCATAGTCCCCGTTCGGAGTGCGAACCTTAGTTGGAATCCAGAATGGCGCCTCCACCTGAAGGTGTTTACATAGGCAAAAGACGTTGTAAATGTGCCGAAACTCAGCAATATTCCTGTTATATGACGGCTGTCTGTAAATAACCGAGTCTGGACCAGATAATTCTTGTGATTGATATCATGAGCATCGACCCACACAACTGGGATACGATGACATTCATCAAGTATGTCAGCGAGCCTGACCACCCGATCCCGTTGGCCGCCTCTTTCTACACGCGTGGGTTGCTGAAGACCTATTCTAACCCGGAACTTCACGGGAACGACGTCTGTCTACTGACGTCCTAATTGGTCCACAGCAACCTACGCTGGTCGTAAGAGGCAACTTAATTATCGTGGATCGTTCCTCATATCAATCACCGGACAGTTTCCAGACTCGGTTATTTATTTGTATTGTATATATATTCGCTGAGGATCATCACTTTAAAAGGTAATACGTCAAATTGTCAATCTCATTAAAATCAGATCTTAGTTCTCGCTGCCGCTAAACAAAGATCTGAGGACATCCCATTACGGGTCACGTCAGACCGACCTTTCCAAACTCTGACCGACCAATGGAATTACTGACAAGAAGTCCACATTAGCCAATCAGAAGGCAGCTTTCTCGTGCTTTACGGCACTAATTTCAAATTGGCGACTACGCTACGAAACATATTTTGACAAATTCTCGGTTACATATTTGAAACCTGAACAAAAGAACATTCTCGAATGGCAATTATATGATCTAGATTGTATAGATTCAGTCGTTTAGCCCGTAACTATCGTTCGGAATACCCCGTTATAAAGTTTTCGAGGCTGCATGACGAAAAATCACATTCCGACTGTCACTTTCATGATCTGGTAAGCGACGCTCTGACTGGTCGGATGAAAGGTCGTTCTGACGTGGCCCCAAATGGGAGGTCCTCAGATCTTTGTTTAGCGGTAGCGACAACTAAGATCTGATTTTAATGAGATTGTCAAATTGTGTGAATCTTTTGAAATAGCCAAAGACAGTATTGAGTGAAAACATGTCCACGACTGCATGCCTATGTCCGTTCATCATGAAATTGAGGTCCTGTAGGAATTACCTTATCATTGTGTACCGGGATATTTAAATCTGTATTTGTTGGATAATGTTTTGTTATCATCAAAACGTGATCCTTAGCAAACTTTGAGTAGTATATAACTTGAATATTGCAGAAAGCGGCGTTTAACAAGCTGATTTCCGGCAACAGAAGGCGGAACATGGCACTAGTACCCACGTGTATGCTCCCTCGTGTGCCCAGTATGTGTAGGCTGTTGTCGGCCCCTGTTATATGGGTGTGGTATGTCAACACCGCCATCCTACCCCCGGGATAGCACAGAATGACGCTCCCGCCGGCATCCACTTCTGCAAACAGCATCATCGGATGGTCAGTAGACCGAGCATCATAACAGAGACGTATCTACACCTAACATCCTCGGTTAACCAGTGCATTATAATACCCTGAATCCATTCACTTACTTAGCACAGCATTTCTGGCTGATTTATTTAGACCTCTTTATTCTATTTCAAAACAAAGTTATGGTGGCGAACGCCTACAGGGTATTTATAGTAATTGAAAGGAGTTGTAAAACACTTTATAATGGAGGACGATGTGTGCTAGCACCGGCATTAAACCTCACCCGCTCTCCCATAAAACCTTGCAAAACTACACCGCCTCTGTGGTCTAGTGGTCGCAGGTTCGACCCCCGGCGCGTCATACCAAAAGACGTTATCCTTGACGTTACCCGTCTGGCGCTCGGCATTAAGGGGCTAAAACAAGGACTGGTCGGCTCGGAGTCAGTATACTGTGTCTGAGTGGGGTATTCATATTAAACAGCGGCATGGTATCTCAGTGGGCTAGCACTATAAAATCGACATTGGTCCAGACAAAGACGTATATAGAATTGTATATACGTCCGTGGTCCAGACTAGTACAAGGAGACACACACACACACACACACGTGCATGCACTTCGCTACATAAGTGCAATAATCTTGGACGCGACGTTAAACCCCATTTCACCTCACCTCACTTCTCGAAAAAGTTAACCCTGGCCCATCTGTCACACTATTGAGTACAATGCCATTACGAAAGTATCGACTAACACCCCGTTCACATGCACAGCATTCACTAACGTAAGCCACTTTACACATGTGTAACTATGCATACGTGCGTATATGTAAATTTACTATGCGTTCACATGAAAAGCATCTTAGGTGTGTAAATAAAGCATGTACATTAAGTAAGGCCCACATATTCGTCAGTCTGTTCACGACTTCCAACACAAAACAGGTTGTTTTGAAAGTTGAATGAGAAGAGAGTTACTTCACCGAAAAATGTGTTTGATTTAATTTGTACATAAAGTTTTGACTCCTTGAAACCAAAAGAAAACACCGCCCGCTCAACTCTGTATATACGCATAAAAGTTGGCAACTGTTGACAATTTGTTTGGTGTTGACAAACGAACAGATATTAATTAGAACATATACACGCAGTGCAAATTTACATTTACATTTGCACCTGATCCAGACATGCTGCAAATTTGCTCCTGGTGTAAATATACACACATGAGTAAACGCGTTCACGTGACAAGCATACTCACGTATGTATGTCTACACACGTATGCACATATACACACATATGTATAGAGGCACATGTGAACGGGTTATAACTCTACCCTAGCACGCACAATAACAAGAAATGGGATTTTATACATAATATATAGTGAAGCTATCAAATTATTGGTATTCAAAATAGAGAATTTGAAAGTAAGATGTTCCTCGAACTAACCACCGTTGTCAACCATGTCTACTTCGGCTACAATTTTAGTCGGCATTCCTTTGAAGGCGAGAAGTGCAGCCTGGATGGTGTAGCACCCGATGTCCTTGAGGCCTCCCCCTCCCAGCGCCCTCTTCTCCACTCTCTCACATTGGTAGCCTGACATACAGATGGATGTTTGAATCAGCTTCACGTCTCCAAGACTCCCAGAATCCAGTTCCTTCCTTATTTGGTCATACACGGGAAAGCAGCGCGACCACTCACCCTAGGGGTTGAACAAAAGCACTCCTTAGGGGCCGACCATTTGATTTTCGGTCTGGGATTTTATCGCAAAAAATATTTGAAAAAAAACATTGTTCCCGGAAATTATTGAAATATATTATTATGCTTCATATTGTTTGGAAAATATGAAATTGCCACAAAAAATGTTGCAATTTGTTGTTTCTCCCAAGAATATCAAAAGGTCGGTCCCTTATCGCTGATGATAATCCGTGTTTAATTATATTCGGTTTATATAGATGAGTTGAAAATAGCGAGATCCTCGTCCAATGTTTAACCATATGAATAAATGTATGGGTTCTGGAAGTTATTATCAGAATTATTGCTATTGCAGTTATATTTATTATTATGTTGATGATGCCACCGTAGGGGTTCCTGGATAAAATAGTTCCCTATACTGGCCGTACGTAATGGACCATGTGTCCAAGGTCAGTGATGTGGGCGCTACTGTGTCCTCGTACCCCGACGCGTGGATCGTTGCTCATGTCGCTGCAGCTAGATTGCCGACGGTTGTAATCCGACGGTTATTTACAGACCGCCGTCTTATATATTCTCCAAAAGACGTAAGGGGTATTCGAAAATGACAGATGATTACAGAAATACAAAGATGTATCGAGTGATGGTAATGGGTGGATTAGAAATAGGAAGGACTAGGTGTACTATCACAATCAACAGAAAATGTTGATGGTGTATTGTGTGAAAACAACTAAGAAAGACGACATGGATGTCTTGTCAAACAATGAACGTTTGAGTCTTTCTCAATAATGGACTAGGCCCCCACGATTGGTCAAACATTCGTTTATACGGCGTGGCATTGCCCGAATCAATCTCCCAATGACAATTTGAGGGAGTCTTGTCCACTCTTCTTGCAGCAATTATCCCAGTTCGGCTAACGTAGCAGGTGGTGACTTGGTTGATACATGTCATCGTATCCAAATTGTGTGGATCGATGCTCATGATATCAACCACTGGATATTCTGTTCCAGACTCGAATATTTAGAGACCACCGTCATATAACTTGAATATTGCTGAGTGCGGCGTTAAACAACAAACAAACAAACTTAGAAAGACCGCCAAAACGTGTTCCTGCTTTCAATCGCCCTGAATGTTTACCTCCATAAAGAAGAGTTTCTTCTCCTTGGCAACCTTCAGGAGCTCCTCGCAACCAGCCAAGGTGAGGGTCATTGGCTTCTCACACAGCACGTGCTTGTCTGCCTTCAGGAAAATCAGACACAGTCGATGATGGTCAGGGTTGATCGTAGCGATATACACTACATCTAGAATGACACAACCATGGATGTCTTCAGCCACCTTGACAGTGTTATATAGACATAGTATCAGGTCTGTGACAAAATATATATTTGGGACTACCTTAAAAAGCAAAAACAATCATATATGTATATATCTAAATCCATGTCTATACATCTATAGCTATGATATACTGAACCGCAAAAGAAACGTCACCCCAAGTAACATTGCATGAAGAGTTGTCATTTAAATATCTGGGTAATTTTTGTCAAAGTGTCTAAAATTTAACATTGCCTTGTCCGGAAAAATGAAATTTGATGATAAAAAAACAAAGCAGATGACAATAAAACCGATCGCCCAAACGCATCACGACAACGGCCATGGTGATCCGATGCACGTGAGTTCCGTGCAAATTGATATGCACACGCGTTCTCCCATTTCTTGCCCTATAAAAATCCACCCAGATCGTATAACAATCATTCGTTATTGAATTGCTACCACATGCCAAGATTGACAAGAAATCAGCGACACCAAGCCCTTCGACAATTTCAAGCTGGACAAAACGCCCGGCAAGTAGCCAATGCATTTTATGTCCACGTAAGGACCATATACAGGCTCCAGTAACGGTACCAGACCACCAACACTACAGATGACCGACCACGTAGTGGAAGACCAAGGGTCACCACCCGACATCAGGATTGTCAGATTGTGCGACAGCATCTTCAAGATCGCTTTGTTACTGCTGCGGAAACTGCTCGACAGACAATGGGGACACACCAGCGGCACATTAGTGCTGACACCGTGCGTCGACGATTGACGAGCAGACACCTCCACTGTCACAGGCCACACAGAGGGCCCATTCTGACACCACGTCATCGCCGGGACCGTCTTCACTGGTCAACACAGCACCAACATTGGAGCCACCTGCAGTGGAGAAGAGTCCTCTTCTCAGACGAGAGCCGTTACTGTATCTCAACAGCAGATGGCAAAGAGAAAGTCCGGCGACGCCGTGTGGAACGTTATCCGGATGCTTGTGTTGTTGAGAGAGACTCGTGGGGTGGTCCAAGCATCATGGTGTGAGGTGGAATTGGTCTTGCACAGAGGGTCGGCCCTGTAATCTTCCAGAACATCGGTCCAGGGAGAGGCAATGGTGTCACAGCAGCTCGGTACATTGATCAAGTCTTGAGACCACACGCCATACCTCATTTGGCGCGTCGCTGCAACCAAAAGTTTCAGCATTATAACGCCCGTGCCCACACTGTGAGAGCAACAAGAGACTTTCTCCAGCAGAATGGCATCAGTCCCGATTTAAATCCCATTGAGCACCTGTGGGACGACCGACCAAGGCCGACAACTGCAGCTGAACTGTCAGGCGTTCCTGAGAGTGTGGGCTCAGGTGCCTATGGCCTTCACCAACCGCCTCATCCAATCCATGTATCGACGTTGCACGGCAGTCATCATTGCACATGGAGATACTGACTTGTGATGCTATTTTCTCAGAGACTAGTGTTGTTTCACTTTAAGAGCATTTGACATTTTAATTTCAACCTTGATGATCAGTTTTGCCAAGTTTCATCTTTTAAATATGTCTCAAAGTATGTTTAAAGTGTTTGGACAAATAAGGTGTCTCATTTATCTATCCATGGTGACGTTTCTATTGCGGTTCAGAATATATTCCAAACTCAAAACTCATTGTCACATTAAAATATAATTTCACATATACACAGGAATGTAAATGTGCTTATAGATATACGTTCAAATATAGTCCTCATCCCCATCTTCATCTACATCCTCATCCACACCCACACCCACATCAGGTTCATATACACGTCTACATCAACGTCAGCATTCACGTCTACATCAACATCAACACCCACATCCACCTCTTCATCTACATCCACGTCCACGTGCATCTACACCCACATCCACACCCACACCCACATCAGGTTCATATACACGTCTACATCAACAGCCACATCAACACCACATCCACCTCTTCATCAACATTCACGTCCATGTCTACATCTACATCTACCGATATCTACTCATCCAGTGTTAACCCTAACCGTGCATCCACATCCGAATGTATGTATAAATCAACTACGTGACCTCACCAATGTCGGGGTCGTCAGCCATATCCTCGTACGACTCGTAAACCTTCTCAATGTTGAATTTCTGGGCATACAGTTCTGCATTGTCATTGAATGTATCTGCGATAGCCATCAGCTGCCAACACAAAGACCGTCACATAAGCGGACCAGGTCGGGATGGTGTGTAGTTGAGAAGAATTTTATTTTTTTTGAGAAGTGAATTAGAAATGGGACTATTGATCTGTTCACTTACAGCTTTTGAAACATCGAGAAGGGATATTTGATACAATACTGAAATACTTGATGCAAAAGCCAATCTGAAAAAAGCATACGCCGCTGGGAAAATATTAACTCTCGTCTCCAACAAACACTGGGTCCAAAGGCTCCAGATAATATTTATTCACGTTATCATTCACATTGCGTATTGATAGCTATATTCAAAATAATTTTACTTCCTTGATTTCAGTTTATTGGGTATTTGTACACCAATGAATAGACATTTTATTAAAATAATTAAGCTTTAATGCTGTTTTAGGTGACATCAAAGTGTGTCACACAAACTCACAACAGCCATACATGTGTCTCATTATAACAATATGCGAAATGTAACGACTTGTTCATGCATTATTCTAAACAGTAGACTATAGTTTAAGTGATGCCTGCATTCTAACAGTAAATAAAGATATGTCATGAAATATAGGTACACAAGGTAACCTCCCTATTGTTAGACGGCATACACGGTGAGTGAGTGAGTGAGTGAGTGAGTTGGGTTTAACGCCGCTTTTAACAGTATTCCAGTTATATCACGGCGTGTCAACTTAATGTGGGAGGAAAGCCCGAAGTGATGCAGGTCTCAGACGTTTACCACTTCGGTGAAACCCACGAGCACGAGTATGGTGCTGGCAAACCTAGAAACATAATCGGGACGAACCGGGATTCGAACCCACAATCATAGGTTTCTGGCAGGCCCAGGGGACGCAACTCTGCACAGCGAATCGCGGCGCCTTAGACGACTGGGCCACCCGTGCCCCCGCATACACGGTGAAGAGGTAAGTTCAGTGCACTAGTCATTGTTACCTGCTTACCTCAGTGTAAAGTGGAGCATGGAGCATGGAAACCCTACATATACTACATGTGGGATTATTCTCCTAAAGTTATGTTGTTGTTTTTGTAAAAGAGGTATCTTACGTAATGGGAAAAGTGTTTTGTAGATTTCAAAGAGACTGTCGTCTGCTCATCTGTCCTGCTATAGGGGCGCGATGTTATACGTGTGCCGTGAAACATGAGGCTGGAACAGGAATGAAAGCCAAAACATGGTTCTGAAAGTGGATTCTTTTGTGGAAATATGAACCTACCTTGTGTTCCTCGCGTGGCAGTGTCACCATGGTTGCACAAAAGTCTTCGCATATTCTCCCCGCACCGCAGAATCCCCATCTTGTAGCCATTGTTTCTGTCTGTACAAGTACATGTATGAAATATGCAATTAATGATGTGGTTTATACGGTGGCCCATAAGGGACATGGAGTCTGTTTTTCAATATTTTGATATTTCACTTACTTTTATCATAACCTTTTTGCAAATTAACACAATTTGTCATGCAAATATTTGATAAATCATGCATAAAAACAACCGAAAACATGGAAAATGTACTTTCAAGTAGCTATTGAATCGCTGAAATGTGAAGCGAAAATGTCAAAAACTAAAATTTATATGTCAAAAACAAAAACGAAAGGTCAAAAACTAAATTGAAAATACAGAAAACTATTTCCACCGCGGTGATAATATTCCCACGGCGGTGGATGTAGTTTTCTGTATTTTCTTTTTAGGTTTTGACATTTTCAATAGCTACTTGAAAGTACATTTTCCATGTTTTCGGTTGTTTTTATGCATGATTTATCAGATATTTGTATGATAAATTGTGTTAATTTGCAAAAAGGTTATGATAAAAGTAAGTGAAATATCAAAATCTTAAAAAAACAGACTCCATGTCCCTTATGGGCCACCGTAGGTTTAGATGAAATTTTCTGTTTCGATCACACTTGTCTAAGTGAATAAACAAGTTTCCGACTAACGAATAACCAAGACAACATACATACCATTCCCCATCTAGCATTTTCATCCTACTGTATCAAATCATTCCAACCGCTGTTTTCATGATTCATAGGCAGTAGAACCCGCACTGTTGATTAACAGTGTATATTAATATTCAAGTCACTCGCTGGGCAAAGTTATGTTTATAGATTTGGGGCGTTCTATGTGACGCGAATTTACAGTGACATACGTGATATACCATAGGGCTACAAGCGGAAATTAGTTCCCGTGCATCACTGAGTATCAAGGGAAATAGTTCCTGTGAGTCACTGACAATCATGGAAAATAGTTCCTGTGTATCACTGACTATCATGGGAAATAGTTCCTGTGTGTCACTGACTATCATGGGAAATAGTTCCTGTGTGTCACTGACTATCATGGGAAATAGTTCCTGTGCATCACTGACTATCATGGGAAATAGTTCCTGTGTATCACCGACTATCATGGGAAATAGTTCCTGTGCATCAATGACTATCATGGGAAATAGTTCCTGTGTATCACTGACTATCATGGGAAATAGTTCCTGTGCATCACTGACTATCATGGGAAATAGTTCCTGTGTATCACTGACTATCATGGGAAATAGTTCCTGTGCATCACTGACTATCATGGGAAATAGTTCCTGTGCATCACTGACTATCATTGGAAATAGTTCCTGTGTATCACTGACTATCATGGGAAATAGTTCCTGTGTATCACTGACTATCATGGGAAATAGTTTCTGTGTATCACTGACTATCATGGGAAATAGTATACCACTCAAAAGAAGTTAAAGAACATCTATTCTTTTATATTACTATAGTTTATCGGTCAAACTTCTTTTGAATAGTATAAATAAACGCAAACAAAGAACTATTTTTCAGTGTAACAATATCCAAATCTGGCGACCCCACACTGCCGAATAATCATAGGTGACACGCCATGATATAACTGGAATAGCGTTCACAAAGCGTTGTTAAAACACATTCACTCCCTCCCTCCCTCCCTCACTCACTCACTCACTCACTCAATGATGCATTATGCGAAACTGAAACATCGGTGTTAGATTCATATGCAAGTTAACATTTGAGTGACACAGTTGAGTTTGGACCAGTTCAATTAATCTTGCTTAGATTTTCAATTTGGCCGAGCCTAGTACAACTCTCTCGTTCATTTTCTTTGTGATACATTTATCCAACATAGAGGAAACATTCGATAAAAACTTATATTGTTGGGCTAGATATAGTCTGTCATACAAGTTCTCTAACAAATGTATCCAAATCAGCCCATGCAAGTCTATCATATTTGGCAAGTCTAAATTATTGATAATGAAGAGAGTCTCTGGGCTACTGCTTATTATATTTTATTACGATAATTTTAGAACTGTTTTGCCTGTAAAATATGTTTATTTCAGAGACGAGGTGTTAGTCTAGAGTTCATACAAAAACAATCTCAGACCTTTCGTTGGTTATTATATATATGAATTAATCTGATTATCAGTCAAGTCGCTTAACATGTAACGATTGTTGCTGTGTTCTGATTGTCTGATTCGTGTTTAATATGGGAAAATAAATTCCTTAATATGACATTTATTTTAAGGCTTTGTGTGAGAAAACAGAAAGCCACATTCCATGACCCGTGCTGGCTTGGCAATGTCTATGAATAGACTTGGGGGTTTCCCCCACGATATCGGTCACGTGACATAGCGTACTAAAATCAAAATGGCGACGTCCATGACATGTGAAGATGAAGGTGGGGAAATAAAAGGACCAGAAACAAAGTGTCGTACCGAGAAAATGGTGTTTATATCTGAGGAAATGGAGCGATGGAACTGCTTGAGGAATAGCCTGGGTTTGGAAGAAAAAGACAACCCAGTTGTTGCAAAATACTTGCTAGATTTGTACAGGTTTGACATCCAAACTCCCACCGATTTATCATTGTAGATCTATCAAGATCTTCACATCTTTAATACAGCCATGATATCTGTTTTACTCCAAGGCGATATCTGTTTATCCCTCGACTCGGATTAAGACATCTGAGTTTAATGACATTGCTTTTCTGTAGTCTACAGTGTCAGCCTAGAGTAGTAGAGATGTAATGATATTAGCGGCATATAGCCTAAAGGCCTAATGGTTAAAACAGTTGTGGCTTGCTTCGACACTGCATTTGCTTCCTTATAATGGAATTTTCCTATGGTAACGTGACCTTTCATTTAAGGACCTACTAACACTCCTATGTCTTAATTACCATGAACATGATGAGAGTTTCACTTTTTAGAAACTTATAGTTATTAAAATGAATCACTAGCAGCAACAGCAACACTTGGATAGTTTGATCTACATAGGTCTTTGAAAGGCATTTAGAAGTGATACACACAAGGAAGAGAATATATGGATGTCAACTTCTTTATTATGAGGAACACAATGTTTCGGAGTATATGCTTACTCCTTCATCAGGTGATGGAGTAAGTGTATACTCCAAAACGTTGTGTTCCTCATAATAATGAAGTTGACATCCATAAACTCTCTTCCTTATGGATGTATTAGATCTATCATTCTCTTGCATATTTTTGCATATTCTTGTTTATTATAACCGTTACATGATTGAAAGTTGCAAATATTCAAGAAATATTAGGTGAGCGGCACAACCTTGTGGTTCTCTAGTTGTATCAATGATGATGAGTGTTGTTGGTTTTGTTTCAGCAATGTGGGAAGTACTGTCACACAACGAAACATCCACTCGCTTCCAGACTGGTCACCCCCAGACTCACCAGGCCTCATCACCAACTCAGGTCTTGAGGAGACACGCAAGAAGAGAATTGAGGACATTGCATCAAAAATTAGAAAAAGAAAGGTCTGTATGTAATTGTGCGTCTGTGTGTAATCAGAGCTTTTGTCAGAATTTGCCTCCAGTTATTTTCCTCATGTGTTTTGTCATGTGGTAGTCAAAGGTCAAGTTCACAAGATGTTTTTATCGCAAGACTTGGATCATGCACCTCATGGTGACACAGGCTGCCTTACACCCCCCCCCCCCCCCCCCCCCCCCCCTATAATTAGCCAATGGTTCAGTTATTAACCGACCAAGTGATATAGCGGAAAGTAAATGCTGAGCATAGTGTTGAACAACATTCATTTCCTCACTCACCTACTTGGATTGTGCCCTTTGAACAGGTTTGATTAACTTATTGATATGATTGTTATTAATACCATACCTCATCCTGGCCTAATCAATGTTCTCTAAAATGGAGGGTATCATTACAAATTATCCGTTTTCTCCAACAGCTAAATGATTGTCAAGATTCTCTATCCACTGTGTCGGAGCCACCACCTGCCCCCGCCCCGGTCAGTCCCGTGTCCAGCCATATCGTGTTCAAGGAGCTGGACGCACACTCAATTATCATGATGTCCAGACACCCCGTGGTCAGTCTGGTCAACGACCAACAGATCCTCGCCCTGGACTCTGCCATGACCTTGTCTCAAGGTTGGTACCAGTCAGAGCAGATATAATTGATTGCAAGTATGATCAGTCCAGAGTCTATGTTGCCTCAATGTGGAGCATCTCAAAGTGGTGAGTGGGTGAGTGAGTATGGCTTAACGTTGCTTTTAGCAATGTTTCAGCAATATCACGTCGGGAGACACCAGAAAATGGGCTTAACTCATTGTACCCATGTAGGGAATCGAACGTGACGAGCCAACACTTTAACCACTAGCCTACCCCACCGCCCCCTCAAGGTGGTGAGTTAACCTCTAGGCTACAGCGGGGCTATTAAGAATCTATTTTTCTAGTATGCCAGCACGTTATATTGTACGTCCATTTCTAAGGTAAAGTGTGTTTAAATCATAAAGTTGTTGATAAATATAGATTTTTCATAAAGTTTATAAGTGAGATAAAACACATGCCTCAGTGTTGAATTAAGAAATAAACGATGAGTGGGAGTTTTTTATAATACAATGCAGGGAGAATAAAACATGAGGGATACAGCCCTAAGCAGTTAATTCTCCCCGAAGAGTTTTACTGTATGGTAAACAACAACCACGAGTCGTTTGTTCTTATATAAGATATCAACATAATGTGCAGCCTATTTGAAGATCTTAATATAATGTACAAGCTTTGTGAACATTTATGCGTATTTCAATAATGATGACTCCCTGATACAATCCGACCTCGGCAGTGTTGGACAAGTCTATTTTATGAAGTGGGGGTTACGTTTGGTATTTCCCAGATATTCTTACAAGTCGATCGATACTGATTGTCATATTTTGCCCACTATTGAATGCAATTGCGATAATCTGCGTTGCCCATCTACATCTATGGGGAACAACTCACAACACACTTTCCTCTCAAAAATAACATTGTCTAATTTACGACATAATTAAGTTGGCATGTTCGTATCTCCAGAAATGACGTCATGACAGAACAATGTTTTATCACGAGAAAAAACATTCTTCGTTCTTCATTGTTCTTTGTGATTGATCGTGTTGCTATTTTATATTGAGATTTAAGTCCCCCAACAGTGTTTTTTGCTACGCTTACAATGTGGTCTTATGTTTTCATTCCTGTTCCAGAAAACAGTCGTAAATGGAAGCAGTTTTGTGCTGCCAACCGTGATGGCAAGACCTGCGTGTTGCCAGGCCTGTACAGGCTGTGGCAACAGAACAAGTACCTGGACGCCGTCCTAGTGGTCAACAGGCACCGGGTTGCTGTGAGTTGGAGGATTCAATACACTTCTCAAATTAAGGGGGCCCTTGGGTCCTTAAAGGATTGCTGCAATGTTATTTGTATCTTGGGAACTGTTGTTATTCCAGGTTAGGATAGGCGCTGAGCAACCAATGCTGGTGGTAAGAGGCAACAAGAATGGGTAGTCAGGTTCTGTGACTTAGTTGATTGTGTGTCATCGTACCCTCATGGTGTGGATTGTTGCTCATATCAATCACTGGTCGTTTCCATCAATCACTTCCTGTGACAGACTCATTTAGTTCCTGGCTGCTATCATATAGTCACATTTTTGCAGTGTTAAACAACAAATGCATGACAGAATCCTCACCAGTGTACTTTAAATTGTCAAAGTAAAAAAGTTTTAAGTCAAACGCTTCTGAAACTATGAAGACATTAATTTAGGATAAAAATCATCTTGTCAAATATCAAGTTCGGATTTTGGTGAAAACTGGACTTTTTTACATTCCCAACAGAGTCCGAATTGGACGGATTCCACTGTATCTTACTCTATACTTGCATCAAGTAAGGAGTCCTTAAGTAATCTCCATACCATGCTGATATTAATCTGCAGTACATTTCTGTCACTCATCAGTTTGAAATCAACAACCATTCAAAATGACCCTTTAAGCCAAGTTCTGCATAGATCTCCATTCAAAATAATAACTTATTGAATCTGCAATATATTTGACTAAATCAGAAGAGTGTTACAAAAGAATTTTTTAGCTGGGAAATATGTATGAATTGTTTGAAAGGCATTACTTAGAAGTTGACGGATGACAAAGCAGACACAATTTATGGATAACAACTTTTTTAATACTGTAAAGGCGACATTTCGTTATAGATCCTTATACCGTTGTCAAGCAAGACAGCTTTGACGAAACGTCAGCTTTACAATATTAAAGAAGTTGTTTTCCATAAATTGGGTCTACTTTGTCTAGAAAAGATGTTTCCCTGGGCACAAAAATGGGTGGGGACCCCTAATGCTGCAAGATGTTCCGGATATTTTTGAGATTTCACACATACATGAAGTAGAGCACTGGCGATATCATCACCTGTTTCAATAATGAAAGACAATATTATTTGATTTTGTGTCATTCAAATTGGACTCAAAACAATGCTTTGAACGTGAATGGGTCTTGAGTGTTTATTACATTAGAATGGAGATTAAATACTGCAGCTAATGGAGGATGTTTGTTTTTCCTGCAGCTCCACAAGATCCTGCTGATTGGAGCATCACCAGTGCTGAGTGGCGAGTTCGGGCAGGAGCCCATCCACGATATGAACGAGTATAGACTCGAAATAGACAACACTGATATGAACAATACCGTGTTGGTGTCACTGGTGCGCTACCTGTACACCGGGCTGCTGGTGTGTAGTCCCCGCCAACAGATGGCGCTGCATAGGTTGGCCAGACTACTGAAGATCGACAGGTTGTGTGCCATGTGCAACAAAGTGAAGCATGCTGGGAGTGCAGACAGGAAGTCAGTGGGGCGGGCAACTAACAAGGGCCATAATGAACAAGACAAAGGTGATGATGTGTGTGTTGAGAAGCCTGTCAGTCGTGAACACGGTGTATCCCTGTTAGGGAATGGACAAGCAGTGAAAGACAACACAGTCAGTACAGAAATGCGAACCTGCAGTGGTGACAGTGTCAGTAATGGAAGGTTTGGCTGAGATGTGCAAGTCGACAAGTGTTGGCTCCACTATGTCTACATAGTGATGAAACGTTTACTCCATCAAAAGCCCCTACAGAAGATCAGTTCAGATGAACCAACCAAAAAAAACCCAGGACAACCCAATCTATATGAATGATGAGTGAGTTCTTGAGTCATCAGATGTTGCCTTTCATGATGATTTCTTTCGCACCTTGATTCAGAAATGTTGATTTTATCAAAAGAAAGCCCACACATTTTTTATCGATGGTGCTCCCTGAAGGGTGAATATGCGGTGGCACTCAAAAACAACAGGGTGTATATAATATTCACAACCATTTAATCATGATGATGGTGTATCCTATACTGAGCTTTTGTTTTCAAGATCAGATATGTTGGTCTGAATGTTTTACTCACTCCTACCGAAAAATTGCCTCAATGCTGATTGGATGATTAGAAAGTTCTCGATCTTCGATTATCCAAGTTCAGAAAGTTAACCTGATGCAGTCTCCTGTGGATGGGTGGTCAGATCTTCACTAAGAGAGGTGTTATATCAGGGTTAAAGATCTGATGTTAAGGAGACTGATAAGCATGATAAGAACCCAGTAATGAAAGCATCAAGCAGGGTATACAGATCCTTGATCATCCAGGGTGTTGTATCCATTCAGTCATCATTTATACCCTAGCTGGGCCCATTCACAACCTCACCTTTGTTTGGAGTCTGATTTGAATGACATTTATAAATACTACAAATAGCCATCCAATCCAGTAACACTCGTGAACGAGAGACATTTTGTGGAAAGCTACTGATAAGAAATGCAGATATTTTGACTTCAGTTTCCAAAGGAAGCTCAGTTGCAAATGGCCCAGGGTATTTGTCGCATAATAAAATGGAGATGTTCACACTTCATCATGTCGATCAGTTAGGATTGGGTAAACAGTAAATCTTTGTTTGAAGTCACACATTAACAATCTCGCTGCCCTCCAAGTGGTCTCCTCCTCATCTTCATATTTTGTTGTTATGTGGCTCCCAAAGTTGTTGGACAAAGTGACAGATTCTCTCTGACTTGTGACTGATCAATCATGGGGTTGGGTTGACAGTAAGCAGCATGTTAATTACTGTCTGTGACACCATGGAGAGCAATACATGGATTTGGAACTGATATTTAGTAGGCATGTATTCACAGGAGTGGACCTGCTTTGTGAAATCTAGGGCTGGAAGATTCGTGAAACCAGAAGTAAAAATAAAGCATGAACATGTTCATTTTCCATTGTTTCTTTGTTCTCCCAATGTACGGTCGAGTCTGGGACAGGCAGACCATGACAGACGTCATGGGCAATGATCCATGGCATGTGATAAGACACAATCAGATCACACATGGCCATCCCCTCTCTCCTCCACATGAGGCCTAATCTGGCTAACCCATACTTCAGGAAGTATATATATATGCACCTTCATCAGCTGGCTCCTTTGGTTCAGTCAACAGCATCTGCCGTCTGTTCATGGGGGACACTGATTTAGCAGTAAGCTTTTATTATCAATGGGACAGATTGCAAATATTCATGTTTCAAAAATGTAAGAATTTGGGATGCACAAGACAAATAGGCATGTAGACGAGGTGAAATGGGGTTTAGCATTGTATTCAACATAACTCACTCACAAAGCAACAATTAAATATGCAAGTGTTTGCTGCTGCTTAGGCCAGGCTTTTTTTATTTTTAGGACTACGGATTTTTCAGCCCAAAGTCCAGGGTTGGAGAAGGGAAAAAAAAGCTAAAAAAAACGCCATTTGTGACAATACAGCCCCTTGTAACAATAAAAATTCTACCACTTACAACACGGACAATTGTCAAGGGAGGCTATTCATGTTTGGCTTCGAGATCAACAACGATTGATTATGTATCTCTTTACTATTTTACAACAGTAAATTCATATGTGTTTTATTAAAAGGTGATGATAAATCTGATTATTTCTTTTAACATTTTCTCAAAAATTAGAGTCGGCGGGTCCGTAATCCGAAAAATATAAAACGCCTGGCCTAAACTTACGATAGTCTTATGCCAGGTATATAGCGCTAACCAACTGAGATACCATGGATACCCCACACTGACACAGTATACCGACTCTGAGACAGACAGTCCTTTTTTATCACAAAATGCTGAATGGCACAGGGTAACAAAAAGTACCATCTTTTAACATCTTTGTCACGATGCAGCCAGGGGATCAAACCACGTCCTTCCTATCGCTAGGCAGTCATTACGCCACAGAGGTAGTTTAATAGACACACATATAATAAGAAAATCATTTTGATAATATAAATCATTAAATACTTCTTTTAGATGGAACAAATCCTGAGATTACATAAGTATGAGCAATGCCCGCTACACACCATGCCATGGTGTACAAGGCATGTATAGAGTTCACAAGTTGACTTAAATACAATGTAATGCCCACTTGGGTATAGAACGTTGCTATTAAAAATTACATCCCTGGTAAAGCACTGAACAATCCTGACTAGATAGGTCCACACTGGAGCACTGCACTCCACATTTTAGGAAGAATGTGAAACTTGACCATTGATTTTTCTTCCTCACAAGATAGATATCGTAACAGTAACTACCTCCTAAGCTTGTCAAGTTTGAACCCAGTGTGTTTCAGACTTTTATACAACCACTGTGATACATGATCAACTTCCTGTCTACAGAATGCTATATACCGGTAATAATAAAACTCAACACCATTCAGATAACTTTATCCCATATGTGTCATAATCTTGACAACTGATATAACTTGAAATGTTATTTGACAATATTTCCAAGTACACATCTTTCAACAGTCTCAATACAAATATATGTATATAAAGTCAGATATATATTGATATATTCTCAAATGGACAATTTCTCTTAAGTACATGGTTAAGGTCAATAATGTAGAATATAATTTTCATCCCGTTAAAAGTGCCCTGCACTGATTCTTAATTCTTCAAAAACCCAGCCTCCCACATTTAAGGAAATGTGACCAACAATGGCTTTGTGCAGCATCATAATCATGATAATACATGACATCCCTAATAGGGACTACCATAAACATCATAACAATACCAAGATCAGCCAAAAAACTACTGTAAAAGTTAAATGTGAAACAAGGATGTAAAACTAAGAATTTACTTCTTATTGCAAAAGTTAAAAATAACATTCTTTTTCCCTCTTGATTTTTACACTGTGCACAGTGATATCAGTTGATACACTAATCACATTATCCCCCATATGCCCAAGCTTGTCCTGATCAAACCAAAACGGTTAGGCATTGGTGTGGTGGAAGCCGTCGGTCTCGTTGATGTTGAGGTAGTTGAAGACCACTGAAGACCCTGGTGCAGTGACTGGCTCACACGCAAACAAACCAATCTTCACGTCTGCTTTTTGCGGGTTGTTGAGGTGAGCTATACGGATGAACTCCCAGTTGTCAGAAGAAGGGTCCTTCCTCTCAACCTGAACAACAACACAAGTGAAATGTTGATCGCTGAACAATGAACTATCACATTATTTCAACCATGTCTGCAGAATCAAAATGTTAATTTTGTATCTTGATCACATTATTACTCAAGAGATAACAATATATGAAACAACACTGGGTCAATTTAGTGTCCTCAAAAATAATGATAAAAATTATATCCTTTTATCAAACATAAAGGATTTTGATATTGACAATGTGATTGATATTGCAACAACAAAAACAATTTTGCTTCGGCAGATTTGAAGACAAAGCAATTAAAAAAAACACTCTGGACACAAAATCCTCCAGATGTGGTTCATAAGGATATATCTTTCATCTGAAGGAATATGAAAAATGGCTGACTGAGTGACTGTGTGTGACCTACCACAATACTGTCTCCCAGTCTGAAGAGGCGCAAAGTGAGCTTGCTGCTGTCCCACTTGGTGGTGGACCAGTCGCTGTTGTAGTTGGTCACCACACAACTCAGCCGCCACGCCCCGTCCGAATACTCCAGACCCTACAAACAACAGTCACAGGTACTTTCTGATTGGCTTGAGCAAAGGGATGCCAGACCAGTGATTGACAGCATGAGCACTGATACACACAATCTGGGTACTATGATAGACTAGCAGTCCCATCACACATTGTAACTGTCCAATGCCCATTCTTGTCGGCTGCGGCAACGAGCATGATCACTCGGGACCTGTTCTCTGCTACATGTACTCCATGTTTATTAAGGTACAAGTAACATTTTGTTGACTTTGTTGTGTCATTTTCACAACAGTGACCTTGACCTCCAATGTCAGGCACCTCAGAGCAGGTACACTACATTAATAATGTCTGTGAAAACACCTGATACATGTACAAGATCAAATTCAGACACACATTAAACAACCATGTTGTACTCTATAAATGACAGAGAATTAAAATGTCATGACATTAGTCTCTCCTTATCATATAATCCTTGGTTAAAATGAGAACATAACTTGGTGAGTGAGTTGGGTTTAACACCGATTTGAACTTGTCACGGTGTGTCAGCTTGCTGGGGGAGGGGTGGGGAATGTGTAAGTGATGCAGGTCTTATATATTTTCCACCTTTGTGAAACCCACGAGCACAAATATGCTGCTGAAAATTAAGAATCCTACTCTGTGAATCTGAACTTAAACCCACGATCTTAGATTTCTGGCAGCACTTATGGATGAAAGCATCGCTGACATCATCACTGTTTGATGGCGATTCATAAACAGATGCTTCACAGCCTGTAGAGTCGGAATTGTACAATGGATTGCCTTTACCAGCTTTAGTTTTTTATGATTACGGAAATGGTCTTGTTGCTTCCTTAAATGACAATTTAGCCACTCCTACCAAGGACAAGACAACAGTACTGTGAGAGGCAGCCTGGATTATCCTGTGCATTATTTCTCCATTCTCCAGTACAATAAATACCCTGGATCTATTTGCCACCATTTCGGAAATTACATCCCCACCTTCATCTTTCCTATCTCTATCAAAGCACAGAATTCTCTCGCTCAGAAGAGTCATTTTGTTAGATAGCTATTTTTAGAATTGTTCTTTTAGAGTAAGGTTCAAAACAAAGCTATGTCCACAAATGGGTCAAGGTTATTTATCATAATAACATACACTGTAGAATCAAAGATAAGTATGATGGAACTTACTGTCTTGACCCAGTGATCTCCGTCCAGTCTCACCATCAGCCCAGCCTGTGGAAACAGATAGAGTGGTCTACAACAGTCACTTGACAACACAGAGACAGCCACAACACTTGACAACAGATAGAGTCAGCCACAACACTTGACAACAGATAGAGTCAGTCTACAACACTTGACAACGGATAGAGTCAGTCTACAACACTTGACAACAGATAGAGTCAGCCACAACACTTGACAACAGATAGAGTCAGCCACAATACTTGACAACAGATAGAGTCAGCCACAACACTTGACAACAGATAGAGTCAGCCACAACACTTGACAACGGATAGAGTCAGTCTACAACACTTGACAACAGACAGAGTCAGCCACAACACTTGACAACAGATAGAGTCAGTCTACAACACTTGACAACAGACAGAGTCAGCCACAACACTTGACAACAGATAGAGTCAGTCTACAACACTTGACAACAGATAGAGTCAGCCACAACACTTGACAAAGGATAGAGTCAGTCTACAACACTTGACAACAGACAGAGTCAGCCACAACACTTGACAACGGATAGTCAGTCTACAACACTTGACAACAGACAGAGTCAGCCACAACACTTGACAACAGATAGAGTCAGCCACAACACTTGACAACAGATAGAGTCAGTCTACAACACTTGACAACAGATATAGTCAGCCTCAACACTTGACAACAGATAGAGTCAGCCACAACACTTGACAACGGATAGAGTCAGTCTACAACACTTGACAACAGACAGAGTCAGCCACAACACTTGACAACAGACAGAGTCAGCCACAACACTTGACAACAGATAGAGTCAGCCACAACACTTGACAACAGAAAGAGTCAGCCACAACACTTGACAACAGATAGAGTCAGCCACAACACTCGACAATGGATAGAGTCAGTTTACAACACTTGACAACAGACAGAGTCAGCCACAACACTTGACAACAGATAGAGTCAGCCACAACACTTGACAACAGATAGAGTCAGCCAGGATTTACTGGATGCATGCAGCATCAAAGTTAAAGTCACAAGGCTCCATGAGACTCTATATAATAATAATAAAAGGTAGTCTGTCTTACAGACCCTGATACAAATATATATCAAATACAGCCCATACAAGTCTATAATGTTTGGCAAGTCTAGATTACTGCAGTTTCAGTTTCTGAAAATGAAGAGAGTCTCTGGGCTCCCTTTTATTATATTTGTATTAAGATAATTGAACAACTGTTTTTTTCTGTACGAATTGTTCATTTCAGAGACGAGATGTTAGTCTAAATAAAAGGGTAAACAAGAAGATGCAAACATACACAACGGGTGTTTTGGTACAACAAAACAGTATAAATATTGCGTAATGATAACAGAAAAGGCTTTATTGGGTATTACGGTAAATTACAGTGTTGTGATAATATATTGAAGTTTTAACTTTTCTCTCTGAGTATTGGTATGCAAGCAGCTCAGAATTATTAAGGTAACAGGGATTTATTTTGCATATTTCACACAGATATGCAGCTTATCTCGAGCCCCGCATTACCTGGTCAAACTTGTTGGTACTCAGCACCTCAAACTCGGTCTCCACATACACCTTGTCTTCTTTTATCACTGTGTACAGGAAGTGACCATTATCGTTTCGTAGCTCAGGAACATAGTATGTTCTGAAAAAGGATTATTTACCTACTGAATATAAAAAAACTAAAAGAGAATTCAGAAAATGTCTTGGAAAGCTTTTTAATGTGAAGAGATGGTATGTGTAATTCTTGAGTTCCTAGACACCAGGATCATTACAATCATGTATCTTACTCCAATGCAATACCTGTCAGACAACTTCCATAGGTCACATCAGAACCATGAGTGAACTTAGTCTGCTCAGTCTGAATTAAGGATGAGTGAGTTCTTGAGCCAATCAGATGTCTGCTTTCGAAAATGATTCGGCTTCATTTCTTTTCCACTGCATTCCGGGAAATGTGATTTTAATAAGAGATAAGCCTCACAGAAGACAAATATTCCTTTGATGGTATTCGCTTTTGGTGTTCATGCCATGGTACCATAATGTCCAGAAAATACATGGCTCAGCCTTTATTATTTACATGTAGCACTGATCAATTAGCTTCATTTTCAAGTTATAGAAATCAGATATGCTGGTCACTTGTTTAGAGAAATTAGAAGAGGCAAGGGAGTCAACTGACTATAATACCAATTCCACCTTTGCCGAACTAGCACCTTGTTTAAAAACATGAAAATATTTGGGAAATATCCGTTAATCCCGAGTTTGCGGTACATATGCTTTGAAAATCCTGCAATCAACCAAATTCTGCATGGCAGCTTACAAAGCGCGATGTTGAGTTCATGACGCGATTTTGACTGGACTATGCATAGACTCGTTAGTCCTTAATTCCAGCCTAGTTTGGCAAGGGTGGAAACTGGACTCAGGATATACCTAGTCAGTTAACTCCCTTACCTCAGGAAGATGTTCTATGGAGGGATTGTTATCATAATAAAAGATTTGATTATAATGAGATTGTCCCAGGCATATCTGTGATACATTTCTGACTCTCAAAGCATCTCTATGCAAGTATATCTCCCTCCTTACCAACCAAATTTGTAAAACAGGAAACAATGTGCATGTATAGCCACATACACATACACACTGTGGACATATTCAATTTGAAAAAAGTTGACAAAAACAGGAATAAAAACATTTGAGCCAGGACGTTTTGATGACAAGGCTAAGAAAATCCATACATGTTTAAGAAAATAGTAACATACAACAATATCCCTAACCTTTACAAAATAATTTGCCTGCAAAGGGCACTTTGTTTCGAATTGTAGATACAGCCAACTCTGCCATACAGTCATGCTTTAGGCTAGTTAAAGGGAAACCACACAACAACTTTGAAAGTATTGAAATATGGATTGGCTTTTTCTTCGTGGATTCAAAATTTGCTTATTATGGACTATAATTTTGTCAAATTCGGGTATAGAAATTCCTTAATCGACACTGTTTTGTGTTTTAATATCATTAATTGTGATGCGCATTACAAGACATTAATGTTTATAGAAACTATATTTGTGATTTTAATAGTATAGAGAAAAAAAGCTTACAGGGGAGGTCACTGAGTTACAAATAGCAACGTTCCAGAACATAATATAGGATGACGTCACAAACAAGAAACGTGACGTCATTGGATAGATTGCTAAGCAGCCCGTCGTTAGGGGAAAGTGGACTGCTATCAAGTTACATTTGCATTGTTTTTTATGAAAATTCTATCCATTTTAACTATAATACTTGTTTAAACATTTACATTTAGTGCATTATATATTCCATTGTTAACGTTTATTTTCTAAAAAACTAAGCCAGAAATAGCAATCAGCTCTACGCATATTTTCTCCCAATCAACCGGTGATTTGGTAACAAAATACCCAATAAATATAACTTCAAAGAATTTTGATGCAACGATCGGATAAATTGTATCTGAAACTATTATTTTATTATTTATTATTTAATCGAGTTATTTCAGTTGCAATGTTTACTGTATATATTTAAAATAATAATAACCATAAGCATAGCATTTTGGAACAACTGATATCTTACAATTGCCGGATATGTTTTACATTTAACAATTTGATCAGTCACAGTGGAGGCCTCTCTCGTTGTTGCTACAGCAAATAAATGAAAACAAAATGCAAACATCAACAAAATTCACATGAAAATATTAGGCAGTTCCCTTGTTCGAGGAATGTATCCGTCAATATCCACATAAAGGACCAATAGTCCATACAGCTGAAGCTGTACAAAGACACTTGTTCGATGTCACATCTTTGTAACAATGTAATATTTTAAAATATATGTAGCAATTCAGGATATAATAACCTGTCTTTGTCTCCTATCTGATCATGTAAGTTTGTTTCATGTGTTTCAAAAAGGTGTCATATGTCTCATTGGTCAGCAGAGATGGCACATGTCACATGTATGTGCATGATGTCTGCGGCTCTTTAAAAAAAATCCATTGAGTCAGATAAAATAAGCAAACAATCAATGTATTATCGGCTAAATCCTTTAAACAAAGTACCATATTCGACGTAATATGTGCCCAGGGCGCTATCAAAATTAGAAATAGGGGGCTCTTATTAGAATATTATTTTGGTGAAAAATACAGAGTTAAAAGATAAATTTTGTGGTTTATGCTGACAGCCTGAAATATTTATATACGACAGATATATTTTTCCAGAATTTAGATGTCCATAATTAAGGGTGCAAAAACACACGAGTGCGTATTATACGCGAATAAATAAGTCTTTTGTGCATTGACCAATCGGAAGGGGTGCTCATTAGGATTGTTCACTAGCCAATATATTAGCAAATATCGCCATGGGCGCTTATTAGAGCGGGGCGCTTATTACGTCGAATACGGTATATTGTTTTTACACAGGTACTTCACTCCCAGATATGGGCGTATTCTGTCTGCTTTAGTAAACCTTCATGTATTAACACTTAATTTTGACAAATCCACTGTGCTAGATAACAGTGATTAGTCAGTCAACATAATATTGGTTAATCCTTTGGTTGGTGCATTTTTTAGTAACTCAACAGACCATTCCTCCCTTGCTGCCATGTGCATATTACATAACATGTAATTCATTCACCATATCAGACCTGGATTTACAGCCCAATTTTAGATTGAATAACTACCCCTGACAAGAGAAATGCCAAATACCTTTCCAGGTAAACTGAATGGTCCTACCACTAATTACACCTGTAATAAAGTCATTAACTGACCATCAAGTGAATGACGACAAATAGCCAGGTGTAGAGTTTTAACATGCAACATGGAGTGAGTGAGTTAGTGAGCATGGTTTTACGCCGCTTTTAGCAATATTCCAGCAATATCACGGCGGGGGACACCAGAAATGGGCTTCACACATTGTACCCATGTCGGGAATCGAACCCGGGTCTTCGGCGTGACGAGTGAACGCTTTAACCACTAGGCTACCCGACCGCCCTATGCAACATGGATGACAAGAAGGGAGTAGTTATTGTTGTATTTTGCGAACACCTGGTATCATCACTGTTTGGTAGTGATTCATAAACCCATGCTGATGATAGTCAGAATCTTACAATTGACTCTGTTTTTGGCAGAGATTCTTTATGAATTTGGAAAGGGTTTTGTTGCTTTTATTAATACACAATTTGCCTGAAAAATAAGGGTCATTGCTGTTTTGAGTAGATTCTATATGAACTTAACTTCATTGTTGCAAAAATAATACGTACAAGTATTTGCTGTATGCTCAACTACATAACTGTGAATACACATTTACACACGTAATCAAATTTTGCAAGATTATATTATCATCATCCAATTAAATGCGAGGATTCAAGGTGATTCCACCTTACTGTCAACGGGCTTGTCCAAAGCCCAGTTTGATGGGTCGCTGACGCTAATTGGTATCTACTGATTACGAGGGCTAATTAAAATGGTGCAGGCTAGACTATTGAGTTGGAGTGTTGTTTCCCTCTAACTCACCTCTGCCAGAAGTCTGTTAGGGGATCCTGCAAGAAAATAACTTATACTTGTACATCACTGTCATGTCAACATGCATATCTTATCAGTGAGCATTTCGGCACATATTTGTGCACACAAAGGTCATGATGCATGCAGTATTCATTTCAACATTTAACGAGCACAAGTCCCGGAATTTTCACCAAGTCATCTGTCACTGCCTATAACCCATTAGCTGCTATAGCTTGATTCAGTCACTTATATCATATCACTCGGTACGTAGGGGAGATATGATGATAGGTCCTAGCAAAGACAGAATCGTGCTCAAGGAGCATTTTATTCTAAAAACCCTGAAATAGTATAAAAGGTGTGTGTAAAACTTTGGTGACAGTGTTATGATGGCTGCGTTACAGAAAGTTGAGTTCATCACTTCTCAGGCTGGAGGACAGCAAGTCTTGTTTGGAGGCTTCAGGTATCGCCTGAACAACCGCCGACAGACTGCAACTCACTGGAAGTGTGTCTTGGCTAACTGTCTTGGCAAAATTAGCACAGTTGGTCAATTTGTTCGAAATTCATCCCCTCACAACCACAAAGTTTTTGGAGACGACTCAACCTTACGCCTCATGAGTAATCTACGGAGCCGAGTCAAAGAAGATATCAAGCCCATACAGCAGATTTACAATGAAGTCAGGAGTCCTCTAACTATTGATAGATCTGGGCCCAATTTCTCAACACAAAGTTTTTGCTATTAAATAACATTAAATATTACACATTCTTTGTTGTTTGTCTAACAGTCTGGACACTGTTATTATTGAAATAGGGGTGTTCTCATTGTGCCTACACTTTAATTTTCAGTGTAGGCAGACTGAGATGTAGGCAGACTGAGAATGAACCGGTGTGCCTTATGTAGGCTTAAGTTTAATCAGCTGTCAGTGCAACGCTGCAGTATGCAACTAAGGGACGTCGGTTGATTAATATACGCGGTGTAGAGTTTGACAATGGCGGCTTCCTACCATGTTGAGTTTGAGCCCTGATCCATTGTTAGCTTTGGACTGGTAGCTTTTCGGCGGTGAAAACCACTGTAATCCAGGTGGAAAGTCATCTGTTTCAAATTTAGTCGAGACGATCTTCTTCACAACAGTCGGACCCGCCATCTTGTGATCATGTGACAAAACTGGGCGATATAGATCACGTGATTTCACATTTCTTATCGACGTGATTAAGTTTGGTACCTTTTCCCAAGCATGTCGATCTGATGTTCGTAACAAGTTTGATTGATCCTCGATCTAACTTACAGTTTGTTGTAAATCGTATGATGAGTTCAATAACTAGACTTATGTGTTCGATTACTCGAACCCAAGATGTCTGGTCGATATGTTTGTAACTTTCAAATTGTACCCATGGCATATGACATTTTTCAGTTGGCTGAATCAGTGGCAGGCAGGTCCAGAGTGGGGTCGGGAAGGTTCTGGGGTGGCCATCCCCCACCCCAATCCCTTTTTTATTACATCTGATGACATATTTTGTATGCGCTATTCCTACTGTGATAACATGTTGGTTGGTTAAAGTAAGGTTATTTGTAATGGTTTACTGGGTTTACATATAGTGTTTGTGATTATTATTTTTTTAAACACACATAAAATATGACGTACACATACAGTATATATGTACTAATAACAACATCCCTATATATCTTATTGCCTCGATGAATGTGACTTTGATTTCATTCTTATTTTGGAATGGAACATTGTGTATGATGTACTTCCATGTCACCGAGTGGTCCTGACAGACACAGGCCTGTCTATACTGTCTGATGAAAACACTACTCCAACCATGTATGTATTGTTTAGAAACCACTAACTGGCATCACACCGCATTCTATTCATGAAGACAACGCGCGCAAAGTAGCTTTAATCACTCTCGTTCATCATGTTGTTATCCTCCTCCTCCCCCTTCCCCCCCCCCCCCCCCCCCCCCTCCTCATCATCATCATTCTTCTTCATTTGCGTGGAAGTTTTCTTTGATTTTTGTATGTGTTTTATTTGGGGTATTTTTTTGTGAGGAGGTATAACAGAATATCTGAGCTAATGGGTGTATCTTATACAACGCCAATTACATGTATATTCCTGGATGCCCTGTCCTACATGTCTTCCACGACTTGTAACGTGAGACGCAGGTACAGCTGTACACAACCAGGACTGACCCAGGTCAATAGCCAGGGCTGACCCAGGTCAAAAACTAAGACCAACGTCATACAAAGTGATCACTTTAGACTCACGACTGATTTCCAGTTGCGGTATTAATGGTTCCCACCCCCTGACATACATCGCGTATGACATCAGCAGAGGTCGAAAGGCCAAGTCATAGTCGCCTGTTAGATAAAAAAAACCATACACATATATGTATGAACGATCTGTAAAACCTTTCAATACGAGTAACGTGTGGCACTCAGCAATATAACTGCTTGTATCAAGGCGACATGGAAGTGTTCGATTTAAACTCACAGCCGACACCCACCTCTGCCCTTGCATATAGTAGACACGTGTGTAGCATAGAGAATGTAATAACAGCCGTGTGCAAGTCATGTATTATCGCAAGGTAGATGCACGTGTATAGAATAGAGGATGTAGCAGTTTGGGAGTAAGCCCGAAGTGATGCAGGTCTAAGGGGTTTACCACTTCTGTGAGCCCCACGATCACAGGTATGGTGGTGACAAACCCAGAAACACAATCAGGGCGAACGGGGATTCGAACCCACGATCATAGGTTGCTGGCGTTCCCAAGAGACGTAACTCTGTACAGCGAATTGCGGCGCCGTAGACGAATGGGCCACCATTGCAAAGTAGATGCACGTGTGTAGGAAAGATGATGTAGCAAGAGCCGTGTTGCAAGTCTAGCAGTAAATCATGGTAGATGCACATGTACAGAATAGAGGATGAGAAGAGAATAGAAGAGTCATGTGCATGTCAAGTTCCATTCAAGTACACATTAAGAAGATGTAGCAAGGGCCATGTGCTTCAACACTAAAGGAAATAAATCTACATGTACATCAATTGAACTGTTTCTTAGTGTGATCCCAGATACACCGATTCCTTGGTCCAAGGCATGGGTAAGTGCGTTTAACGCTGCTTTGAACAGTATTCCAGTCATATCACGGCGTCAAAGGCATGAGTGAGTGAGCGAGTTTTGTTTAACGCTTCCTTGAACAGTATTCCAGTCATATCACGGCGTCAAAGGCATGAGTGAGTGAGCGAGTTGTGTTTAACCAAAGACGTATATACGTATATATATATTGTATGTACGTCCGTGGTTTAACGCTTCCTTGAACAGTATTCCAGTCATATCCCGGCGTCCAAGTCATGAGTGAATGAGCGAGTTGTGTTTAAGCTTCCTTGAAGATACAGAGTCATATCCCGGCGTCCAGGGCATGAAGATGGGGGCCACGTGACATGTTTAGCTTTCACTCATGTCATTTCACATGCTCCGATGTCTTAAGCCTGTTATTAATGGGGATTTCAATGTCAGATTGAAGAAAATCAACCACTGACAAGCTGAGCTGAGGGTATTTATTACCAGAACAGTAAGGACAATTTACAATTTTGATAAATTTGATGCATCAAACAAACATATTTCTGTCAATCTTATTGGTTCTGCTTACCATACAGTTGTGATTTCATTGATTTCATTCAATGTGTGAGTACGAACTAGCGATGTGGCGTCTGAAGCGCGCGTAGCGCCTGCGGGATATTGGCATGCTGGAAACTGGCAGAAGTCAGCGTGCCGTGACCAATGCGTTCAATGTTTCACAGTATACGATTAGCAGACTATGGAACAGGTACCAACAAACCCCAAATGTTGACGATGGACCCCGTCTCCATTCAGGGCGTCCAAGGTCAACGTCAAGAGTACTAGATCGATTGATCCGTAACCACGCTCTACGAAATCGAGTCCAAACGGGGAATCGAATTGCTGCAAACTTTCATCAGGCGAGTGAAGTACGAATTGCGGGTCTGACGATTTGAAATCGTCTACATGCAGCTCATCCCCATGCTCGACGGCTACGTTATATGCCGCACCTTACAACTCGTTATATTGCCAACAGATATCAATGAACGTCAAGCCAATGTCAACGTGAGACCTCGTGACAGATTTGGCGGCAGATCGGTTATGGTGTGGGGTGGCATCACTATGACTGAGCGAACCCCACTCCATATTGGGCAGGAAAGGGTCACTGGACAGTACTACTGGGACAACATACTGACACCCTTTGTTGTCTCGTTTGTAAGGCGTGTGGGTCGACGATTTATCTTTCAGGACGTCAACGCCCGTGTACACCTTGCACGAATCGTCAAGTGCTCATCTCCAGCAGCACATCAATAGCATGCCAGGGCCAGCAATGAGATCAGACCTTCCACCCATTGAACACGTCTGGGATATGACAGGGAGACGTGTGCGTCAACGTCATAGGCCGCCGACCATGTTGGCTGAACTAGGCCAGGTGCTGCAGGTTGAGTGGAACAGCCTCCCTCAAATCGCCATTGGGAAACTGATACGCAGTATGCCCCGTCGAGCGAATGAATGTTTGACAAATCGTGGCGATCAGTGATTGGAGACTGCCATGCATTGTCTTCACCATTTGAAACCTGTGTCTACCCGTGCCACCTATGCCCAAAGCCAACACCTTGAACTGCCTGCCTCAGAACAAAAGGGGAAAGTGCAAACTATGCTCAACACGTCACACCATAACACCTTTAGGTCACACTGTATATATCCTCTGGACCAGCGTGATGGGCCATTGGGGGAGTCTTCCACTGAACATGCAAGATAACTTTGATCCAGAGGATCAACACGGCGCAAAGAAATGTTGTAGCGTACCTACCTATTGATGCAAGTACCTATACTGTCATAAAACATACATGTGTAGCCTAGAAGAAGAAACAAATGGTAATTTGCATGTGGTAGCTGTGGTAGCATGTGGAGTTCGTTATTTTTTATACATGAATCATACTTCTCTTTGAGAGTTACCTCCCTAATGGTAATATGTTTACTCCTGTAGCCTGACACGTCAATTATTCAACACTGTCCAAAGGTGCTAATATATCCTACAAGGAAACTGGGTCAATGTTTCCCGCAGACATAGCAATATTCTATAGGCCCGACCTCCTTGACAGGTAGACGTTTCGCGCATAGCGATATGCTGTAGGCCTGTCTCCGTTCCTCTCGACAGACAGACCCGCTTCAAGAAAATGGGTCAACGTTTCACTGCAGCGAAATGCTGTATGGGGCAAGGCAGACAAACTAGTTAAGGACAGGACAGGGCTCCATGTTATGACTGTTGTCGAATAACATAAACATGTTTAGTGTACTAATCTACAGTTAGGAATGTTTTTAAATATATTTATATAATTATTTATTTCGTACGTACGCATATTATCATACACATGTGAGACAAAGATAAAGTTACTTTTAAAATTAGTTCGTCTGTCCTACCATAACAAATAAGGCAGCAGGCGCCGTGCACTGATGCATCTCACGTGCATTTTCAATCATTCATTTGTTGATTAAAATACACGTCTTTGACGGTTGACGTTTCCTCATGACCATGTGATGTTCTCCCTCCGATCATTATCTGCAACAAACACAAACGTCTGTAGTGCTGTGCAAAGTTGTGTCCGCAAAGGTTCCCCATGGCCCATGCCCCCGTTTTCTCAAACCTATAACAAACAAGGCACGGGGCCTGGCGCCCTGCAACAACTAACCACACAAAGAGATACGTCAGGGGCGAATCTTAGACCAAATACAAGTGTAGGCACCAAACTAAATACCGTAAATGTGAGGCGGCAAAGCGCTCGAAACAACTAGGATGTGGGCTGAGGGCATTTTATGTATCATATGAATGATTACACATGGTCCCCGATCCTCAAAATTGGCGCACATCAATGTCATTGACCCAGGTTCCATATGGTACACATGGAACAATACATGTTCAAGATGAAGGTCATCTGTTTTCGATATCTTGTATGGCTACCATTAGAGTTCAAGACTGACTGGCATCGTCGTCCCATGGAAGCAATCAGATCCCGAATTGTGGCTTGGGGAATGTTCATCCACTCTGCCTGCAGTGCTTGTGCCGACTGTCGGAGGTTATGTGGCTGTTGCCTGCTTGCCCCGCAGTCGCAGTTTGTCCCATAAAAGTTCGATTAGGTTTAAGTCTGGAGGGCCATGGCAGGACCTGGAAGTTGTGATTCCCGAAAGAGGCTTTTGTCAGTGTTGCCGTGTGAGGTCGGGCGTTGTCTTGTTGGAAAATGACGTTATCTTGTTGCATAATGGGAAGGACGTGTGGCCGAAGAATTTCACTTTGTGTAACGTCGTGCCGTTAAATTCGTCGTTTAAACTTGCACCAGGTCTATTCTACCAGTGTGGGAGATGGCAGCCCACATTACACTACCACCACTGTCCTCTTCCTGTATGCAGTTTCGTGCATAACGCTTCCCGCGACGCCTGTTAACACGACGTCTACCATCCGGACGGCGGAGCATAAAACGTGACTCGTTACTTAACCATGCTCTGTGACCTTGACACCATTGACGTCGCAGCCGACGATGCAGGTCCGTCAAAATGACACCTCGAACTGGTCGTCTAGCGCGAATAACTTCAGCGCGCAAACGGTTCCTCACTGTCTGGGCTGAAATCCTAGGCAGTCCTGGTATTGCCGTATTTGTAGAGGTGGCTGCGGTAGTTCTTTCACGTGAATGACAAAGCCGTAAGAAAATTTCCTTTGCTTTAGTAGTGATATGTGGTCAACCGGAACTGAGGTGGTCACGTGTTGTCCCGTGTGTCTGATAACGGTCTGATAACGGTTCCGAATTCTTGTAATAGTGCTTGGTGCTTCGTGGAAGAACCTGGCTGCAGTTGAAGATGATTATCTTGTTTGCAGTCGGCCGATGGCGTTGTTGCGATGGGCCCGGGCAGTCGTGGCATGCTTTCACTGTTCACTTGCTGTAGAATTGTTGTGGCATGAAAATGAAAAAAACAGCTATTCGTCTACTGTTGTTTACATGTTCGAAACACAACTGTAGGTGTAGGTCTAGTGGTAGATTTTCACTATAACAATATAGGTATGAGTTTATACCTCATATTCAGATACGTTGGGTGAAGTGCTCGTAATGTCGTAATGATTGGTTGGATGAAAGGTCGTTCTGACATGACCCCGAATGGGATGTCCTCAGATCTTTGTTTAGCGAGAACTAAGATCTGATTTTAATGAGATTGGTGCTGCTTCGTCCTAATTTTATGAGCTGACCTCGTGAACTTACGAGACCTATCAGGTGTCCACCAACACACAGTGATCGAGGTATCTAATCGGAGTAACATATACTAGCCACATAAAGAAACTGTGCACGGAGAAAATATATTCTGGATTGAAATACAACACAGCAAGAACAAAATGATGCAGACGCTGTAGCAGCTGAATGATCGGACCATAAGAAAATGTCAACGGGACCTGAACAACATCTGTTACGATGACGTCAGAAGATCAAAATGGAGTAGGGGGTCATACGACAAAGTCACAAATTCAATAACGGGTATGACCACCCTTTGCGTGAATCACAGCAGTGCATCGGCGACGCATGGAGTCCACCAAATGGGCATGGAAGGCCTGGGGAATGGCCTGCCATACCCTCCTCAAATCCTGTGCCAAGTCACGGACGTTCTCTGGAGGATGTGGAAGACGACGCAGACGGCGCTCCATTTCATCCCACACATGCTCTATTGGGGAGAGATCTCGAGAAACTGCAGGCCATGGCAGTAACATGACATTGTTATTGTGAAGGAAATCCATTGCGACCCTAGCCGTGTGAGGACGAGCGTTGTCCTGTTGAAATGTCAATCCCGGACCATGACGTTGCAGGAAAGGAATGACCACAGGCCTCAGAATCTGATCTCTGTAGCCAACACCGGTGAGATTGCCCTGAACAGCCACCAAAGGGGTTCGGTGCCGTGCTGTTATCCCACCCCAAATCATCACAGAGCCACCTCCAAATCGATTCCTCTCCACAATACAGTTGCGTGCATAACGTTCTCCCACGTCTGCCGCTTTGGGATTTTAGCTTGCCTAGCTGGTATGATCAGTGAAGTTAACGTTGTATACTGGCTTCACTTCTAGTTTTTTTAATTAACTATTTGTGTTTTTGATTGTTGTTTCATATGCAGTACTCAGAAGGCATTGCCAAATTGATCTGAAATTCATAATGGAATACACCTCAACAGCCAAACCAAATTCAGAATCGGAATTAACACGCGATGATAACTAATGTGTTGAGAAATAGAGGCCTCATATTATTATTGTTAGATCCTGTGTTGTATTTCCAGAAAGTTTATTATAGCAACAAGAGCTTTCATCTTTAGACCGAACAAGTAACTATGGAACTAAATATTAAATACTGCTATCGACGAGCACGGAAACATGTGAAGGTGCTTTTAAAACTCTATGCAGTGTCAGGTATGAACTGGGCTGTATGGAGCCGGATATGGATTTCTCTTGTGTTTTCATTGGTCACTGATAAGGAAGCGAGCACATGACACTTTGTGTACAAAATAAAGAGGGGAGGACGCTCGCTGCTGAACATGCAAACTAAGTGGTTGTTTATTGCAGTAAGTATATGTTGTCATGTGTATTTACAGGGAATGTACAACTACAAGCGGTGTTGCAGTGCATCATTTAATTATGATATCCAGCTATGCGGAATCAACGAGTATCTAATGTTAAAAGGAGCGTCAAAAGTATTTGTTATTAAACAGAATATGATAGGCAATAGAAAAGTAAACTATTTTACATACAAGACTCAGGCCTGCATGCATTAATCTTAAAAAGCTGTTAGAGGACAAGTAAAATGAATACGATTTTGTTGCCAATATCAATTTTCTAAGGTACATTTAGTTATTTTCCGAGGGAGAAAAAATCATAATATTTGCAGAAAGTAGATCTATTTATAAGTGTCAAACTCAAAGTGAAAGTGCTGAAGTCACACGCCACACGCGTCTTCCAAAACAAACATATTTTGGTGTGCATGACAAAAGTTTATTGGCTGATATGTGATTTAATTGAGTGGTTTAATTGGGCCCACATAATCTAATTTCTACAATAAACTATTCTCAGATTATATAAAGCATGACTTGTCTGAGGTACATATACTGTTTCTGTTATTTCTGTTAATGCTACAAAAATAACAACTTTAACAAGGTGGTGATGTTGCAGGTGCTTGGTGTGGTGTGGGGGAGCGTGGTCGGTGTGGCGTGTACCGCCAGCCTGGACACAGCTGACCAATCAACTAACACTACACATGTCAAGAGACTTCACCTTCTATTCATGAACCATCTTGGTACGTATGGGTACAAGTAACTGTCATAAACTGAATCTAACCTAGGGTTTTAAAAAAATTAGAATTATATCTGTCCTCTGGACAAGAACAACTGGTCCCCCTAGAAGACTCGATAGCAACCATCATGACAACAGTGAAAGCTAGTTCATGCTGACAATCTCCATGTACTTTGAGTTGTTCTTAAGACCAGTTTTACCAGACAAAACCAAAACTTGTTGAATGCCAAGAACAAGCACATTGTACACAGTTTTTAATCTCTTTTGATTTGTGACATTGACAATTGTGATTTTGCATGTATGCAGATTTTGTATTTGATGGATCAATACAACATTGTGGAAACCTGTAAAATGATTAATGAAATGTCTGTTACTTCAGATGTTGGTTACAACGGTATTTTCCCCACACTGGGTTTTGTCAACAATGTCATCAACCGGTACTTCACAGTATATTTTCCCCGAGCAGTCAATGTATCACGGCAACTACGTTCAGAGGGATATTTGGAGAGACTAGTGTACACCACCCACCCCTGGCTGGTCAGTCTCTATCTGGACTGTCCCCCCAACTTGAACCTGTCGGGAATTGTACTGCAGGTAAGTGGCCCCCACACATTAATTCCCCAACTCCCCAACCCCTATAACACTTTTGGTATTTATCTTCTTATTTTATATCTATGAAGGATGCCGTAGATGAATGTACTAAATTAATTTTTTTAAACTTTTCATCATGCCATGAATAGATCATCTATTGCTTCGACAATTGTGCCCACAATTGCTGTGCAGAGTTAGGTGTGCCAGAAACCTGTTATCATGAATTCGAATTTCATGTTTACCCTGATGATGTTTCTTGATTTGTCAGCATCATACATGTACTCGTGGATCAATGCTCATGATATCAATCACTGGATTGTCTGGTCGAGACTCGATTATTTACAGGCTGCCGTCATATAGCTGGAATATTGCTGAGTGTGGCGTTAAACAACAAACAAACTTGGACCATGGAGGGGACATGGGTTCCCAGTCATGCAAGGCTTCAAATCACAGTTGTTGTGTGAGGCATGCCGGGAACCTGTGACCATGATTCAAATCCCTGATCCCCGGCTTGTCAGCACCATAGTGGATGTTACCTGATGTCAGTAAGGTAAATGACTGACACCTGCATCACTTCGGGCCCTCCCTCATGAATCTGACATGCTGTGATATCACTGCACATTTACATATCTTGGTAACTGTAATATTTGAAGATGGCACATGTACACTGAGTGCAGGGTTAACATTGTGTATGATGATGTAATGTGTAGGCCTTCTTTGACCATGGGGCCTGTGAAGATCCGGATTAGGATAGGTCTTCAGTAACCCATGCTTCTTGTAAGAGGCGACTAACGTGATCAGTTGGTCAGGCTTGTTAAATTGGATGATGGATGTCATCATATCCCAATTGCGTGGATCAATGCTCATGATATCAATCACTTGATTGTCTGGTCCGGACTCGATTATTTACAGGCTGCCGTCATATAGCTGGAATATTGCTGAGTGTGGCGTTAAACAACAAACAAACTTGGACCATGGAGGGGACATGGGTTCCCAGTCATGCAAGGCTTCAAATCACAGTTGTTGTGTGAGGCATGCCGGGAGCCTGTGACCATGATTCTAATCCCTGATCCCCGGCTTGTCAGCACCATAGAGTATGTTACCTGATGTCAGTAAGGTAAATGTCTGACACCTGCATCACTTTGGACTTTCTTACATCAAACTGAAGTGCCATGATATCTGAAATGTCAGGGTAAAACCAAATTCACTCAACCATTTAAACCATGGCTATATATTGTCTTAACTCGAACTCTGACAGTTCGACAAAGCTGGGCATTGTTAAAATTTCTTTTTTTTTCAATCATTTCACTTGACAATAGAGTAGTTTAAAGCAACTGTGTTGCCAGAAGTATTTAAGGTACATTCCTAAGGCTAACATCTCTAGTTTTCTGCAACAATGATTTGGAAAACTGAATGGTATCAAGATTTTATTGGGAGTCACATCAAGACCAATCATGCTAGAAGTTAAACCAATAGTGAATGGGGATACATGTGCTTGAGTCAGTATGCTAGTCTGTACATTGAAGGGACTTGTAAGCCAGTTAATGTTGTTTCATAGCTATCTTGTTAAAGAAACTAACAGAACAAGGAAACCCTTTTTTTAAGTGTGAGTTTTGTTTGCACATCATCAGAGGCCCAGTAGCAGGGGCAGGTACCGCTAATATTCAGGTGAGTGAGGAATATGCATGTGCTGGTCCTATAGGAACTGAATACTTGCCCTGGATATGCTTTGATAACTCACATCCTTGTGCTTTAATGTGAACATGAGGAACTGTTGGTACCTTTGACCTTGTGTCCAACCCTTGTTGACTAGTGTATGAGGTTGATCCCATTGCCATCAATTGTCAGAGGGTATTGGGGTCTTTAGTTTCATGGAGATGTTTGCCTCTATCAGGGAGAATTATGCATAAAATTAGGTTTCAATCGAATTATTTATCCAAGATGCGTCCAAGTCCAAATTGTTGACTGACTTCTGAAATGGTGTAGTGTCTAGTGCAAGATGGATGAAAAGTGCACAGTTTGAACAAGCCAATGAAATCAAGGCTTGGGTTAGAACAAGAGAAGAAACAATGATACAAACATGGACCAACCCTAGACTAACATCTAGTCTCTGAAATGAACATATTGTACAGAAAAACAGTTGTTCAGTTATCTTAATAAAAATGTAATAAAAGGGAGCCCAGTGACTCTCTTCATTTTCAGATACTGCAGTAGTCTAGACTTGCCAAACACCATAGACTTGCATGGGCTGTATTTCATATATATTTGTATCGGGTCTGTAAGACAGTCTAGGACCAACCCAACCACCCTCTACATTATAAGTAAACTAATCCAGAAGCCCACAATAGATATTGAACTAAGAACCTACTTTACTAACAACTTAAAATAATATTACAGACCTCAAATAGATAAAACATATGTACAACAAAACTGTATGTTAACACTTGTGTCTGCCACACCATTGTCATCATGACAGTTGTAAACCCCCAGTTGTCATGAGTCATAGCCTTCCTTTCAGTGCCCAGGTGAAGACGCTGTGTCAGATTTTGTGGCTGCTGCTCAGCTGGGGGACATCAGCTGGCATGCTGGACCGATGAACATGCAGTTTGAGATGCTGGACACTGCTATGGTGGAGTTTGGGCTTCAGCTAGGACAGGACCTGGATAAACGTCTAGGCATTGTCAGGAAGTTCCCCACAGTCAGTCAGAGGGATGTACCGGGTGCGTGGTTGTCTTCTATTCTGAACAGTCAGTCAGGGATGAGTCAGATGGGTGGTTATCTTCTAAAATGGCAAACCTACCACACAACACACCCTCCCCACCCAAATCTATAACATCCTAACACTAAACACTTTGCATTGTCAGGAGGTTCCCATTGTCTGTCAGAGAAATGACAGGTAGTTGGTAGCCCTCCAAAATACTCTGCGTCGCAGAACTTACTTCGTGTTTGCAGACCTCACTCTGTATTTGTTGACCACACTCTGTGTTGCAGACCTCACTCTGTATTTGAAGACCTCACTCTGTTTGATGACCTCACTGTTTCTGACCTCACTCTGTATTTGCAGACCTCACTCTGTGTTTGCAGACCTCACTCTGTGTTTGCAGACCTCATTCTGTATTTTGCAGACCTCATTCTGTATTTGTTGACGTCACTCTGTGTTTGCAGACCTCACTCTGTATTTGCAGACCTCACTCTGTCTTGATGACCTCACTCTGTGTTTGATGACCTCACTGTTTCTGACCTCACTCTGTGTTTGCAGACCTCACTCTGTGTTTGCAGACCTCACTCTGTGTTTGATGACCTCACTGTTTCTGACCTCACTCTGTGTTTGCAGACCTCACTCTGTATTAACAGACCTCACTCAGGTTGCAGACCTCACTCTGTATTTGCAGACCTCACTCTGTGTTTGATGACTGGACTGTTTCTGACCTGACTCTGTATTTGCAGACCTCACTCTGTGTTTGATGATCTTACTGTTTCTGACCTCACTCTGTATTTGCAGGTATGACTCAAGCCTTGCTGCCTCTGCTCGTTCAGCATGGTATAGCTGCTGTATCGGTGGGGGTCAACCCCATGTCAGCTCCCCCGGCTGTCCCCAAGATCTTCCGATGGGAGTTCCAGGGCGCAAGTGTCATTGGAATGTGGAACCCTTGTGAGTCCTATTCTTTCAACACCAGTATCAAATGTGATAATTTTGCTTTGCGCATTTAATTTTCATCAGACATCACATATATGTTACGCATTTTTGTTTATTTTTTATTGTTACCTTGAATCAATCTATGCATTTTGATTATTGTCTCAGTCCTGTTTTGTTATACCCTCGACCTAAAAGGGTGGGGATACATAGTTATACCAAGGACCTCTGTCCATCCACCCATCCGTCCGTCCATCCTTCCGATGACATTTTTTGTGTGCGACCTATATCTTGAAAACTACTGCATAGATTTTTTTCAAACTTCCTGAACACTATCTATGCCAATAGGGAAGGTGCAGTGCAGAGGTTGATTTCAATATTTGTATATTTTTACAATCATTTGTGTGACCTGTATCTTGAGAACTAGTACATGGATTTTGATATGTGTATTTTATGAAAAATAAAAATACAGCTATTTTTCATTTTTTTGCTAAGAATGCTTTTACTTTTTAATAAAACTTGAAAACTACTGTATGGATTCTTTTTAAATTTAGGGAACAGTTTCCATACAAATAGAAGAGATGCAGTTCACAGTTTGATGTTGATAAGTGGATTTTCTGAGAATTCTTTTTCTTTTTTGTGTGTGTTTTGAACATAGAACTATGTTGGAGTCGATGTCGCGGTATTAGTGAGCCCTGCTCACTTTTTTCCTTGTGTTTGTGTTGGAACTCCGATTAAAACAATTAAGTAAATTTGGAAACAAGGACTGTTTCCAGTGTACAGTTATTAGCTTGTTAACACCCTTTGTCTTCACCCTCAGTGCTCATTTCTTTCATTTTCACGTTACAACTGAAGAGTCTGTTTCAGTCGGATACCCACAGAACCCAGGTCCAAACCCCGCCAACCCCGGTGGGCTGTCGGCTGATAACTGTGTCATATTCCCCGGGCTGGCGGACGCCATGTGCTTTGCTTTCCGCACTGACAACTCGGGACCACCGGAAACTGTGAAGGTGAATTTCACTGGTTGTTTTACTTTAATTACTTGACTGATGGTTCCACAAGGTGTGGATTTGGAACAAAGAGAATAGTCTATTTTTATTCCCATCATATTGTTTATTGAAATTCAGTAAAGAAAAATGTTCTTCTTTCACCCAAACAACAATAATTTCTGTTTAACACTATAAAAATAAACAAGCTTTCAAAATTATTAATTTATATATATTTTGATCTTTTTCCTGCTTTTTGTTCAAGAAAAGATCTGTAAACCATTGTGATTGTTATAATATGAACTTGGTATGATGATGGTACTACACACTTACTCATAAACACATTCAAAGCCTGCTGTGTTTGCAATTGTCACCAAGAAGGTTCAGCACCAGCACAGTGGACTGTTCAGCTTTGCACATGATGTTGCAATGTTTTATTTTTTTTCCAGGAAGTGTTATCCAACTTTGAGATTTCGAGGGCAATCTTCCCAAATGCAGAAGTCCAGGGTTCTACTTTTGAGGCATTTGTGGAGGCCGCACAGAGTGTCAAGGCCCAACTTCCTGTGGTTACCAAGGAGATCGGAGACACCTGGATACAGGGAGCTGGGTCTGATCCACGGAAAGTAGCGGAAATGAGAGCTTTCCTCCGTGCGCGTACAAAATGTCTGGCAGGGAAAGGTAAGGTTCCTGAGAAGAATGTTATGTCTCATAATCCTTGTATTGGGAGAATTATAATCCTTGAATAGGATGACTTGTTATCCTTGAATAGAGAGACTTTTAATCCTTGAATAGGATGACTTTTTTTATCCTTGAATAGAGAGACTTTTAATCCTTGAATAGGATGACTTTTATCCTTGAATAGAGAGACTTTTAATCCTTGAATAGGATGACTTTTTATCCTTGAATAGAGAGACTTTTATTCCTTGAATTGGATGACTTTTTATCCTTGAATAGAGAGACTTTTAATCTTGAATAGGATGACTTTTTATCCTTGAATAGAGAGACTTTTAATCCTTGAATAGGATGACTTTTTATCCTTGAATAGAGAGACTTTTAATCCTTGAATAGGATGACTTTTTATCCTTGAATAGAGAGACTTTTAATCCTTGAATAGAGAGACTTTTAATCCTTGAATAGGATGAGTTTTTATCCTTGAATAGAGAGACTTTTAATCCTTGAATAGGTCATTAACTTTCTTTTAGTGGTATATGTAAGGCTCAGAGTTTGTATTTAGCTGTTGTCTATTTCACACAGTTTCCTACAACAATACATTGTTACAGATTTAGATACATAGCGGATATTAAGTTACTTGTTTCAATTTGTTAAAGGATTTTTTAAAAAGTTACTACACATACTTTATATTGCTATTAATGGATATTGAAGTTTGTTTGTTTGTTGGTTAACGCCGCACTCAGCAATATTACAGCTGTATGACAGCGGTCTGTAAATAATTGAGTCTGGACCAGACAATCCAGTGATTGACATCATGAGCATTGATACACACAATTGGGATACGATGACATGCATCAAACAAGTCAGCGAGTCTGACCACCTGATCCCGTTAGTCGCCTCATACAAGCATAATCGCCTGTCGAAATGTTGCTTTAAAACTATCATATGCTCCTTTCAAATCCTAAAACCGGGAATAATTAATTTAGACTTCATGATTTTATTTCACATTTTAATTAATTTTACAAAAAATAAATCATAAACAATTATGACAGTTCTATTTATTTAAGAACCAAACAACCTTGCAACTAGTGTATGTAAAAGGAATGCCCAATCTCTAATGAATGACAAGCCCACTGCCAAAACCTAAGACATCCTTGAAAAAGTACAGTAAAATCGATCTACACCAACAAACTCAGGAAATGCAAACTGTGAGAGGTTCAAGCGAGCAAGTAATATCATAAAACTTAATATTGTCTGTCAAGATCATATCTACTTCACTCACTTCTATTTGTTCTAACGGTTATCGCTTCTGAAATGCCCCCTCTTGGTGAACCTAGCACTGTTCGTGACCTTATTCCTGCTCGTGCCGTTGATAGCCAGGGAAATGTCCTGTGCAGCATCCTTAAAAAGCTTGGGTTAAGCTTTCATGTAGCCATATTGTGCCATGAACTCTGGATCCCCTTCATAATTCTTCTTTGAGAAATGTAAGGAGCATCACATGCTGTATTTGCTTATGTCTTTGAGTTTGACATCAGCACGTTGACAATATGCCAGCCATAGCTTACGTTTTGGCAGATCGCAGGGAAATTCATGAAAATGAAGGCCAAAAGTATTTGTAGCACTGGAAGTGCACCCAATACAGCATATTGTCACTGCAACTCCATTCAAAATATGGCACTTTTCTTCACTTTCCAGTCGATACCGTAAACACGAATGATCAACACAAAGCAGAATGTCTGGTATAACATCACAGCCACATAAACCCTACTGCTAAAAAGATAAATATGCATACAAGTGGGCATGGCTAAAGTGTTGTAGGTTTAGGAGCATAATTACAATTATTACAAATTATTTTCAAAATTCAATTATGCAGATTTGGTATAAATTCATGTTTGAATGACATTATGTAAGAAAAATGCTCAATTTGTAGTCTTTTCAATCATCCTTTAATACTTTTGTCCGACTTCAATAGCAATGCTGACAGCAAAGGACATGAGCTGCACTGGAAACTAAACATTTGAACTATATCAGTGCGACTCTCCTCTCTTGCAGTGTGTTCGCTGTCTGACCCCGCCTTCTACAACTCCAGCAGGTTCCTCCTCAAGATGGGGGAACACACGTGTGGACTTAGTAGTGTCTTTGACCAGTTCAACTGGACAAATGTCCGATTTATTAATGCCATGAAGCTCAAAGGTAATAATGCAACCAGTTACCATGAAAATCACAAGATAGTTTCCATCAATCAAAGTAGAACCTTTCGAGTTTGGATGTGTAGACTCTAGACATCATTTTATCAATGTTCATGAGGGTTATGTTTTATACCAAATTTCAGGACTTAAAAACAAATCACCTTTATGCTTTTTGACAAATAACTGTTCACATTTCAAAACTCAGGCCAACATTGATAATGTGATATGATATAGTGAAGGACTGTCACATTTTGTCAAAGGGCACGAAATGCGAACACTTGTCCATCTGTCATTAACTTTTGCATTTTAAACATCTCATCTGAAACTAGAAGGTGTATGAAGCTGAAACACAGTATGGATGATTCCAGCTATGGTGCCTTTAAGATGTACAGGTTCACAGTGTTCTGATCTGTTATTTTCTAACAATGTTCATTTCAGTTGTACAACAAAATGGTTTATGATCAGAGATGACAGGGGTGGAATGAAGTCCATACCACACAGTTGTCATGGTGATATGTCCTTCTCCTTCAGACCAGCATTTCCTGGACGGCATCTCGTCATGGGTGGAGCAGCGACAGTTTGCGTACACGGCGCTGGACGCCCTCGATGTGAACCCTCTCATGGCTGAGGTGAAGTCGGAATGGGACATGTTGAAGGCCAGCAAGCCCAATCTGGCAGGTATAGTGACAGTCTGGCAGGTATAGTGACAGTCCGGCAGGTATAGTGACAGTCCGGCAGGTATAGTGACAGTCTGGCAGGTATAGTGACAGTCTGGCAGGTATAGTGACAGTCTGGCAGGTATAGTGACAATCTGGCAGGTATAGTGACAGTCTGGCAGGTATAGTGACAATCTGGCAGGTATAGTGACAGTCTGGCAGGTATTGTCACAGTCTGGCAGGTATAGTAACAATCTGGCAGGTATAATGACAGGCTGCAGGTATAGCGACTGTCTGGCAGGTATAATGACAATCTGCAGGTATAGTGACAATCTGGCAGGTATAGTGACAATCTGGCAGGTATAGTGACAATCTGGCAGGTATTGTCACAGTCTGGCAGGTATAGTGACAATCTGGCAGGTATAATGACAGTCTGCAGGTATAGTGACAGTCTGGCAGGTATAGTGACAGTCTGGCAGGTATTGTCACAGTCTGGCAGGTATAGTGACAATCTGGCAGGTATAATGACAGTCTGCAGGTATAGTGACAATCTGGCAGGTATTGTCACAGTCTGGCAGGTATAGTGACAATCTGGCAGGTATAGTGACAATCTGGCAGGTATAGTGACAGTCTGGCAGGTATTGTCACAGTCTGGCAGGTATAGTGACAATCTGGCAGGTATAATGACAGTCTGCAGGTATAATGACAATGTGGCAGGTATTGTCACAGTCTGGCAGGTATAGTGACAGTCTGCAGGTATAGTGACAATCTGGCAGGTATAGTGACAATCTGGCAGGTATAGTGACAATCTGGCAGGTATTGTCACAGTCTGGCAGGTATAGTGACAATCTGGCAGGTATAATGACAGTCTGCAGGTATAGTGACAGTCTGGCAGGTATAGTGACATTCTGGTTGGTATAATGATAGTAGGGAGAGTAAGCAGGGAGACAACAACAACGTACTCCCTCAGAACAATACCTTCCAGTAGCTGACTTCTCAGCCTGTGCTACTTGCGGAGGCCTCTGTGTTTACGTGGTGTACTGATGGGCTTGTATAAATCATAGTGTGGGTGACCACAATTAAACTAAAGCTGTGAGAACGGCTTCGTGTTCTGGGTTCAGTACCGGTATGTGATGTTGTTTCTGCAGGCTACATCAAGCTGTCTGACCCTACATCTATACAGAGTTGTGAGAACGGCTTCGTGTTCTGGGTTCAGTACCGGTATGTGATGTTGTTTCTGCAGGCTACAGCAAGCTGTCTGACCCTACATCTATACAGAGTTGTGAGAACGGCTTCGTGTTCTGGGTTCAGTACCGGTATGTGATGTTGTTTCTGCAGACTACAGCAAGCTGTCTGACCCTACATCTATACAGAGTTGTGAGAACGGCTTCATGTTCTGGGTTCAGTACCGGTATGTGATGTTGTTTCTGCAGGCTACATCAAGCTGTCTGACCCTACATCTATACAGAGTTGTGAGAACGGCTTCATGTTCTGGGTTCAGTACCGGTATGTGATGTTGTTTCTGCAGGCTACATCAAGCTGTCTGACCCTACATCTATACAGAGTTGTGAGAACGGCTTCATGTTCTGGGTTCAGTACCGGTATGTGATGTTGTTTCTGCAGGCTACATCAAGCTGTCTGACCCTACATCTATACAGATTTGTGAGAACGGCTTCGTGTTCTGGGTTCAGTACCGGTATGTGATGTTGTTTCTGCAGGCTACAGCAAGCTGTCTGACCCTACATCTATACAGAGTTGTGAGAACGGCTTCATGTTCTGGGTTCAGTACCGGTATGTGATGTTGTTTCTGCAGGCTACAGCAAGCTGTCTGACCCTACATCTATACAGATTTGTGAGAACGGCTTCGTGTTCTGGGTTCAGTACCGGTATGTGATGTTGTTTCTGCAGGCTACAGCAAGCTGTCTGACCCTACATCTATACAGAGTTGTGAGAACGGCTTCATGTTCTGGGTTCAGTACCGGTATGTGATGTTGTTTCTGCAGGCTACAGCAAGCTGTCTGACCCTACATCTATACAGAGTTGTGAGAACGGCTACAAGTTTGGGTTCAGGGCTGATGGGGCGCTCAGCACACTGTCTGACCCATATACCAAGGTGAGTGTATGGTGCTGTTGTAGTGAGATAGGGAGCCATGATGTACCTTGATAACCATTCCATTACTAGATACACACAGGGATGTGTTGTCATACAAACTAGAAGTATTGTTTATATCTTGTTTTTATATCTTGTTTATATCTTGTTTATGTCAGAAAAATGTATCTGTTACCTGTGAAAGAATTTTAGAAATTGGTTCTCTGACAGATAGAATTTTCATTCCCAGTCCTTAGAGCTGATTCTGGGGGTGCAGGCCAACAATTCTAATATGGTGCTTCCTGATTTCAAATATCAATATTTAAGAAGACTTCAGTTTTAATTAATGAACACATTATCTGGTATGGTAGGAAGATTAAACTTACTACAAATCATTATATTCATAAACAAAAACTCCTTTCCCAAGACTTGTATATCACCTGATGACAAGTTTGATGGAGCAAAATGTCAGATATAGTGAAAACAATTTTAAAGACATGAGTGGCAATCATCGTTATTACCCATGTGAATAATGAACTTTGGAAATAATAAGCTCATCCCGTATGTCAGATTTGGCTGATATTGATACCCTTAAATGACTGAGTTTCCTCATGTATGTTTACATGTGATCCACAGTTGAACTGGGCCAGCAAGACAAACCCACTGGGGCAGCTGGTGTATCAGACATACAACCAGACAGACTTTGACAATTTCTTCGCGACGTACCAGCCCGGTGTCTCATGGCTGGGCATTGGAAAGCCCAACATGACCAACAACTCAGACGCAGAGAGCCGGGTGTGGCCGACCCAGCTGATAGATGTCTACAGGATTGCAGGTAGCTACCAGGGTATATATATATATATATATATATATATATATATATATATATATATATATATATATATATATGAATCAGAAGGGTGTCAATTGAATTGGGAATATTTGTGATTAAAATAATGTGAGAGATGTACTTTACCGATTGCTGGCCCTGCTAACTCCCTTTTGTATTCCACATTGTTAAGAGAAGGGGTGAAACCCCCTTAACTCCTTCATAGCTCTCACCCCATTATAGCCAACTCCTATAAGCATCCCTCATCCCGCATCCCTGGACCAATCTGTAATAAATCTTATGGGACCCCATACTGAGACTGGAAATGTATATGTGCATCTGTATTGTTTTGTCTGATACAACCTCTGTGTAGAAGGAGGTGCATATTATTCATGTTATACCCACAGACATTGATGTTTTTATTAACACTGAAAATACCAAGATGTTTCCCTTTTTGCGATCATGCATTGGTCGATATCAAACGCTGACTCGTCAAACTGTTCAACATATGAAAAAACTAATAAGACGCGATAATCCAAAAACTGCTCTATGGTTGTTTTTATGATTTTTAGATATTTGGCAAGAAAAAGCAGAATAATGACAGTTTTTCATCACCTTATCTATATAACTGTTTCATTGGCTTTCTTGAAATTGGTGAGTAAATAAGAAAATGTACGACTTTATGGATAACAACTTCTGATTTGTTGCATATTGCGATAACTCAGTGCTCTAGCTCCAGCTTGATAACGTCGCTATATGCAACAAACCAGCAGTTTTTATCCATAAAGTTGTACATTTCCTTACTTTGTCTCCAAACCTATTATCACGCTCCCATTTGTCAGTTTTCTAAGTGAACTAAACTCCATATGCTACATAAAGACAGGGACTGGCAAAGTAGGTGCTACCCCAAATAACTTTTGTGAAATTCTGTTGATGGGATTTGAGTGGACATGGTAGAATGGAGGTTAACATACTGTATTTTCGATGTAGAGCTAGGTTACATGTAGATTTAAGCACGCTAAATTGAATTTGGAACCGAACGCGCAGTGTTTTGAGTGGGTTGTCGATCTGAATTACGGAATCACCGACAACAGCCTTTAAACAAACTATGGCTTTTTATATACTCAAGCAGTTTGTTTACATGGTAATACTTCACTCGAACACATGATAGCCATTGAAAGCATATAAGCACAGCAACTTAGTAAGCTAACATGAGGTGGGAACGCCTGAAGCATGTAAAGAAAACAAAGCAATCGTTGCAAAGCTTTCGTTGTACACCACACATCACCGTTATAACGTCATATCGCACATTGTGACGCAAAAGATATGACATCACAGTTGTATATAGAAAAGCACCAAATACCAAGCTCTCTGTTCTCCTCAAAACTTAAAATAGATATTTTCTGCACAAAATGTATAGCCACACATCCTTTAAATATTGTCTTTTGTAACCTATAATTGTTGATATAATTATTTAAGTATGCCTACCGACAATGACTGAAAAAAGTACTATTCTATTAATATTACCTTCCACGGTGATGAGGCTGTCAAATAGCTGTTTCAATCAAAGGGGGTACATTGTGATTGACAACCTCTGATTGACTAATCAGAATCAAGTACTGATGTAGCCACAATGTTAACAATTGGATTATTTCATTTTGGTGACCAGTTAAAGATTGCCATATATATGTAATCCATACTGTTACAGAGCTCAGTTAAGCCACTTCATCACTTCTGGTTCATTAAGTTATAGATGCAAACTGTTTTTCTTCTGGTTCTGCAAGCTTCTGAACATGTACATGGCGCACGTTAACAAAAGCTTCTACTGTTTGCATTATTAGTGTATCACATTATTAGTGGGTCACTTTATTATTGTGTCACATTATTAGTGTGTCACATTATTATTGTGTCACATTTGAATGTATCACATTATAAGTGTATCAAATTATTAGTGTGTCACATTATTATTGTGTCACATTCTTAGTGTGTCACATTATTAGTGTATCAAATTATAAGTGTATCAAATTATTAGTGTGTCACATTATTAGTGTGTCACATTATTAGTTTGTCACATTATAAGTGTGTCACATTATAAGTGTGTCACATTTGAATGTATCACATTATAAGTGTATCAAATTATTAGTGTGTCACATTATTATTGTGTCACATTCTTAGTGTGTCACATTATTAGTGTATCACATTATAAGTGTATCAAATTATTAGTGTGTCACATTATTAGTTTGTCACATTATGAGTGTGTCACATTATTAGTGTGTCACATTATTAGTGTGACACTTTATTATTGTGTCACATTATTAGTGTCACATTATAAGTATGTCACATTATAAGTGTGTCACATTATTAGTGTGTCACATTATAAGTGTGTCACCAAACAGTTCAGCAGCACTAGACTCTCTGGATGTCACGTGTCATGTTGTAAACAAAATGGTAAAGTCTGAGCACTGCTTGCATTTTGAAGAATGACTCTTGTATGTGCACTTACTCACTTAGTCACATCAATGGATCATGTCCTCACTAATCGTTAACTTGTTTGCTCTCATGGCCTTTCAGGTCATAAGTCGTCCATTATCTGGCATCAGCAGCGTCCTTAACCTTTCTAGATTTCGAGTTCAAGTTAGTTCAAGGCATCACAATTTAATTTCAGTGTGGCCACCCGGTAGCCCTGTAACTGTAAACATTGTAACATATGCGACTAACATGATGAATGTCATGTGGTGTGAAAACGTTTATTCAGGGGAGGTCACTCTCCAGGATACGAATGTCGTAAACACAATGCATACGGTAGATGTTGTTAACATATATATCACAAACATCATCTCCTCAGTAACCTCTGGATGAATGGAGCTGATCGAGACTTCACAAGCTTGTGCTCACCAATGATCACACCCCAAATGGCCCAAATTCATTTTTCAATATGGCTGCCATGGCATGCTGACGAACAGCCAAACTGAGGGAAGTGAAGTTTGGAATGTATGTTTCCCCCTATGGAGACATCATATTTTGTTCAAATCATTATTGTTTTAGTCCTCAGTATCTATGCTGAAAAAAATGAATACAAATTGTACCAGTGTTAGTTTTTGTTGACATTTGAAACTGTTGACTTCAAATCCAGATGATCTTTAGTACCATGTTCAGTATATGTAAAGTGGAGTTCTCTCTGCAATTATTGTCAAAGGGGGATAACTCTACACTGTGCACCCATCGAACGTTCAAACTGGGTGCAAATGCTTTGGAGTTGAACTGGGGTCAAGATATTGTGTTTTTTCCCCTAGGAAGTGCTTGTTCTTTCCATGCCCATATTCGGATGTCTGGCGGGAAGGCTGTCGAGTATTATGGAGCCCCGTCAGAAGTGTGGGTGTCCTATGTGACAGAGGATTTTGCGCTACCTCCAGGTGAGACCTGCTTGGGTAATAGATAGAGGACAAGAGACAGTACTTCATCAGGATATAGAGATTCGCTTCTCCCTATTTAACTTGCATCTACCTTTTCAGCTTAGCTGACTTAAAGTTATGTGAGCTTATGTTATGGCCTGTGTGTCCATTACCTCGGAAACCGTTTGACCAATGAATCTCTAAATGAACTACACATGCTTTTCCCCACCAATGATTCCCTTCAGACAACCTGTTGGGGATGTTCAATGAGAATGGTATGTGTGTAGAAGGTGGTGGGTCTCAGCACATCTTCAGTGTTTTTTGCAATATTTAAATTTTTTTAAATAATTGATTTACACTTTAACCATACTGACAGATGAAATGACTTCATGGCCATTGTCAAGCCATTTTTTGTTCAAAATGTTATGAAATTTGGTTCATCCATATGTGGTAGTTGGGCTCAACATTTATGGGTTTTTTACTTGGTATTACCATGCTCTTGTATTCTCTCAAAATGACTTTCGTGGGTTTATTAGTTCTCATAATATTTGTAGAAAATATTTTAATATCAATGCTGACAGCCTTTTTTTTTAGTTTTATTCTGTTAACTAATGACTACATATCCAGGTGAGCTACAGTGCTGTGGCACTTATTCCTTTTATCCGATATACTGTCAGAGCACACAGCCAAATGTTTGAGTTCTGCAAATTGAATATCTGTATATAAAGGAAACAGTTGGAAACAGCTCTTTCACTGTCATCGCAAGGCAGACAAATGAGACTGTGTAACTCTCAAGGTACATGCAGCTTCAGCGAACTGTTGTATAGGTGTATTGGGTTGAGTAGCTTAGAAAGAGAGGGAAATGAACCCCAAGATAGAACAATGAACACATCTGATCCAGTTTGGGGGCTGGTGAACTGAGGGAACATTGCTTAATTGTCCAGTGTAGACTTTTAGTGTCAACTAAAACCAAAAGGATTGTAAAAGTGATGGAGGTTTGAGTTTCGACAGGATGTGACCAGCATAAAACAGATGCACAAGTGCAAACCCTGGACAACCATTTCTTGCAAAGATTAATTGCAGTTCAACATAACATATTCGACGTAATAAGTGCCCAGGGCGCTCTCAAAATTAGAAATATGGGGGCTCTTATTAGAATATTATTTTGGTGAAAGATAAATTTCGTTGTTTATACTGACAGCCTGAAATGTTTATATGCGACAGATATATTTTTCCAGAATTTAATTGCCCATATTTAATTGGGATTGTTCACTAGCCAATATATTAGCAAATATCGCCGTGGGCGCTTATTAGAGCGGGGCGCTTATTACGTCGAATACGGTAAACATTATGGATGACTTACTAATTAGGCAGTTGGTTCATTCCCATGCTAGGTTTGCACATCGATGTTCAGTGGTTTGACAAGACTCCAACCCGACTGCCAGAAGCGCTGTTCTTCACGTTCCAGCCGCTGAAACAAGAGGCCTACAGCTGGCAGCTGCATAAACTGGGTCACATCATAGACCCACTCAATGTCGTGCTCAACGGCAGTCAGAGACAGCATGGTGAGTGACAGTCGGAGAGATCATGATTTTTTACTTCTCAATACGAGTATCGCTCACAGTCGCACACTAAGTATGAATTTTTATTCTTACCTTACATGGTTGCTTCACTAATTGTCACACTAAACACGAAATAGTAGTGGAAATTAGTAGTGAAAACGTAAATATGTTCATCCATCATGCCATACGTGACACTGCCAACTGTAAATTGTCAATGTGCCAAGTATTTGTCTGTCCAGTCAATGAAAGAGATGGCTTACACACAACAGATAAGAGAACATGCAAGTATCTTGATATGTCTCGGATCGTGAGAAGGGAATCATGGTACGTATCCCAGTTGGTGTATCATCCCAGCTATAGTGAAAAGGCATACACATAATTATTGTCATTGAGACTCCTGTGCCGTGGTAGACAATACATACAGGTAACCAGAGGGAGCATCTTTAGTCACAGAATCACATGATTGGACACAGTGTTACAATGGGGTCGTGCCACACATTCAAAGTCTATTTTTCCTAATAATTATTTTCTCCACTTCTAGCTATAGACAAGGGTGTATTTTACCGTAGCGCCACCAACCAGGGCATGGAAATTGTCTCCCCTGATGCTCCCATAGTGACTGTGTTGACCGATGCTGACCCCATCTCAGCAATACCTCTACCACTGACCCCAATCAAGGACATCAACGGCATGGCATTCCAACTCTTCAACAATATTTGGGATGTCAACTTTATATTCTGGTACCCATACACCAAGGAGGACATGAAGACAGGGAGCAAGTTCCGATTTGCTCTCAATTTCTTGGATGGAAATTGATGTTAATAATGACTTAGATTTACTATTTTATCTAACAAACAGTTTGATTGCATATTGTCAGACATTTTATGAGAATGTTTACACTGTATGGAAAATTTTGATTTTATAAAACATTTTTTTCTTATTTTTTTAGAATGTTTATGAGCTTGATATTCTCGAGCAAGATGTTTTCATAATATGTAAGCATGTACAGACACAGGTGGAAGTTTACTGAAGTACTTAAACAGATGCACGCTATTTACACTGTGTCAGAATGGTTTTCTACCTAATCTGGAAGTATTTCTGGAAGCATTTTAATAGCTTCCACATACTATGTCAAGTCCACAGAAACCGGTACATCTAGTCTCACGTTGGCTGTAAAATAATGAGATTCTTTGTAAGGTACCTAGCTTCCTCTAGTCATACACTGGCTGGGAGATCCAGGCAGGCAGTTTGTAAAGTGAACATTTGAGTGGCTGTAGTGTTGGAACTTGGTGCTGGCCATTATGCCCACTACACTGAAAGGTGAAAGTGACAAACAGATGAAGCTCCTAGATTACCAAGTTCAAATGTGGGGTGATAATAAGGAATATCCAAATATAAGAATGAAAACACTAATGATACTTCAGCCCATTTAATAACCCACAACTATGTACAATGTTTACAAACTACCTTCTATAGCATCCATGACGTGCTGGCTGCACAATGTAATGCAATGCAATACTAACAATGATTGCAAATCATCAGCTGTTTGTTTGGTACACTGTTACACCCTGAAACCCTGCTGGTGTGTTCTGTCCACGAAAGCCTCCTGATCAGGGGGACTCCATATATGGGGGGACTCCTATGTGGGAACCTCCTCTGAGGTCTAGTGGTAGAGTGGAAGGGCCGGGGTTTGATCCCCAGCCGCCACATAGGAAATGATGTTAAAAGGTACTTGTTGCCATGCCTGGCACTCTCTCTCTCTCTCTCTCTCTCTCTCTCTCTCTCTCTCTCTCTCTCTCTCACTCACACACGCACGCACGCACGCACGCACGCACGCACGCACACACACACACACACACACACACACACACACACACACACACGTGTGTACATGTAATAGTACAGACTTGTGCTGGTTTTATCATGCTAGCCGGACTTGTGCTGGTTTTATCATGCTAGCCCACTGAGATACCATGCCGCAGTTTAACATGGGTACCCCAGTCAGACACAGTATACTGACTCTAATATCAACCACCATCAAGCCACCGACCTTCCCATCTCAAGGCAGATGCTCTACCCACTAGACCAAGGAGGCAATCCTTATACATAGGAATATACAGGCCTTTCTTATTTCATAAGTTGGTTTCCAAATGTCTTTCTAAAAAGTATGAAACTATAAAAAACTATAATTCGACCATCAATTATTTCAGTTTTGAAACTTATAGGCTCAGTAGGCTTTGAATAGGAATTAATTGTTTTGCCACACTCCTTATTTTTCGAGTTAGAAGATCTGTAAAGAATTACAAAACAAAATGCCGCATGTTAGGAGCAGCTAGGACTGTATGGAGAAATGTGACAATGCTAGTGTTTTGTTCCTATATCATATTTGATTTTTATTTATGAGCGACATCTGTTGCCTCTCTTCATCAGAGCATGCACTGATTCCCTGGCAGACCAGCTCCATGTAGGGCCTCGTTTTGTAGTTTCTTGATTTACAGGTTTATTTTTATTATTATGGTGGTCAAAATGAGAAATATGTTTTTAAAAACATGGTGTTTTTAATGATCTTTTATCATTGTCAGAAAGGCAAATTAAATGAAAAATTTGTGTTTTTCCTCTCCAATGAATTTATTTTTATAAATAAGTAAAACAAATGTATAGTTAGCTTAAGTTTCAGGTGTGTACTGGGGACACGGGTGGCCCAGTCGTCTAAGGCGCCACAATTCTCTGTGCAGAGTTGCGTCCCTTGGGCACGCCAGAAACCTATGATTGTGGGTTCGAATCCCGGTTCGCCCCGATTATGTTTCTAGGTTTGTCAGCACCATAACCGTGCTCATGGGTTTCATCAAAGTGGTAAACGTCAGAGACCTGCATCACTTCGGGCTTTCCTCCCACATTAAGCTGACACGCCGTGATATAACTGGAATACTGTTTAAAAGCGGCATTAAACACACTCACTCACTCACTCACTCAGGTGTGTACTTATTTGCATAGTCGCTGTTAGATTTCTCAGGTTTTTTCAGGTAAAGGATTGTATGTACTTTGACTGCAGAGACCGGTAGCCCAGTTGACCTAGTGGAGACAGGTAGGTAAGGTTTGAACCCCTACAGGGTGGTTAGTGGTTAAAGTATTCGCTCGTCACGCTGAGGACCCAGGTTCAATTTCCAACATTGGTACAATGTGTGAAGCCCATTTCTGGTGTCCCCCGCCGTGATATTGTTGGAATATTGCTTAATGCAGGGTAAAACCCAAAACTCACTGACTGACTGAACCCCAATGCTGTTCTGCGCACCTCAGTGAGCCTCACCTTCACGCTCATGTGTTGATGTCAGACAGAAACATGATTCACCCCTAATTCTCCAGACAGAGCTTAGTGTACATGCATAATGGTCATGTGTTTGTTGGGTAAAATTGTTACAATATACAGCCGTATTTCATGACAACTACTTGCAGTGAAACCTTCTTAGACTGGAACCCTATTAGTCCGGAAACCAGGTATTCCAGACAATCTTGCAGCTTCCATATACATCACATGGAGCATACTCTGGATTCTTTTGTCAGAACATTTGTTAATCCAGACTACTTCAGCTGAGGACTGTCCAGACTAAGGAGGTCCCACTGTATCAGGTGTATTATGCAGTGCCAACAACAGCACTTACTTATGTGTTCATCATGATGTGTGTGCAGATATATTAAGTGGATCTTCTCTCAGGAGACCACAAGACTCAGTAAGCAAACGTGTGTATGCATAATACCAACAGTGTATTGGTCAACTTTTGCCTTGTTATGCAGAAACAGCTGGTTTTTTTACTTTGGATGTGGTTGATAGACTGGCCAAGAACATTGTGTAGATGGTCATTTTTAACATCATCCCAAGGCAAGAGAGTTAACTGACTTTAAAAGTCCAGTTCCCACCCTTGCCGAACTAGGCTGGGATTGCTGGGCTCAATCGTAGCACCACCAGTGGCTATGTCACTTCTAAGCCTCTCCTATGGACCAGTCAGATTCCACCTCTCGTATCACATGCATTTGCTTCAAACAAAATGGTGGCACCCAGCCACAGTTTACAAACCGGATTTTGATTTCATTGCGCAATTTTTATTGGACTATGCATAGACTCGTTAGTCCAGCCAAAATGTAACTCCATATTACCAGCCATGTTCAGTAAGGGTGGAAACTGGACTTTTATGGTCAGTTGACTCTCTTGCACTTTTAGTGGACACTTGTGCCTCTGTTTTGACGTTTGAACTTTGACTGCTGTGATCTAGTGAAATTGCATAATGGACATCATGTGTAAATCATCAATCCTTGTGAAGCTGAGTCACTGCATGGTCTGTCCCACCACTGGTATGACCGGGGGGCTGCCAATTATTCAGGTCACATTCTAGATTACTTGTACTGTAACCATTATCAAAATCCCTTTTCGAATGGTTACCATAACATGTCCATTTATGCATGAATGAACGTGCAATTTGGTGTGAAGTGTCATTTGTGCCTTATTTTGTTCTTATTTTTACCTTAAAACTTTTACTGCATCTTATATCTATGATGAATAATGCATATGTGTGAACCTCAAGATATGTTACGGTATAATGCTGAATCCCACCAATGTTCTCAAAATGTGCTTGTAGAACCAAAATCTTGTTGCCATATTGAAGAGTGCCTCTGTGGTCAAGCAGCCACACACACACGTGCATGCACGTTGCTTTATAAGTGCAATAATCTTGGACGCCACGTTAAACCCAATTTCACCTCACCGCCATATTGAAACTCCCTGTGACCATTACTTGACTACTTATATGTGTAGCCATGTGGTATTAAAATATACACAATGATATGTTTACTTGAGAATATCAGTCTGAAGTCTCATGCTAAAAATTGAAATGTATAAAATATTTAGGGAGTCGGGAGTCATATGAATTTTACAAAATGTCATAATTTATTACATTATCGTAAAGGATGTTTTGAACAAGACAGCCATGGCATGTCTGAGGTTGTCAAGCTTCTGTTGTATATGGGCCTTGGACAGTGTAGTAACTGAGTATCAGGTAATATAGGAGTTCTTGTCAAGCCTTGTGTTGTACCATGGCCTTGGACAGTGTAGTCACTGAGTATCAGGTAATAAAGGAGTTCTTGTCAAGCCTTGTGTTGTACCATGGCCTTGGACAGTGTAGTCACTGAGTATCAGGTAATAAAGGAGTTCTTGTCAAGCCTTGTGTTGTACCATGGCCTTGGACAGTGTAGTCACTGAGGATCAGGTATTACAGGAGTTCTTGTCAAGCCTTGTGTTGTACCATGGCCTTGGACAGTGTAGTAACTGAGTATCAGGTAATATAGGAGTTCTTGTCAAGCCTTGTGTTGTACCATGGCCTTGGACATTGTAGTCACTGAGTATCAGGTAATAAAGGAGTTCTTGTCAAGCCTTGTGTTGTACCATGGCCTTGGACAGTGTAGTAACTGAGTATCAGGTAATATAGGAGTTCTTGTCAAGCCTTGTGTTGTACCATGGCCTTGGACAGTGTAGTCACTGAGTATCAGGTAATATAGGAGTTCTTGTCAAGCCTTGTGTTGTACCATGGCCTTGGACAGTGTAGTCACTGAGTATCAGGTAATGTAGGAGTTCTTGTCAAGCCTTGTGTTGTACCATGGCCTTGGACAGTGTAGTCACTGAGTATCAGGTAATAAAGGAGTTCTTGTCAAGCCTTGTGTTGTACCATGGCCTTGGACAGTGTAGTCACTGAGTATCAGGTAATATAGGAGTTCTTGTCAAGCCTTGTGTTGTACCATGGCCTTGGACAGTGTAGTCACTGAGTATCAGGTAATATAGGAGTTCTTGTCAAGCCTTGTGTTGTACCATGGCCTTGGACAGTGTAGTAACTGAGGATCAGGTATTACAGGAGTTCTTGTCAAGCCTTGTGTTGTGCCATGGCCTTGGACAGTGTAGTCACTGAGGATCAGGTAATATAGGAGTTCTTGTCAAGCCTTGTGTTGTACCATGGCCTTGGACAGTGTAGTCACTGAGTATCAGGTAATATAGGAGTTCTTGTCAAGCCTTGTGTTGTACCATGGCCTTGGACAGTGTAGTCACTGAGGATCAGGTATTACAGGAGTTCTTGTCAAGCCTTGTGTTGTACCATGGCCTTGGACAGTGTAGTCACTGAGGATCAGGTATTACAGGAGCTCTTGTCAAGCCTTGTGTTGTACCATGGCCTTGGACAGTGTAGTCACTGAGGATCAGATATTACAGGAGTTCTTGTCAAGCCTTGTGTTGTACCATGGCCTTGGACAGTGTAGTCACTGAGGATCAGGTATTACAGGAGTTCTTGTCAAGCCTTGTGTTGTACCATGGCCTTGGACAGTGTAGTCACTGAGGATCAGGTAATATAGGAGTTCTTGTCAAGCCTTGTGTTGTACCATGGCCTTGGACAGTGTAGTCACTGATGATCAGGTATTACAGGAGTTCTTGTCAAGCCTTGTGTTGAACCATGGCCTTCAACAGTGTAGTCACTGAGTATCAGGTAATATAGGAGTTCTTGTCAAGCCTTGTGTTGAACCATGGTGTTGAACCATGGTCACTGAGGATCAGGGTATACAGGAGTTCTTGTCAAGCCTTGTTTTATATTAATGCCAAAGCTCATCAGGTGATGTTTGAATGCTTGGATTGCAGATTGTTGTTGCTTATCTGTTGTGATATGATGTTGAATGTGACTGGTTCACATATTACACCTTGAATATTCCAGGATTCGTTTAATAAAATATAATGGTACTATATAATCACTACCAAAAGAAGCATGAATACCATACATGTTGATTAATTAAGAATGAAGAATTACTTATACATGTATTCAAGAGATGTTAGATTGTATATTTAATGGCAGGTAATAATGGAAGAAAAATAAACTCAGGGATATTGAATAGTCTGTTTATTTTTGCTATTGTTGCATGCATCAAGCAATGTATTCCACCAATGCATCAAGCAATGCATTCCATCCGTGCATCAAGCAATGTATTCCACCCGTGCATCAAGCAATGTATTCCACCCATGCATCAAGCAATGTATTCCCACCCGTGCATCAAGCAATGTATTCCACCCAAGTCAACAATCTCATCAAACTCAGATCTTATTACGATTCACCTCACCTCACCGATCCCCTACCAAATGGATGGGTCTCGAGAATGTTGTGTGCAGCCATGACAGTATGTGCCCGCCTCCAGACACGTGCACGGCCGTCTACCATATGCAAGAAAAACCGACTTTCATCAAACAGTGGATTCTCCACCATGATGCAATATTCCAATTTAGACGTTACTCTCTTCTCATTCAACTTTGATTGGAAAACAACCTGTTTTGTGTTGAAAGTCGTGAACAGACTGACGAATATGTGTGCCTTACACAATTTACATACTTTATTTACACACCTAAGATGTTTTTTCATGTGATCGCATAGTAAATTTACATATACGGACGTATGTATAGTTACACATGTGTAAAGTTACTTACGTTAGTAAATGTTGTGCATGTGAACGGGGTATAAGACCATACGAACCGCTTTACGGGTCTGAGTTAACAAGAGACGTTTGATTGGTCTTCTGGCTCTGCATCCAGCTGTTTTCAGACGATTTCTGATGGTTCTGTTTGAGATCGCTCTGTACCTGCCAGCCACCGTGCCTTTAAAACTCTATGGGTATTGTTTTCATTGTTTCTAAATGATCTGGAACCGTTTTTATACTCTCAAAACTGCCCTAGTGTTTCTATTCAATGTCAGTCACTTAATGGTCTGTTAGATCTCTCCGTTGTTTTGTTCGCTTTACTATATGCAGATGGTACAGTTTTGTTAGCTTTTAATCATCAAAGTTTACAAAATATGTTTGATATTTTTCACTTCACTGCAGAAAATGGAGATTGCATATCAGTACTAGTCAAACAAAAATTATAGTTTTTGGTGTTGTACAGACAAGTTGTAAAGAGACAAGAGTAAACATATATTACTAAATGGCTCACCAATCGAATATGTCACTGATTATAAATATCTTGGAATTCACTTTACAAATAAAAACTCTTTCAAAACTTCTATTAAAGCAAATTGTGAATCTGCCACTAAGGCCATGTACTTTGTATTACGCAAAAGTAAAACATTTAATCTGTCCATTAAATGTCAATTATATCTCTTCGATGCTATGGTAGACCCAATTCTATTATATGGTTGTGAAATCTGGGGTTTTGAAAATTGTAAACAAATTGAATCTGTTCACCTTAACTTTCCACGTAAATTACTTCCCATTAGGAAAAGTACACATTTATACATGTTGTATGGAGAACTTGGAAGAGTACCTTTAAGTAATTCTATCAAATGCCGAATGGTATGTTTTGGGGCTAAGGTCTTATCTGGCAAAGAACAAAAGTTATCAAGAATTCTATATCAAATGTTATACATTGAAGTCTGTACAAACAATAGCTGTAAAAAATGGATAAAATGTTTGGAAAGTATTTTCAATGAAACGGGCTTCAGTTTCTATTGGTTAACATGGTTAAGCCAACAAGCAATTCCTCCTAATGCCCTTAAATCTATCATGTCGTTAACATTATCAGATATAGCAACTCATACATGGAATGCAGAGATTACACATTCTTCTAAAGGTATCACATATCGCATATTTAAAACTGAACTCGTCCTTGAAAAGTATAAATTAGTTATCCCTTTCTCGTTGGCTGTAAAATTCCTTCTGTTTGGAACCTCATGCCACCATTTACCTATTGAACTAGGTAGGTGGCACAACATCCCTGTCAAGGAACGAACGTGTAAACTCTGCGACATGAGCGATGTTGGTGATGAATTTCATTTTATTTTTGTTTGTCCTTATTTCAAACCCCAACGGAAACTATATGTTCCAATTTCATATGCTAAAAACCCAAATATATTAAAATTCAAAGAACTTTTTAATTGTAAAAAAATAAATGTTATTAAGAAACTCTGTACATTCTGTAATGTCATTATGAAAACTGTAAAATCTTCCATGTAAACCATCCCGCCATCTTATGTATTTACTGTTTGCATATTTGTACCTCATATGCCGAGGATCCCGGCCTGAGAGTAAATAAAGTTCTGTTCTGTTCTGTACACTGGACGTCGTCTAACGAGTGTTAATGACGCTGCATCTTCTCTCATTTGTGCCTTATGAGGCTGACTTGGGCGTGGCCTGTCCACAACTTCATTTGTAGTTCGGTATTTCTGCTCTAATCTTGAAATTACAGTATGGTGACGTCCACTTTCCCTACAAGACATTCCTGCATTTTTCATTCAAATAATCTACCATCTAAACGCTTCAGACAATCTACAACGTGCCATGATAATGCTTTATAATAAGCATGCAGCCTGAGTGAGAAATGTGGACCTGCAATGTTCACGACCAATATGGGTTTTCAGACATGTCATGGGTATTGTGCTCCACGTGCAGTATGTGCAACATGAAGTGCCTTGACAGTGGTATTGGCACTGGTATGGTGTGGAAAAAGGGCCATAATATCTAATGTATGGATACATCTCATTTTCAAAACTTCTCATTCTGTGTCATTTTGATTTTGCTGGTGCTTAATTAGTTTCCAAATGTACAGGTTATACAATTTGAAATAACACCACAGCCATTAACTATCCATAAAGATTATTTTATGGTTATGAATGAAGGCTTGACATATATAATGCATCATAAGGCGAGGTGAAGGATTAAACAATAGTGATTAAGAGGTGTTTCACCAGATTTTGTTTCCAAGCTGAACATTCTTCATCAAACATATTGTCAGGAGGGCACAAAGACATTTTAGCAAAATAAACGAAAACTAATCAATGTCAGTCACCCGGCTGTGATTTCGGTGTTTATGTAAGTTGTCATAGTGGATATCCGTGATGATCCGGCGTAGAATAGGTCTTCAGCAACCCATGCTGGCCGTAAAAGGCGACTATGTTTGTCGTAAGAGGCGACTAACGGGTTGATGCATGTCATCGTGTGCCAGTTGCGTGGATCGATGCTCATGATATCAATCACTGGATTGTCTCATCTAGACTCGATTTTTGACAGACCGCCGTCATATAGCTGGAGTATTGCTGAGTACGGCCTAAAACAACAAACAAACAATTGTTACAGTGGGTTTGAATCAAAGCTTGAACCCTACAGATTCATTATCATATGGGTTTTACAGTAATCTAATTGATGTCTTTGAAAGACAAACAGACCAGGGTCTTGTAAACACACACCAAGATTTGAACCCAGCACAGCACCATTGTGTTTTCTGGTGATTCATTGTGATTTGATAGCGATTCCTAAACACATGCCCATGAGATAGTCGGAATCGTACAATCGACTCCGTTTTGGCAGATATGTCTCGTATAAATATAGAAAGGGTTTTGTTTTGTCGCTTTTTTTACACACGGGACCCGATTACTGGTTTAACCACTAAGCCATTGCATTTAATACTATAAGGCTGCATATCACTTGGTGATTATAACGGAGACGGACACCTTACTTTGAAATAAATGCAAGTTTAACTATACCCCTACCAAAGTTAGTGATCATAGGCTGGTCACTAAACTTCCCATACACGACTAAAATTTCACTGTAGAGAAGTAGTTAGCTAAAAATCGATTTAATTCCCTTTATATTGATGTATGTTCACATCAAACAGACAGGCGTTACTTAGGCCATAAGTCCCACAGTACAATTCACAGTTACAGCGAATTAATAAACTATCTGAGGACAAAATAAAAAATGTTCATCTTTTTATCCACTTAAATATTAGTCGTCCCCACTGAATATATCGTACAAATACTTTTCTTGTTTCTCTTCAATAATTACTTCGCCTTATTTATCATTACTTAGAATGAGACGGTGTAATGATTAGTCCCATGCTCCTACTGGTATAGGCTACAGACTGGTGCAACGAATCATTACCAGAGTTTTTAAAACAGAAGTCCTTAGTGTTTATAGCCTCAAAGCAGTGGCTAGGGGGGAAATCACTGTATGTAATTAAAGAAAGGTACTTATCGATGATACTTTTTTTGGAGTAACATATGGATATTTAACACCATTTTATTTTATTTTTTTATTGTAATATAGGTTACGAATGTTTTCATATAAAAATCATACGGTTTTGTTTCTATATCAAACATATTGTTTGGATATTTGTAATTCCATTGAATTCACCTAGATACATTGGCTATGGAATATTGGAAGTAAAAAATTGAGATCACAGAAGCCGTGGACATTACGTGCAAACGAACATCACTCAGCAACCTTTGTCGTAAAAGTATAAGTATAACCTTATGTAATTATATACCCAGTCCACGTGTCCATAGGCTGGTGTTGATATAATACATGTACACATGTGCTTTTGTCACAATTTTTCATGATTATTTCCTGCGAAATACACTTAGACAGGCATCTCTTACACCTGTTGCACTCAGAATTTATCGTGTACTCAGTCAGGTGAAAAATACATTTTATTTTCAATTAAAACAAAGTTTATTCAGGAACATATAACGCACAATTACCTTTATTAATTATTTATATAAACACCTCTTCCCTTTAAATAACATAGTTTAACATACTGTGTGTGTGTGTGTGTGCGTGCGTGCGTGCGTGTGTGTGTGCTCGTGTGTGTGTGCCTGTGTGTGCGTGCGTGGTCTAGTGGATAGAGCATCTGCCTTGAGATGGGAAGGTCGGTGGCTTGATTGTGGTTGATAGTAGAGTCAGTATACTTTGTCTGAGTGGGGTATCCATGTTAAGCTGCGGCGTGGTATCTCTGTGGGCTAGCACTATAAAACCAGCACAAGTCCGGACTAGTACAAGAAGCCACACACACGCACATGCATGGGAGTCGCTAAATAAGTGCAATAACCTTGAAATTGACACTAAACCTCATTTCACATAATCTCATATAAATAACAAACAAACTGAATAAACTGTCCTGGAGTCCTCCACAAATGGAGTCTCCCATATATAACCCCCCCTCATACAGAGAGATGAAATGGGGTTTAATGTCGCGTCCAAGGTTATTGCACTTAGCTGGTACGAGTGTGTGCGTACGTGCGTGCGTGCGTGCGTGCGTGCGTGCGTGTGAATAACATGAATACGCCACTCAGACACAGTATGCTGACTCCGAGCCGACCAGTCCTTGTTTTAACACCTTAATGCCGAGCGCCAGGCAAGTAAGTAAGTGGTCCCCTACCAAATGGATGGGTCTCTGCAATGATGTGTGCCATTCAGCCATGACTGTATTCGCCTGCCTCCTGGCACGTCAGTGAGTGTGTGTGTGAGTGAACAAGCGTACAGTCGACGAAGTCATCTATATCCCCCGCCATTTTAACACGTTATGGTCCCAAACCAGGTAACTGACCCAACATTTCTCTTAGGCCATGTCAAAATAGCTTCAATGGAAATTCTTAAATAAACATTTATAAAACTCCTTAATATCAAATTGCACCAGTTCAGTATGTGTCTGGTAAACATGCAACGTTTTGTAAGAAATTATTTAACGGTTTTTGAGTTACGCTCCGGAAACGAACAGCACCCTTATAGAACCTAAGTCCAACTTGTTGCAAAGGAAACGTAAAAAATAAAAATTTATAAAACTCCTAAATAGCAAAAGGCACCAGTTCAGTATGTGCCTAGTAGACATGCAAAGTTTTGTAAGAAAGTGTTTAATGGTTTTTGAGTTACGCTCCGGAAACGAACAGCACCCTTATAGAACCTAAGTCCAACTTGTTGCAATGGAAACGTAAAAAAATAAAAAAATATAAAATTCCTAAATAGCAAAAGGCACCTGTTCAGCATGAGTCTGATAGACATGCAAAGTTTCGAAGAGAAATATTTAACGGTTCCTGAGTTATGCTCCGGAAACGATTTCGGGACGCACACACGCACACACACACACACACACACACACACACACACACACACACACACGGACACACGGACGGAACCCATTTCTATATCCCCCGCCAACTTCGTTGGGGCGAGGGATAATAACATGAATGCGCCACTCAGACACAGTATACTCCGAGCCGACCAGTCCTTGTTTTAACACCTTAATGCCGAGCGCCAGGCAAGTAAGTAAGTGGTCCCCTACCAAATGGATGGGTCTCTGCAATGATGTGTGCCATTCAGCCATGACTGTATTTTCCTGCCTCCTGACACGTGTACGATCGTCTGCCATGTTCAACAGAAACCGACTTTCATTAAAAAAAGTAGACTCTCCGCCATCATGCAATTTTCCAATTTAGACGTTGATTAGACCATACCAAACGAACCGCTTTATGGGTCTGAGTCAACAAGGGACGTTTGATTGGTCTTCTGGCTCTGCATCCAGCTGTTTTCAGATGATTTCTGATGGTTCTGGTTGAAATCTATCTGCCTGCTAGCCACTGTGCCTTTGTAACTGTATGTTGCCAAATGGACGTCGTCAAACGAGCCGCAATTATGCCTCATCTTCTCTCCTGGATGTCTTACAAGGCTGACCTGGGCGTGGCCTGTCCTCAATGTCATGTGTCGTTCGGTATTTCTGCTGTAACTTTGAAATTACATTATGGTGACGTCCAAGTTGACGTCCAATTTCCCCACAAGACATTCCTTTAGTTCTATTCCAATAATCTGCCATCTAAACGCTTCAGACATTCTACGACGTGCCATGATAATGCTTTGTAATGAGCATGCAGCCTGAGTGAGAAATGTGTACTTGCAATGATGTAACACTATCAGTGTTTGCCAGATACGACTGACACGGTGGATATGTCAAGTACATATCATAACACTATCAGTGTTTGCCAGATACGACTAATGTAACACTATCAGTGTTTGCCAGATACGACTGACACCGTGGATATGTCAAGTACATATCATAACACTATCAGTGTTTGCCAGATACGACTGACACCGTGGATATGTCAAGTACATATCATAACACTATCAGTGTTTGCCAGATACGACTGACACCGTGGATATGTCAAGTACATATCATAACACTATCAGTGTTTGCCAGATACGACTGACACCGTGGATATGTCAAGTACATATCATAACACTATCAGTGTTTGCCAGATACGACTGACACCGTGGATATGTCAACTAC